GGAAGGGGAAGGGGATACTGAACACATCCAGACTATAGCAACCAGGCAAGCTACTTAACCTGTTTATGACAATTACTTACAGTTATTAATAATTCTCCCAAATTGTTTCTGAAATAACATGCACATAAAGGGCTTAGCACAGTGCCAGCCATAAAGATTTATGAAATGTAAGCTACTAGTGAACTGCTATTTATTTACACGATGATGAAAACAGTGCAGATGTTTTGAAACAGCCTTGCATTTCAATCCTGCTGCAATGGTTTTCCCAGTGCTATGATTACTGGAGCACCCCACCATGCCTGGCTTGAACTCAGCACTAACAGTCATGCTATCAGTCATCTTCTTTACCTGTGGACCTGACTCCTATTATCAGAATGTCTGTGGAGATAACCAGGAAACTTCTAGGTAAACTTGGAATCAGCTAAGACCTTAGATAGTTTAGGTGTAGACTTTTTAGGTAAAACAAAGCCTTGTCAATCATCTTTAACCCATATAAAACAGTCCATGTCATGAATGCCATCACTCTAAGCTCTAGATCAGTATTTCTCAACCTTTGGATCCATTCCCTTCAGAGGCCACCTATCAGATATCCTGTGTATCAGATATTTACATTATGTTTTTGGTTGTGAGTCTGGCCTTTAATGGCTGAGCCATCTCTCCGGCCCCAGATGATTCATAATAGTAGCAAAATTTCAGTTATGAAGTAGTAACATAGTAATTTTATGGTTGGGGGGTCACAATATGAGGAACTGTACTAAAGGGTCAAATGTACTAAAGTATTAGGAAGGTTGAGAACCACTACTGTAGATGCAAAAGTATATGTGCAACATACCTACACATTCTTTACTTCTAGACTCCAAAGAGAAATGGTAGGGAACAGATAAAAGAACAGAATAAAGGATTACAGAAAATAAGCCAGAACTTCATATATAATCATAAGTCACCAGGAAAAATAATTTACTACTAGATTCCATTTCATTTTTATGAGGTAGGAGCCGAGACAGAGTTTCAAGTAGCCTAGGCTGGCCTCAAACTCCCTACATAGGGCTGCAAGATTGTTCAGCAAGAGCAGGGCATTGGTAGCGCACGCATTTAATCACAGCATTTGGGAAGCAGAGGGAGGTGGATCTCTGTGAGTTCGAGGCCAGCCTGGTCTACAGAGCCAGTTCCAGGACAGCCTCCAAAACAATACAGAGAAACCCTGTCTCAAAAAAAAAAAACCACCTCCCACACCTGTCTCAAAATATAAAACAAAACGCCGGGTGTTGGTGGTGCACGCCTTTAATCCCAGGACTCGGGAGGCAGAGGCAGGCGGATCTCTGTGAGTTCGAGACCAGCCTGGACTACTAAGCAAATTCCAGGACAGCCTCCAAAGCCACAGAGAAACCCTGTCTCGAAAAACCAAAAAAAAAAAAAAAAAAAAAAAAAGAAGGCTACTCCCCTTATCTCCTCTCTCTAGTTTCTTTCGTGTCTTCTTCTATGTGGATAACTTTAGCCATTCTTATGTGGAGAGCCCCCAAACTATACAAATGATGAGAAGTAAGTGCACCACAGAATCATATCTACGATAAACATCTATGCTTCAAAGCACAGCAGAACACATGACTCAAGACAAAATCAAGTGCGTCAGAAGGAGCTGCTAGAAATCAGGAACCAAAAACTGACACTTCAGTTTTACAGAAGTGCATACTTAAGCTAATGTTTGTGGGCCTAACACCCAGCCTTCAAGATCCTGTCAGCTTTGGAATTTCCACAGTTCTACCCTAGGTGACGTGGGTGTAATCCTGGGGAGACAGTTGTGTGACTGGATTACTGTCATTACATTCACACTGCAGATGTGGAAGGTGAAAAAGACTTTAAAGCACCAGCAAGCAGCTCTCTGCCATCTTTCTAGAAAAGATGACAACCCAGTTAGATACCAAGTTTAGGTAAAGATGAATGACAAGGCTTCACCTCACTTGAAACATTCCCTCCAACCATCCTCATCTAAAATGCACCACGTGAGATGTATTCTGGAGTTTGTGTAGTATCCTAAAAAGAGCAATTGGTATATGAATACAGAGACCATCAGTACTGAGGTCTCTAAAGAGTAATTCCAAAAAATATTAAAGAATGGTGTTCCTGGGGCCAGCAAAGAGGGCTTAGTGGGTAAGGCTTACATACTCAATAACGTAGGTTCCATGCCAGGAATTCATAAGCTGTCTCCAAACTGTGATGTGTGTATACAACCACTGTGGTGATCTGAATGAGAATGGCCCCCCACAGACTCACCTATTTGAATACTGAGATCTCCCCTTCCCCCCAGGTGGTGGAAAGGTTTGGGAAGGAAGGATGAGAGGGTATGGCCTGGTTGGAGGAATGGTCACTGGGGGCAGGCTTTGAGAAGTCAAAAGCCCCTGCTATTCCCAATTAGTTCTCATTCTGGTGGTTGGGGCTCAAGATATGAACTCTCAGCCATTGCTCAAGTGCCATCTCTGCCTATCGTGCTCTCTGCCATGATGGCCACAGACTTTAGTCCTCTGTGAAACTGTTAAGTCCAAATAATGCTTTCTTCTAGAAGTTGAGTTAGTCATGGTCTTTTTTCATAGCAATAGTAAAAATAAAAAAAAATAGTAAGGCAGAAACTGGTATTATTTAGACCAGGATGGTGGGTGTTAAACTTATAAGGTGACCTCTGATCACCATATGTGTGCACCCCACCACACACACAAATGATAAGTAAAATGTAAAGCAAACAACAAAAATCCAGCAATATCCTGCCTCTGCCTCCTAAGTGTTGGCATTATAGGCATGAGCCACTACACCCAGCTGACCTGATGCTTTCACATTCTGACTACTGCTTACTTAACTCTCACACTTTAGTTCCTTCATTAAATGAGAATAACCATGCTTCAATCAGTTACATGGTTAGCACATGCAAAACACTTACTAACAGTGCATATTTCTAGGAAAGCATCTCAGATGGAAGTGTACTTAGCTTGCAGGAGGGGCTCTGGGTTTAATCCCCAAGCACCAAATACCAAAATAAAAGGAAGCCTAGAACAGAATGTTCAATATAGTTTGTATGTATATATTTTTATTTTATTATTATTTTTGAGATGAGGTTTCATGAGATTGCTGAGGCCTGCCTGAAACTTGAAATTCTCCTGCTTTAGCCTTACAAGTAGTGGAGATTATAGACATATGCAAGGGCACCTGGGTATTACAGCCACCTCATAATTACTAAATATATTATTATGGAACACTGTCCTCAGAGCATAAACAACCATTACCATCTTAATCAGAGCAACTGTGATTACTCACAAAAGACTCTCAAAATTGGGCCTGTTGACCTTCCCAGATAGAATTAAAGGATGGTGGCATTAGACTCTCACCTGATAGTTCAGCCACCCACTCCCAATTCTGGCCCAACCAAACTTGGTCTTGAGGGTTGCTACAGTGTAGAGAGTAAAAAGCTAGAGGAAATGATGACCAAAAAGAAACAAATCCCAAAATGAAACAAAAAGTCCTACCAAGAATGATAAATATTGCTGGGCGTTGGTGGCGCAGCCTTTAATCCCAGCACTCGGGAGGCAGAGGCAGGCGGATCTCAGTGAGTTCGAGGCCTGCCTGGTCTACAGAGCTAGTTCCAGGACAGCCTCCAAAACAATACAGAGAAACCCTGTCTCAAAAAAAAAAAAAAAAAAGAATGATAAATATTTAAGGCACAGGGTAAGTTACTGAGTCATTTAATTTACTTTAACATAACTTGTCCCTAGAGCATGCATAGAAAGAAGGGTTTCTCCTGTTTGTTACTATCTATGTCAATGTGTTCTCACTACCTCTCACCAAGAGAACAAGTAACAAGTGACCAATGGATACCTTGGGCATCAACTTTGCTAGCGGCAGAAATATTAACATTTCTTACTTTGCTATGAAATAGCTTAAATTTGGTTATCAAAGTATTTAAGTGAGCTAGGCATGGTGGTGCATGTCTTTAAACTCAGCATTTGGGAAGCAGAGGCAGGCTGGTCTCTTAGGAGTTCCAGGCCAGCCTGGGCTACACAGTGAGATCATGTTTGTTTGTTTTTTTAAGTACTTTAGCAAATGATACCTCACAGGTTTTTTAATCGTAGTAGTTTCTGAGAGAAAAGAACATGAGAAGGATCCCTTTTACCTGGCTATGACTGAATTGTTAGCATTTTACCTGGGAATGTCAGGAAGGCAGCAGAGAAGATGAAATTATTCGATGCTTAAAATACCGTGTAGTAAGAAACTACACTATTTTCGAAAGGCTGAGAACATGCATTCAAAAAGCTGCCAATTTCTAAATTTCCCTGCAGTCATTTTCTAAACTTCCCTGCAGTCTTTATCCCTGCCTCCAGTCCAAACCCACCCAGGTGGCCAACAGCAAAAGGCAAAGGTCTCTTTTCCTAACTCAGATGTCTTTGGCTTCCTCTACCACCAGTCTGCTTTTCCTAACAGTGCAGTGACAGTGACTAATGATTAAAGACGAAGGAAAGAAGTGTAACAGTACTTTAAGACACTTTCCTCGAGCCCCAAATAGGGTTAAAAATAAATCGCCCTTTGACTGACCATACTCTTGGTGAACTCCTGAGGGGAAGCCGCAAGGTAAGAAGGGACTTTGCTAGACAAGTGAAGTCTGCAATGCCACGAGCCTCGGGGTCATCTTCTAACAATTATCTCAGAACTATGTGCTCATTAGGGCCACCGGGCAGTCTGTTAATTCAACACCGTGAGCCTGGAGATGAGAGATGGAGAGTCGAACCACAAGTCCAGGGACCACCATCGCGCCTCCCTTCCTGTGCTGCGCTCGCGCTGGTCGCCAACGCCTGGCGTCCCTGATCTCGGCCCAATCTACCGAGAACTGGCCGGAGTTCCTTCTCCACTAAAGTCCGACCGCACCAAAATTAAAGTGTCACCATACCCTCTTTCTACTCGGGGTATCATCCTACCCTTCCCGCTGACCAGCTCTCCCAGCCACTTTCCTGAAGACTCACCAGGTTGCTCACCAGGAGTGGCTCCTAACCAGCCGGGGCAGATCGGACACTTCTAGATGGGACCCGGTGCCAGCTCGCGCGCATGCGCCCCCACCCCTCCTTGAGGCTCGGTGCGCCTGCGCATTCACCGGGTGCCGCGGGGGCAGACACACCTCTACAGCTGGAGCCAATCACTTTGCGCGGGGGGTGGGGTTAAATCTCCTGCCACGCAGGCGGAGAGCCTGGGAACTCACCCGTTAACCCGACGGATTCCTCGCCCGCCCAAAGGTGGGAGGAGCTCATGCACCCAACATTACCGAAGGCAGCTGTGTGCGGGACACCTTAGCGTTTGAACGCCGAAGGAAAGTTAGGGCGATTGCCGAAGCCTACTGGGTGTTTGGATCCGTCTAAATCGGGGATATAGATTCGTAAACACATTACAGTGAACAGAATACGGTACACAGGAATTCCAAGGTGCCTTTGGCCCCACAATGAACACAACTTATTTTAAGGGGTGCCTGTATGGTTGCCGCAGGAAGTTACTTTCAGAGTTAAGAAGGATAAGTAGGAGTTCCTCCGGAAGTCCAGGAGATAAGAATTTTACAGGCTGTGGGAACAACGGATGCCAAGAACAACTCGGCGCCTTCTGGAAGTTTCTTGAGGTTCATTTTTTTGTTAGAAGTTTTAAGAGTTCGCTTTCTCAGTCAAGAGAAAACTGAAGGTGTGATAGCTCACACTGTGTAGTCCCAGGCTATTTCGGAGGTTGAGGTTGGAGGATCACCTGACCTCTAGAGTGTAAAGCCAGACTGACGACATACTGAGATCCTATTTCAACACCAACACCAAAGGAGGAAGAAAGAGTAGGGTCTAACTGTGGGTAGAGGAGAAAAATAGAGCACTTGGCCTAGCAAAGGTGAAGCTTCATTCTGAGTCCATTGCCAGCAGAGGTCGAAATCAAGCTAGGTAGAGGGACAGAGTCTTGTAAATTTTGAAGTGAGACTAGGATTCGTTTTATAACCATTGAGTTGCTGATAGGTTTTAAACCGCTTGCCCCAAGAATTCTTCCAACCACCTCTAAGAGTGAAACAAAATGCTGGCGCTCTAGGGAATAAAGAAGTTTGGAGGTATGGCTGTAGAATTGATAAAACTGACCAGAGAAGAGGACTGATCAGCACTTTAGAATTTAATAGCACAGAGGAATGGTGATAGTTGACAAACACAAAAATAGTTTGGAGAGGGGAGAGAAGTCAGTACAGATTATAAAATGCTTTGGAAAACTTTGACCTTGTCAGAGAAAAGGGAAGAGTGATGTGTTTTGTTTTTATTTTGTTAGAATTAAGACAGGAGCGGGGGGGCACGTCTTTAATCCCAGCACTCGGGAGGCAGAGGCAGGCGGATCTCTGTGAGTTCAAAGCCGGGCTGGACCGACAGCCTCCAAAACAATACAGAGAAACCCTGTCTCGTAAAACCAAAAAAAAAAAAAAAAAAAAGAATTAAGACAGGAGGGGGCTGGAGCAATGGCTCAGAGGTTAAGAGCACTGGTTGTCTGTTCTTCTGAAGTCCTGAGTTCAATTCCCAGCAACCACATGGTGGCTCATAACCATCTATAGTGTGTTCCGGTGCCCTCTCCTAGTATGTAGTGCAGGCACACATGCAGAGAGAACACTATGTACATAAATAAATCTTTAAAAAAATAATTAAGGCAGGAAAACTTGAGCATGGGAGAAATTCAACTGAGAAAAATGATTGAATTTACAAAAGAATGTATGTGAAATCTAGATAAAGATTTTGAGAGGGTTAGAGCTGAAGTACTCAAACTACTGATGGGAGTTGTTGATGCACACCTTTGATTTCAGTGCTCAGGAGGCAGAAGCAATGGGATCTTTGTGAGTTTGAAGCCAACCTGGTCTACATAGTTCCAGGTCAGCCAGAACTACATAGCAAAACCTTGTCTCAAAAATAAATAAATAAAAATAAAATCATGGGCTGGAGAGATAGCTGTTCTTCCAAAGGACATAAATTCAGTTTCCAACACCCACCTAGGAGCTCACAACTGTAATTCCAGTTCCAGGAGATTCACACCCTCCTCAAACACCAGGCACAAGGATGGTACACAGATATTCATGCAAGCTAAATATCCATATATGTAAAATATAAATAAGTTTTAAAAAATCAAACTGATAGGAGATTTAGGATAGTGGCATAAACCTACAATCTCAGCATCATGAGACTGGTGAATTAGAGTACACAGTCATCACAGACTATAAAGTAATTTTGAGGATAGCATTAGCTACCTGAGACCCCTGTCTCAAACAAACAATGAAGCCCATAGGACTGAGGCTGGCAAGATGGTTCATCAGGTAAAGGCAGTGGCCATCAAGTGTGAGCACTTAATTTCCATTCCTGGAGCCCACATGTTGCAGGTCCTCTGACTTCTCCATATATGTGTACCAGATGGCAAGAATGTTGCTCCACACACATGCACACAAATAAATAGATGTAAAAATAATCCTAGACACTGATATGAAAAGAACTTTCATGGAAGAGAGACCAACCCACACAGAGTTGGGGGAGGGAGGAATATTCTCAATTATTATGACAAAATGTATTTGTAAGTCTATGTTTAGAAACAGGAAGTTTTCTGAGAAGTCGAGATAGATCCTCTGCTGATTAGAAAGGTGGCTGCAAGTGTAAGAGAACTAAGAAGTTTGGAGGCATGGCTGTAGAATGTGATAAAACTGACCAGAGAAGAGGACTGATCAGCACTATAAACTGCTTGTTTAGTAGAAATGAACTCAGCAGTTTGTTTTGTTAATCTTAAATCACTTCTTAAAGGTAGGAAGAAAGAAAATATATGGCTGAATTCATTTAGGATTGGGATGGTCATGGATATAATCTTGTAGTTCTCAGCAAAGGGCAATTTTTGCTGTCCAGGGGACATTGGGCAGGGTCTGGAGAGCTGGGGGTACATTATCTTAGAATGTACTAGTCAGCAACTGATAATGTTATTGTTTTAAAGTTGTGAAATCATGATCTAGAGTTACTTTGATCCTCACTTATACTGACTTTCCCTTGGACTATGGCTCTAAATTTACAGAGCAAAGCAGTTCTGTAGCATGCATGCTTTTAAACAGAATGAGCATTACATCAGACCTTGAATGCTTCAAGGACTTGTGATGTCACAAATGCACAATTGGAAGACTCTCCTAAACCTTTAGAATGAATCTGGATTCACACATAAATGAAGGTAGCTGTTTATTTTGATTTGAGACTTTGATAGTTTCTTCCTTTCTTTTTTGGGGGTGTGGTTTTTCCAGATACGGTTTCTCTGTGTAGCCTTGGCTGTCCTGGAACTCACTCTGGAGACCAGGCTGGCCTTAAACTCACAGAGATCTGCCTGCCTCTGCTGGGATCCCAGCACTGGGGAGGCAGAGGCAGGAGGATCTCTGTGAGTTCGAGGCCAGCCTGGTCTACTGAGCGAGTTCTAGGACAGCCTCCAAAACAATACAGAGAAACCCTGTCTCAAAAAACCAAAAAAAAAAAAAAAATCCCAGCACTAGATATGTATAAAAGATAGGAGCAGGGTCTAAAGTAGTTAGTCTCAGGACTAGTCTCTAGCCACATTGAGGACAGCACAGCAGTCTGAGTGGATCTGAGGAGCAGCGAAGTTGGGAGCAGTTTGAGAATCGCCCCTTTGGTCTAAGCTGAGGTAGAGGTAAAAGCTAGTGGCCAGCTGATTTGCTTTTCTGATCTTCATCTTGAAGCTTGAACCCCAATACCAGTCAGTTTCTGGGTCATTTACTTATCGTGCTACAAAACATCCTAATTTTAACCCTAAAAACTGACATTCTAAGAAAACATCACTTAAAGTCAAGAATTATTGCTAGGCTGTAGTGGTGAACATCTTTAATCCCAGCAAATTCCAGCACTCAGATTAGGGGATGGATTTCTGAGTTTTAGGCCAGGTTGGTATACAGAGCAAATTCCAGAGCAGTCAGAGAAACCTTGTCTCAAAAATCAAAACAAAACGAAAATAAATACTAGCTAGAGTAATATTTAAATTTACTTCTGTTTTTACTGAGACTTATTCACTTTGTAGCTCAGAAACTCTGTAGCCCTGGCTAGCTTTGACTCTCCTCTCTCAACCTCCAGAATATTGGCTGAGCTACCATGTCTAACTTGAGGTCTAGGTCTATGTGTTCAAAAGTTTCACGAAGAAGGGAAAGTTTTGAAATTTAGTTAAGACAGTGTCAACCCTTCTGGTGGAGGGCTTGGAAAGTAGAAGGGGGGGAAAACAGCTTTGCGCAAAAGGACCTACTTCGGTTTTTCTTGTGTTTTGAAGGCCCCTTGCCCGGTGTCCGTTGTTCACTTCTTATGTTCAAATAAAGCTAGATGGTTGAAAGGGGCGGATAGGGTGGGAGGGAGAGGGAGCGCGCCGGGCTACGTGCGCTTGCGCGCTGGCGGCGGTAGCGGCGGCGTCAGTGCCCGGCGGGGAGCGGGTCCCAGGCCGCCGCCGGAACGGAGGCTCAGGGGGCGTCTGGGAGCTCCCTCGCCGGGCCTGATGGCGTAGGAAGGACGGGCAGTGAGTGTGAGTATGGAGGGCCCAGCCTGGTTGGGCGTATCGGAGGCCGTGGGTCGGATGGTCTGCCTCTTGGGCAGGTGGTGGGAGCTGCGCCTGCACACAAGCAACGCCACGGTACCTCTCCTGGCCCGCGTGGGTTTAGAGTTTATGGGCGAGCGGAGCACCTGGCTTCAGGGTACAGACTCGCAGGGGCGGTCGGATTCTGCTCGCAGCCCCTCAGGCTAGACGCGTGGCTCCAGATCTTTGACCTCTGGGACGGGCCCTGACCTCTGTGGGCCTGGGGTCTAGGAGGTATCTCAGCCTTGATCTGGTATTTAAAGGCTGCGCGTTTCAGGCCGGGACCCTCACCGCCTCTCAAGACTGTCTGACAGTCTCGCCTCTTTTTTTCCTTCTTTTGAGGTCTTTACTTTTGGGGAGCGTATTATTAATGTACTAGCAACTAGTGGAACGCTGTGTGTCTAATATTTAGTACAATCTCGGTGCGTAATTATGGAGAGGAGATACTTGCATCGCCTCCCACTTCAATCTGTTCAGTGTAGTCATCTTGGTGAAGTTCGAGATTTCAGTGTTGTTTTCGTTCTTTTTTTGTTTGTTTTTTAACAACTTGGAACCAGTTAAGGAAGTTCTTCTCAGCAGATTAACCTATAGCCATCATAATGGTTTATATTGAGGTGATTCAAGACACAGTTTTTAAAAATATATTAAATATAAAATCCAAATCCTGTTCTCAAACTCCATGGGGGAATCCCCTCCCCCCCAAGGTTCTCTGTAGCTTTGGGGACTGTCTTGGAACTGCTCAGTAGACCAGACTGGCCTCGAACTCATAAAGATCCCCGTCTTTGCCTCCCAAGTGCTGGGATTAAAGGCCTGGCTCCCAATGAAGAATCTTAAAATGTAATTCTCTGTTCCCAGGTTTGGCCAAGAATGACAGAATGGACAATCAGATTCAACTAGGGTTTACTTAGCACCCATTATGCTAGAACTCTACATCCTGGTGTGTCACAGAAATGTAATGCAGTATTATAATAGATGATTTTTTGGCAGCACTTTTCAGTTGCTGAGATGCTGATGAGATTTGCTTAAGTTCACATTCATGGACTACTAAATTTCCTCTCAGGTGATAGCAGAGTTCATCTTTTTCTGTTACACCAAGTTAGATGTTCTAAGTATTCCTGTTTGGAAAGTGAACTGAACTATTTGGCCTAGAAAACAAATTTTGTTTTGATTTTTACTTTTGAGACAGAATCTGGCCTATATAGCCCAGACTGGCCTTGAACTTGAGATCCTGAGTTCAGTCACAGAGGGTTGGGGTATGTGCTCATCTCAGCTTTTAACTAGAGAAAGTGTCCAGATAGATTTTGAAGAGAGCTTCAAAACATCCATGAAAGAGGAAAGGTGTGAAGCAATTTCAGCATACTAGTTCAGAATCAAATTGTTTTAGTAGAAAGGAAGGCATTTTAAAAAGAAAAACCATGGTAGTTATATATCCAGATTAGAACAAATTAAGGCTGGTCTGTGAGAAAAGCAAGGAGCATTGAGTGGTCCTGCTATCCAGGATGACTTGGTGAAAACTGTACAGACTGTGTTTTATAATTAGGTTATCAAAGGGGAAGTTTAGTATTTGTGTGCCTAATGAGTGAGAGCCCTAAACAGACAAGTTACATGTGATTACTCTAAGTGTACATCTAGGATGCAGAGTTGCCTACTAAAAACTTGCAGTCTGTTGCTGTTGTAATCTGAAGGAGACTTAAAAAATAGGAGTTTCCTGCCAGGCAGTGGTGGCCCACACCTTTAATCCCAGCACTAGGGAGGCAGAGGCAGGCGAATCTCTGTGAGTTCGAGGCCAGGCTGGACCGACAGCCTCCAAAACAATACAGAGAAACCCTATCTCGAAAAACCAAAAAAAAAAAAAAAAAAGGGAGTTTCCATGTCTATATTTGGGGACTTGTTATGTTTGTGCATTTGTTAGAATGAACTAGCTCTCTGTACTGATATTGAATGATTTCCAAGGTACTCTTTTTAACAGTGTGAAAGTAATGGTGTCAAGAAGGTGTGCAATAGTGACAATTTTAAGTATATGTACATGTATATGCATATATACATATGCTTTGCATATAAGGACATAGAGTGTGGAAAGTAGTCAGAATCAACTGAAACTGTAGAATGCCTGTCAGGATGGAAGGTAGAAGTGAGGATTTATTGTTCAGTAGTTCCAGGGTTTCAGTTTCACAATCTGTGATTTTCTTTTCTTGTAAGCTAAACAAAAAGTTGTAAACAACCAGAAAAAAATATAAACTCAGATTTTTTTTTTAATTTTTAAAATTTTATTTTCTGTGTATGGGTGTTTAGCCTACATTTGTGCACAGTGCCTGCAGAGGCCGGAAGAGGGCATCGATCCCCTGGAACTGGAGTTACAAATGGCTATGAGCCACTATATGGGAGCTGGAAATCAAACCCAGGTCTTTTGGAAGAGCAGCTGGTGCTCTGAACTGCTAAATCCCCCCTCCACTTTAATTTTAAAGATTGTTTTATGCATATGAGTGTTTTCTTGTGTGTGTGTATGTGAGTGTATATGTATGTATTCGGCATGTATCCTGAACCTACAGAGGCCAGAAGAGGATTTCAGATCCCCTGGAACTAGAGTTACAGATGACTGTGAGCTACCATGTGGGTGCTGGGAACAGATCCTAGGTCCTTTGCAAGACCAGCATTTCTCTTAACCTTTCCAGCCCTGTCACTTGGATTTTAATATGTTGCTAAAATTTGCTATACTATTGTTTGTTGTTTGTTTTATTATGTTGGGAACTTAATATAGTAGGGCCTCACCTTGCTAAGCAAGTATGCTACTCGTGAACTATATTCCCAGTTCTGTATTTTATCTCTATCCATATTACTTAATACTCAGTTTTGTTGTTGGTTTGTGTGTGGGTTCCTATTGTTTTTTTTTGTTTTTTTTTTTTTTGAGGTGGAGTCTCATGAAGCTGAGGCTGGCCTCTCATGTGTGTAATAAGGCAGTCTTGAGACAAAAATACTGGGCAAAGGGGGCTGGGGGGAGAGCGAGGGTGTTTTAGGTCTTGAAACAGTAAGATGAATACATATAAGACAAGCACTCTATCACTGAACTATCTCCATTTCTTTCCTCCCATCCTCCCTTTTCTCCCTCCTTTTGAGACATGGGTGGGTATTCGACTCAGTCTCTAGAGGTCACATGTAGCGTTTGGCTAGTATGTATCTTGAGGTCTCTTTTAACATACAACAGTTGCCTTTTTGCTTTTTCACCTTTGATTTGTTGAAGAAACCTGGGTAGTTGTGTAGATTAATAATTCAGGCTTCCGATACATATTACAAAGCTTGTTACAACAAACTGGATGCTGCAGTACCGTGCTTATTGGATTCAGGTGAAACACTTTGGTGACTTCTGACATGCTGCCTGCTGTAGTTTTCCCACTATTAGTGATATTGAAATTGACTAGGGTTTAGTGGTGAACTTAGCCTCTACAGTCACCATTGTTTTTGTTTCTGTTTTTTTAATAGTGTTCATCTTTGTAGCCATAGCTGACCTGGCCTCAAGTAGGTAGAGTAGTCTGGCCTTGAACTTGCAGCAGGTCTGTCTTTGCAGCCCCACCTTGTTGTTAAATTGCATGTCTCCCTTTGAAGTTGTTTGTCAGCTCTTTTGTGCCTTCAAAACTGTTAAACACCTAGTGTTTCTTATTCAGAATATAATTGATTATCTTCAAAAAGGCAAAGCTCATGATAAGAATTATTATTTTTAATCTTTTTACACTTATTGGAGTGTTTGTGAGCATGTGTGCATCCTGTGCTTCATGTATGGAAGACAGAGGCTTCTTGTTTCTCTTGGCCCGTGTTGGTTTTGGTTACCAAGCTCAGATCGTGGCAAGCACCTCTACCCACTGAGCAATCTCCTCACCAGACCAATATATTATTTTTGCCAGGTTGGTGGCGCACGATTTTAATCCCAGCACTGGGGAGGCAGAGGCAGAGGCAGGCAGATCTCTGTGAGTTCGAGGCCAGCCTGGTCTACAGAGTGAGTTCCGGGACAGCCTCCAAAACAATACAGAGAAACCCTGTCTCGAAAAACAAAACAAAACAAAAAGTTTCAAATTAACTTTACTTAGAATAAACCCATGAGGTGTTGTCTAATTCCAGAGTCTGTGCTTTTTCCTACCCTACTTTATAAATTGCGAAGTGAGTGTGAAGTTGTTATTCTAGTGGTCTTGTGCTTTCTTTTTTGCTACTGTTTGTTTTTGTAGAGTCCTTCCATATAGCACTGATAGCCTCAAACCTTTGACCCTTTGCCTCAGCCTCCCTGGTGCTGGGATTTCTAGTGTATGTCATCATGCCTGCTTTTTTTTTTTTTTTTTTTTTTTTTTTGGTTTTTCCAGACAGGGTTTCTCTGTGGCTTTGGAGGCTGTCCTGGAACTCGCTCGGTAGTCCAGGCTGGCCTCGAACTCACAGAGATCCGCCTGCCTCTGCCTCCCGAGTCCTGGGATTAAAGGCGTGCGCCACCAACGCCTGGCTCATCATGCCTGCTTTAAGATGATGATACATTTTAAACTTTTTATTTTTACTTATGTGTGTACACATATGTGCTGCAGTGCATGGGTGGAGGTCAGAGGACATCCTGTGAGAGTTGGTTCTTTCCTTCTACTTTGTGGGTCTTAGAGATTGAATTCAGGGCATCGGTCTTGGCAACAAGTGCCTTTACCCACCAAACCATCCCACCAGTCCAGTTTTGCTTGTTTAGCTCAGAAAGATCATCAAGGGTTGGTTACTATGACATTTTGAAAAATATAAACAGCAAGTGCCATTCATGGTATTTTCAGTCAGTATTACAGCCAATATCAGTCTGTTTTTGTAGTTACTAAAGTTGTAGTTTTTTTTGTTTTTTGTTTTTTTTTTTTTGAGACAGGGTTTCTCTGTGGCTTTGGGGGCTGTCCTGGAACTTGCTCTTGTAGACCAGGCTGGCCTCGAACTCACAGAGATCCGCCTGCCTCTACCTCCCAAGTGCTGGGATTAAAGGCGTGCGCCACCAACGCCCGGCTAAAGTTGTAGTTTTATGTTTTCCAATAAAGTCATGCCAAAGAATTTATATATTTAAGTATACATTTCATAGTAAACCACATTTATCTTTTATTAATTAACACATTATATTGATGTTTCAAATTGTAAATGTGCAGTAGGAAGTTGTGGTTGAATACAAATGGTCCCCACAGACTCATCTATTTGAATGCTTAGTCACCAGGGAGTGGAATTTTTGACTGGATTAAGAGGTGTGGCCTCGTTGAAGGAAGTATGTCACTGGGGGGTGGGTTTCAAAAGCCCTCTCTTGCACTCAAGCATGCTGCTTCTGGATCAAGATTTAGCTCTTAGCTACTTCTCCAGCACCATACCTACCTGCTGCAATGCTCCCTGATAATGGACTAAGCCCCTGAAACTGTAAGCGAGCTGCTATTTAAATGCTTTTATTTTATTTATTTTGTTTTGTTTTTTGAGACAGGGTTTCTCCGTGGCTTTGGAGGCTGTCCTGGAACTAGCTCTTGTAGACCCAGACTAGCCTCGGAACTCACAGAGCTCCACCTGCCTCTGCTTCCTGAGTGCTGGAATGAAAGTCATGCACCACCACCGCCCAGCCCTAAACACTTTCTTTTATAAGAGTTGCCTTGGTCATGGTGTTTCTTCACAGCAATAGACCAATGATTAAAGCAAAAGTATAGTTTGCTTTTCATTCTAAGAAGGATGAAGGGTCATGGGAAATATTTACAATAAAAATTGGGTAAAAGTTATCTGTTAAGTGTTTAGGATAGAGCCTTGGGCCTCCTAATCTAGGCAAGCCCTTTACACTAAGCTGCTTCTTTAGCCCACATTATTTTATTTTTGCAGTGCTAGGGATCAAAACCAGAATTTGGTGCATAGTGGGCAAGCAAGCACTTCACTACAATATATTCACAACCTCAAAATATCATATCATAACTCAAATAATTTCATTCATAGAGAAGACAAAGAACTGTGATCATCCATATTAGCTGAGCAACCAGAGGGAAAATAGGCAAAAGTTTTAAAGGAGGTGAAAGGCAATTTTCCTAATTATATCAAGACACTTATTTCAATCCTAATGGCAGAATGTATAGCAAGTCTGTCAGAGCTGCTACATCTCCATGTAAGATATAAATGTTGGAAGCTTTTTAAAAAAAATTTATTCATCTTTATTTTATGTGCATTGGTGTTTTTGCCTGCATGTGTGTCAGGTCCTCAGGAACTGGAGTCACAGACGGTTGTGAGCTGCCATGTGGGTGCAGGGAATCAAACCCAGGTCCTCTGGAAGAGCAGCCAGTAATGCTCTTAACCACTGAGCCATCTCTCCAGCCCCAGCTTTTTTTTTTTTAATCTTTGTTTTATTTAGTTTTAAGTTTATGGGTATTTTGCCTTCATGCATGCCTGGCACCCACAGAGACCAGAAAAGGGCTTCAAATTCTTTGGAACTGGAGCTGTAGACACGTGTGAGCTGTCATATGGGTGCTGGGAGTTGAATCTGTTGAACCCAGGTCCTCTGGAAGAGGAGTTGGTACTTTTAACTACTGAGCCATCTCTTCAGCTCTGGAAGCTTTTTTTTTTCTTCTTCTTCTTCATTATGTGTATGTGTTTGAGTATGGACATGTGCTTGTAAGTACAGGTGCCCGTGGAAGCCAGATCCCCATGGAACTGGAGTTGCAGGTGATTGTAAAGTACTTGGCATGGATTTGGGTCTTCTGCAAGTGCTCTTAACCACCGAGACATCTCTCTAGCCACAATAAGAGCTTTTGGTCAATGACCACTGCTTCAGAAGCTTCTGTCAGCTTTGGTCCCTTTGTGTCCTTCCTCCACTCCAAGGCATTTTGATACAACCACACACCCCCTTAGATTAGGTTAGACCTCAGTCTTCATGGACTAGGAAAATACTGTAAATTTTCCACTGGCCCCATGGCTTCCAGAATGCATCATAACATGTATTTATCAGGGTTTAGGGGAGCCAGGTGTGATGGCACACATCTGTAATCCCAGGCAGGGACAGGAGGATTGGGAGTTCTAGGCCAGCTTGGGCTATGTAGAGAGACCTATTTCAAAAAGGAAAATACAAATGCACAAAAGCTACCCATAGGTTGTACATTGTCAAGCCCTTTTGGGAAATTGTTCATCTTTGGAGATGTAGCTCAGTGGCAGAGCATGTGCCTGGCATTTATATGGCACTGGGTACCATAACTGGTATGGAATAACAAAGTCTAAAGTCAAGTGTGGTGGGATACTCCTGTAATCCCAACATTTGGGAGGTGACGGCAGGAGGTTCAAGAGGGTCAGATCATATGCATAAAGAGTTCTCAGCTAGCTGGCATACATGAGACCCACTTTCAAAAAAAGAATATTGATCAGATTCCAGCCTGAAGTTGTAACCTGGATGCTGAGATCCACAACAGACCCCGTTTCTGCTCCTGTTCCAAGTGGTACTAGAGGCTGATGTGTTCAGTCACAGTGATATCATCATTTCACATCCTGAGTGGTTGGACTGACATTGGTCAGCAGTTTGCAAAAGATTGATGAGGGGGTGTGGTGATATATTATTTTTGATTTATTAAAACTTAGCTGAGGATTCAGAAAGCAAAGTCAGCCTCAAGCTGTAGAGATCAGGCAGTGGTGGTACTCACTTTAATCCCAGGACTCAGGAGACAAAGGCAGATGGGTTTCTCTGAATTCAAGGCTACACAGGGCTATACGAGATTGAATCAGTCTAAAAGAGTAACATCTCACACCTTCAATCCCAGGACTAGAGGGGGTAAGATAGGAGCAGGGTCTTCAGTAGTCAGTCTCAGGATTCTCCAGCCATGTTGAGGAGAATATGGCAGTCTAGGAATGAAGTCTGAGGTTTGGTGGAGCCAGGAACGCCTTTCAGTCTGAGGTAGAGTTAAAAGCTAGTGGCCAGTTGAATCCCATTATCTGTCTCTAGGTGTTTTATCATGTTACAAGGGGGTAGCACTTATTACTCTTACAGAGGATTCAAATTTAGTTCCTAGCACCCATATCAGGTGGCTCACTGACTATATGTAGTTCCAGATTACAGAATCTGACATCTTCTGGGCTCTACCAGCATTTGCACTCACATGCCCATCTCCCATAGATATACAAATATATACAATTAAAAATCTTCTAAAAGGTCATTATTGGGGGCAAACATCATAAACGTGTTTGTACATGTTATTTAAAGGGATTAAACATCAGTTAAAATTTTAATGTTCTTTTATGCAGAGAAGATGTTTGTGTCTATTAGTGTTGCTTATTCATGGATGGTGGTGTGGGCATGCATCATGGGGGATCATTAGACATCTTCATGTTGGTCTTGTCTTTTCATTCTGTTGGAAACAGGATCCCTTTGCTCTATAAGCCAGATTATCTGACCTGCATACTTCTGGATACTATCATGACTCTGCCTCCTGTCCCCCTGTATACTAAAATATCTTCATTAGCTAGAGGCCATGTAATTTTTTATTGACACCTACTTTGCAAGGTGAGGCCTTCCCAAAAGTGTCAGATATCCTAGGGCTAGAGGCAAAATTTTGTTCTGTGGCTTCCCGATAGTCCTGTCTTACCAGAAATTCATTAATTTCTATCAGGGTTAAGGTGAAGGTATAGGAAATTGCCTGTGGGATTCAAGAAAGGGATTTTAGCCTGATTACTACTCCTCATCTTGTCATTGCTCTCCACTTCCTCGTACACACTCAGTTAAAACCTTTAGTGTTTTACAGCATATTGTCACTTGGAGTCTGAATTCACTTATAACGGTTCACTTATAAAAATTTCTTGAGTTCTGTTGAGTTTATTGTTCTGAATAAGGAACATTATATAAAAATCTCCCTTTCAGAGGTTAGGAAGGTGGGATCTACCATCACACAGCCTGGGTTTACTTCTCAGACTGTCTTTAATAAAATTGGATGACAGTGTTTAAATGCAGTTCTTGACACTTAACAGGTGTTTTCAACTTGAGCTACATGATAAATAATTGGAGAATATTCTGACATTGATATATGAAGGGAACTCCAGCGTTAGGTAGCTCAAGCTGGCCTTGAACTTGACCTAAGGGCTATAGATACAACTATGCCCAGTTTTGGAATCTCTGAAGATTCTTTTGTTTTGTTTTGTTTTTTGTTTTTCGAGACAGGGTTTCTCTGTATTGTTTTAGAGGCTGTCCTGGAAACTCGCTCTGTAGACCAGGCTGGCCTCAAACTCACAGAGATCTGCCTGCCTCTGCCTCCCAAGTGCTAGGATTCGGCGGAATTTATTTTTGTTGAAAGTGGCAGAGTGAAAAGTAATTTAAAGATGATATCTGGAAAGGTTACTAAATGTTACTTCTTCATTACAGGTTGACATTGAATGCTTCAGATCTGGTCGCTATGGTCCGAGAACGAAAATGTATATTGTGCCACATTGTTTACAGCTCAAAAAAGGTAACAATGAAGAGAGAGGAGCTGGTGCTTTATGGCCATTTTGTTTTTGAAGACATCTTAAAAGTAGTTAAAACTTGATATTAGAAGTTTAAGTTGTTTCAGTTTTATTTTTTGTTTTACTATGCAATCCTAGAACACTCTATGTACTCTGACCTCAAACTGTGGTGATCCGCCTGCCTCTGTCCCCCAAGATCTGGGATTATAGACATGCTGCTTATACAGTGCTGGAGAACACATCCATGGTCTCTGCATGTAGGCAAGCATTCTACTGACTAAGCTGCAGTCAATTCCCAGTCCTGGGTGAAAGCATTTTAATAGCATTTCTTATTTAAGCTTTCCTCCCTTAAATCAGTCTCATTCCATGAGTATTTTTTTCATTACTGTCACAAAAAAACAGTAACTATATATTAACCTCTACCCAGAATTTAGGGTACTCAAGGGTAAATGATATAGAGAACTTTAGCTAGCAATCAGTTAAAGAGAAAATATCTTACATTCAAGGTAATTGAGTTTTTATTACTTTCTGAAATTTTGTGTTGTCTTCATGTGTAGTAGGAAAATACTCTACCCCTCGAGTTATATCCTCAGTCCACAAATCATGTACTTTTTGATTTACAGATGTTTAACAAATACTGTGTTTATTATATGCATTTGATATTTTTTTGTATGTCCAGGCTCAAGAAAAATACAGTGCAGCCAGGTGTGGTAATGCATACCTATAATTCAGTACTTGGGAACAGAGGCAGGAGGATCTTGAGTTTGAGGCCAGCCTGGTCTACATAGGGACAGATCAGGTATAATGTAGCAAAGGTGGTGTTAACAGTATCCTGAATGTCCACAAGGTGGAGCAAATAATGAAAATGGGGGGCGGGGACAACAACAACAACAGACCCAAATGTGTAAGGAGAAGGACTCTATGCATTATGTGTGCAAGAGTAGGTGAGTTTTCACATACTGGGCTAAGCTTTTCTCTGTGGGTGCCAAGAATTCAAATTCAGGTCTCATACTTGGGCAATAAGTGATCTTATCTAACTGAGACATCTCCCTAGTCCCTGAAAAGCAAGTTTTTTGTTTTTTTTTTTTTTTTAGCAGTATTTGTAGATTTATTTATTTTATTTGTATGAGTATTTTGCCTGCATGTGTATATATGTCCCTCTGGAATCCTCCGGAACTGGAGTTATAGGCAGTTGTAAGCTGTCGTGTGAGTGCTGGAAACTGAACCTGGGTCTTCTGGAAGAGCAGCCAGAGATCTGCTGAGTCGTCTCTCTCACCCCAAAACAAACTTTTTTTTTTTTTTGGTTTTGTGAGACAAGGTTTCTCTGTGGCTTTGGAGGCTGTCCTGGAACTCACTCTGTAGACCAGGCTGGCCTCGAACTCACAGAGATCCGCCTGCCTCTGCCTCCCGAGTGCTGGGATTAAAGGTGTGCGCCACCAACGCCTGGCCAAAACAAACTTTTTTTAAAATAAAAGAATTTGCTTGTGTCTCTGGGAAATTGGTTATTATTTCTCATGGTGGGGGGTTTTTCTTGCTTTTATCCTTTGCTTTAAAGTAATAGTTGTTTGTTTCAGGGTTTTTGTTCATTTGTTTGTTTTAGGTTTTCTTTTTCTTTTTTTCCTTGAGCATCTCATTTTGTAATTGGCTGACTTAGAACTTGCTATGTAGACCAGGCTGGACTCAGACTTGCAGGTATCCTCCTATCTGCTTCTTGAGTACTGAGATTTCAGGGTGTCTTCTTGACTGGTTGTTGATGGAGCTTTAAATTCTGATTCAGTTTTCAGATGTGTTTTGTTCTCATTAATGACAGCACTTACAGCTAGAAAGGGGTCACTTGTAAAGCTCTGTCCAGATGAGGCTTTTGTAAAAATAGAAAGGAAACAATCTAGTAAAATCACCATTTAAAGGCAGTGTTTTGAAACAGCTGTCCTCTTTATCACACTGTAGAAGATAAAGCAACAGTGAACTGTGGAGTAGTTACACTATTTCTGACAAACTGTATATGATGAAGAAATACATTGTGTACTTACATTGTAACATGATGTTTGGTGTCAGACCTTTCTGAATTTGAGTTGGAACACTTGATTTTCTGTAGGGCATGAGAAGCACTTGAGGAATACCTGGTGAATAAAGGAGTTAACTTCTCTGCACCCTTGAGTCCTTATAAAGTTAATACTCAGTAATATTTTGTGGTTTAAGTGGAAAAGTGTTCAAGTCAAAGTCAATACACTATAGTATGCAGTAATCAGTTGAGTTGTAGCTGCTTATTAACTGTATAGTAAGCAGACATTCTCTGATTGTACTTGAAATGTTTGCAGCTCTTTAAGTTGCATGTATGTGCCTTTTCTTTGGGTCTTGCTGTGTAGCTACCAAGCTGTTCTTGAACTTGCTGTCCTCTGTCTCCTGAGTGTTAAGATTATAGGTGTATGCCACCATGCCCAACTGTGTGCATGTATTCTAGTGATAACGTCTCCACAGAGTACTTTCTTTCACTGAAGGTAAAGTGGGAGAGAGAACCTTGCAGAGTTTTAATATTTTCATTAAACCCAAATAGACTAATTGGGGAAGTTGAAAAGTGGGTAGTCAGAGTAGAACAGTGAATGAATTGCTGTGTTCAGAGTCTTGGTCTCTTAATTGCTTGTCCCAGCCTCAAGGCTGTCTCTGGACTCCAGATCTACATGCCTCTTCTGAGTGTTGGGTCTAGGTGTGCACCATAGTGCCCACCTACATTCAAAATGTGGAGAATTTTTTCTTGTTTATTAAAGACTTAATTATTTTTACTTTGTCTATGGATGCTTTGCCTGAGGGCATGCTGGTGTCTGCTAGTCAGAAGGTAGAGCCAGATCCTTTGGAACTGAAGTTGTAGAGAGTTGTGAGCTCCCTTGTAGGTTCTGGGAATCCATCTGGGTCCTCTGCAAGAGCAACAGGTGCTCTTAACAACTGAGCCATGCCTCCAGTCCATCAAAGTGTCTGTTTAAAAAAAACAACAAAAAAACAAACTCCATGCTTTGCTTACCTTTTTGGTTTTTTTTTTTGTTTTGTTTTGTTTTGTTTTGTTTTTTGAGACAGGGTTTCTCTGTGGCTTTGGAGGCTGTCCTGGAACTAGCTCTTATAGACCAGGCTGGCCTCGAACTCACAAAGATCCGCCTGCCTCGGCCTCCCGAGTGCTGGGATTAAAGGCGTGCGCAACCAACGCCCGGCCCCTTTTTGGTATTTTAAGATAGGGTTTTTCTCTGTAGCTTTGGAGCCTATCTGGAACTCAATATGTAGACCAGGCTGGCCTCGGTCTCACAGAGATCCACCTGCATCTGCTCCACTCGTGCTGGGATTAAAGGCATGCACCACCACTGCCTGGCTATCTATTTACTTTTAAGTTTTTTGAGATTTTTATTTATTTTATGTATATAAGTGTTTTGCCTGAATGTATTCAGTGTATCATGAAGATGGCACCACATCCTCTGGGACTAGTATTACAGATGGTTTTGAGCTGCCCTGTGGGTACTGAAAGAGTAGCCAATGCTTTTTAGCCATTGAGCCATCTCTCCAGCTCCAAGGGGGGGGCTTTATTTTTTTTAATACCTATTTATAATCAATGTAGTCAGCCAGCCATATTCATTCCACAAATGGGAGGGAGGTGTTCTTTTGTTTGGTTTTGGTTTTCATTTCTCTTTGTAACAGCTCTAACTGTCCTGGAACTTGCTTTGTGGACTAGGCTGGCCTTGAACTCACAGAGATCTACCTGCCTCTGCTTCCCAAGTGCTGGGATTAAAGGCATGCACCACCACCACCTGGCTTCAACAAATGTTGATTAATAATTTATATGCCAGGCTCTGCCAAATCTTAAATAAGAGTTATAGCTTATTCTTGAAAAACTTTCAGTTGAGTAGGGAAAGAATGTGGATAAAAGTAAATAAATAAGGACTGAGGAGATGGCTCAGTCAGAAAAGTGCCTCCTATTGCAAACATGAAGGCCTGAGTCTGGATCCCTAAACACAAGGCCAGTGGTAGCAGTGTATATCTACAAATTGGTAAACTTCCAGTTTATTGAGAGACTTCTTCTCAAGAAGGTGGGGGGCCTGGAGAGCACATACTGCTCTTCCAGAGGATCCAAATTTGGTTCCAGGACCCCATATTGGGCTGCTTATAATCATCTTAACTCTAGCTTTAGGGGATCCTCTAACTTAAACAGGCATCTGCATTCACATGCATGTACACTTATATACACACTTTAAAAAATTAAAAATAAGGTAGAAAGCAATTAAGATGTCCAGCACTAGCCTTTGACCTCCACAATCACACACACACACACACACACACACACGTGTGTGTGTGTGTGTGTGTGTGTGTACATATGCACACCAACATATGCCACATATACATGAAGTAGCCAAATAGTTTTTTCCCTATTTTACAATTTTTTTCTTTTTTTTTTAATTTATTTTATTTTTAAGTTTAAATTTAGATTAGAAACAAGGTTGCTTAACAAGTCAGTTCCAGGTCCCTCTCCCTTTCTCTCCCCTCCTCCCGTGCCCTCCCCTCAACCCCCCCATTATCCCCTCATTTCCCCAGGGAGGGTGAAGCCCTCCATGGGGGTATCCATAGTCTGTCATTTCATACAGGGCAGGGCCTAGACCCTCCCCCAAGAGTTCAGGGTGAGAGTTCATCTCACATTGTTGGATGGGAGTCCAAAGTCCGTGTGTATACTCGGGATGAGTACTGATCTACTGCCCAAGGCTCAATAAATTACCTAGGCCTCCTCACTGACACCCACATTCAGGGGGTCTTGATCAGGCCCATGCTGGATTCCCAGGCTGATGCCTGGGTGCCAAATAGTTTTAAAAGCTAAGTGATCTGAAAGACTTCAGAACATTTTATGTGTGTATGTGTCTGTGTGTGACTGCATGTGCATGCTTGTGGACTTGTATACCATAGTGTGCATATGAAGATAGGTTCTCTCCTTTCACCTTGTGACCTCCAAAGATCAAACTTAGGTCATCAGGTTCAGTGGCAAGCCTAGCCATCATCTTGCTGGGTCCTTGGATTTTTCTGTATAGTCCTGGATGAACTAGAACTCCATGTGTAGATTAGGCTAGCCTTAAACTTTTCGGTGGTCTTGCCTAGGCTTCCCAAGTGCTGGGATTGATGATCCCTGGTGGTATGATGGGCATGTTTGGAGACTTTCACCAGGTGCTGAGGTTACAGTATGGGCACCACACCTGACTGCTCCCTTCCCCCAAACTCTAGTATATTATTTATAATGAAATAGAATTTAACCTATATTATTCATTCTTAAGTCTTTTCCCTTTTGTTTGTTTTTTGAGACAGCGTTTCTGTAGCTTTGGAGCTTGTCCTGGAACTCAGTAGACCAGGCTGGCCTTGAACTCACAGAGACCCTCCTGCCTCTGCCTCCCAAGTGTTAGGATTAAAGGTGTGTGCCACCACCGCCCAGCAGTCTTTTCCCTTCTAAGGCCAATACTTCTTCTTTTTTTTTTTTTTTTTTTTTTTTTTTTTTTGGTTTTTTTCGAGACAGGGTTTCTCTGTATTGTCTTGGAGGCTGTCCTGGAACTCGCTCTGTAGACCAGGCTGGCCTTGAACTCACAGAGAACCGCCTGCCTCTGCCTCCCAAGTGCTGGGATTAAAGGCGTGCCCCACCACCGCCCGGCCTAAGGCCAATACTTCTAACCATTTTGGGAAACCACTTAAAATACCTAAAAGTTACTTTTAAAAAATGATATCCAGCTGTGGTGATGTAAACCTCCCAACCCTGGAGATAGAGGTAGGAGGACCGGGAATTCAGAGGTAGGAGGGCCAGGAATTCGAGGTCTTTCTCAACTACATATGAGTTCAAGACCTGTCCGTGCTGAGACCCTTCACCACAAAATAAAAATAAGCATGAAATATGGCCAGAGAATTATTTGTTGTGGAACCAGTGTTGATTTTAAGTTGAGAAGAGTAATCACAAAATATTTTGGCAAAGAAGTTTGAATCCAGATTGTTAATTACTATCTACAGAGGAACTCTACCCACCTTACCCTGACAATCTCTTGGTTAATGTGCTTTTTGTTTTGTTTTATTTTGAAGGAGATGGACGAACACATGCGGAGCATGTTGCATCACAGGGAACTTGAGAACTTGAAGGGCAGGTAATAAGAACAGTTCTCTTCCATAAGTTTCCTAATATGGGGGTCTAAGTGCCGATGGTGCCTGCCTACTTATTATGATGGCTGTTGTCTGATGGCATTGAATCATTGTTTAGAATTAATAACAGTAGATTTTTTGGCATTCAAGAGACAAACCCTGGTACACATGGGTAGAATTCATAGCATCTCAGGCAAGTAGTTTAACAACATTAAGCTGGCATGAGCTAGCTTTCTTACTCACAAGCTGACTCATTCCTGCATAGTGGCCTTACAGCTATTTTCCATATTTTTACTTTAGCAAAATTAATTGCAAGCTGTAAACCCTTAGTCTTTCTGAAATAGCCTAGAAATTCCACAACCTGTGTCTGCAAAACCAAATAAAAGACCTTAAGTGTTTTTTCAGAATGCTCTGTTAATGATTTAAAACGTAAGATATTTAAAAGAGGTTTGAAAAGAAAATGTGGTATGTATGTATGTATATATGTATATTCCATGTCCTTTTTTCTGTGTGTCTTCTTGACTAATGTGGATTTGAAATGTAGAGGTTAGATAAAGGTAACATTGGTAAATTCAGAAATATGAATTATATTTTGCTCCATGAATAGTAAAGTTTCTGTGAAGCTGATATTTTATTATGTAATGTTAATATTAACTTTATTGTAAGTCTTAATAGGTTTATCTTGTGTCTGTAAAATTAATGTGCTATTTTTAGACTTTAGCATATAAGTGCTAATGATTTCTTCCATGCCTGGGTCTGTAATGGTTGTACTTAGTGGAAACAAAAAAAAAAAAACCTTGATAGACATCAGCTCCTTTAGGTTGGGGAAATTTTCTTCTGTTAGTTTGTGAAAAATATTTTCTGAGTTTTTTTACCTGGGTTTCTTCTCTTTCCTCTATTCTTTTTATTTGTAGATTTGATCTTTTCTTATTATCTTAGATTTCCTGGAGACTTTTTGCCTGGATTTCTTTTTCAGATTTAACATTTTCTTCGATCAAGGCATCCACTTCTTCTATCTTGTCCTCAAATGTCTGAGATTCTCTCTTCCATCTTTTGTGTTCTGTTGGTGAAGCTTGCCTCAGAGGTTTTGTTTTCAAGTTCCTAGACATTTCGTATCTAGTTTTCCTTTAGTGTTGGTTTTCTTTTGATTCTATTTCTACTTTCATGTCTTGAACTGTTCTCTTTATTTCATTCCACTGTTTGCGTTTTCATTAATAGATTTGTTCATTTCCTCTTTAAGGATCTTTTTGTTTGTTTGTTTTTGGTTTTTCGAGACAGGGTTTCTCTGTGGCTTTGGAGGCTATCCTGGAACTCGCTTGGTAGTCCAGGCTGGTCTCGAACTTACAGAGATCCACCTGCCTCTGCCTCCCGAGTGCTGGGATTAAAGGCGTGCGCCACCAACGCCCGGCTTTTGTTTGTTTTTTGAGACAGGGTTTCACTGTAGCTTTGGAGGCTGTTCTAGAACTCACTCTGTAGACCAGGCTGGCCTTGAACTCACAGAGATCCGCCTGCCTCTGCTTCCCCAGTGCTGCTCTTTAAGGATCTTGAACATATTCATAATAGTATTTTGAAGTCTTTGTCTTATGCTCCAGCTGCATTGTGTTACTCAGGATCTAGTGTGGTAGGGTTGCTAGGCTCTAGTAGAGGGAAAGATATTGCCCTGGCTCTTACTGTGTTTTTATGCTGGTATCTAAGCATCTGGGTTTGGATTGACTCTAGGTGCTGATATCTGGACTTGTCTTTGTTGGGTTTGTGTTCTGTTCCCTTGGTTTCTGTTGCCCTCTCTGGTTCTTAGGAGAGTGTGATGGCTGTGGGTTGCAACCTGGTAGGAAATGCTTCTTAGATCTGCCAGGTGTGATCACTGGGAAGTAGGGGTAGAACATGTTTCTAGGTATTGGAATTTGACAGTAAGGGATGGGCATGGGCTAGCGGTGGGATAGTTGCTGTTACTGAGAGGGTCCATAGGAGGAAGGACAGCTGGGTGTGCCAACTAGAATCTCTGTAGACTAGTCCTGGAAATGGAGGGAGAGAGGCCACAGCAGGTGGGCTGCTGCAGAGCTGGGGATTAGACTGGGGGTTAGAATCGAGAACAGGAGGAGCTTCAAGGAGTGCCCCAGCCAGTGCTCTTAACCACGTAGCTGTTGCTTAAAGATTCAGATGATAACAAATACAGGATCATGGAAAGTAAGTTTGTTGGGCCAGGTGTGGTGTCACACACCTTTAATCCCATGACTCAGGAGGTAGATACGGGAGGATTTCTGAGGTCGAGGCCAGCCTGGTCTACATAAGGAGTTTCAGGACAGCCAGGACTACATAGAGGAACTCTGTCTCAAAGAGAGGGGAAAAATGAAAGAAAGAAGCTGGGCGGTAGTGGCGCACGCCTTTATTCCCAGCAAATGGGAGGCAGAGACAGGTGGATCTCTGTGAGTTTGAGACCATAGCCTGGTCTACAAGATCTAGTTCCAGGACAGCCTCCAAAGCCACAGAGAAACCCTGTCTCGAAAAACCAAAAAAGAAAAAAAAATCCCACTCCATCTTGCTGTTTTCTGAGTCAAGAGTTTCACTTGTTAGGGACATGGGCATACACAAGAAAAGGCTTTCAATTACATTTCTACAAACTGTATTCCCTCTGATTAGGTGCCCTTGACTTGAGTAATCTGCCCATCCTACCCAAACTTTGTATGCATTCAGTTTTAGATCTGTGCACATGCTTTGTTCTGTCTTAAGTGACTGGACCTCATGTGGATTATGTGTTGCTCTGTAACTTCCTTTCCTCCTGTAAATACCATCTTGAGCACCCTAACTCCTTTTATGTAGAGGGAGCACATTTGTACAGGTTTCTTCATATGGTAGGTGAGGCCATAACAAATTGCTAGCCTTTAACAAATAAATAGCATGAAAAACCAGCTGATCAGTTTTTGAAAAACCTCATGAAATCTCAAAAATGATTTATTGACTTGGAGCATTATTTTAATGACAGTCATAACTGGTTTGTGCCTTAGAGACATACATATCAGTGATTATTTCTTTTCCCTCTTAGCCCCAGCATATGACCATGGATTTCTTGTGTTTAATTACTGTGCTTACTGCTGAACTTTACTTTTTAGTTATGATTTTTTTTTATGGTTTTTCAAGACAGGGTTTCTCTGTGGCTTTGTAGGCTGTCCTGGAACTAGCTCTTGTAGACCAGGCTGACCTCGAACTCACAGAGATCCGCCTGCCTCTGCCTCCCAAGTGCTGGGATTAAAGGCGTGCGCCACCAACGCCTGGCTAGTTAAAGTACTTTATTAAGTTTTTACATTCAATTTTGATGGCAAGCTTGACCATATTGGTCAGTTTTCTTTGGTTTCTAATTAGGGACATGTGGTAGGTGTGTGATATAAGCAGTTTCTCCAGATAGAAGTTACCAAAGACTCAAGCCTTTATTTATCAAGCAGCTGTTGTGGTTTAGTTAGAGCAAGCTTTATAAGGAAAGGCTTATGCATAGAGTATCTTAAGACTGCCTTTTGTACATGAGGGGAAATTGTGTGGTGACAGGATGAAGCTAATTTGGGCCTTTCAAACACTCTGAGGAAAATTATTGTGTTTATTAGCCATGACACAAAAGCAATGCATTTTGTCCACAATTACATGTTTATGCAGAGTTTTTAAGCCAGTTATTAATGTGTAACTCCAATCCTAATTGGTCTTAATAATAAAAACCCAGAATCAGACATCAAGGTAAATGCTAGAAGATCAGAGAAACAAAGGATCAAGCCACAGCCACTTTTTACCTAGCCAACTCTTCAGCCCAAAAGGGGGCTGAGCCCCTGTCTCCACCTTACCTTATCACTTCCTTTCTTTGACTCAGCCTTACCATTTTCTGTTTCCTCCTCCCATGTGCTGGGATTAAAGGTGTGTGCCACCACTTCCTGGCTTCTGTGGTTAACTAGTGGCTGGCTCTGCCTTCTGATCTCCAAGCAAGCTTTGTTTGTTAGAGCACAAACAAAATATCACCACATTAATGAAGAATTCAAGAGAGATATTGATGGCTTGAGCTTAAGAAAAATTTCTCTGCATTTTGTAGTCATAATCTGCAATTTTGAAAAAGTTCAGAGATAGTACAAAAGTCTCCAATAGAGTGAGACCAGTGGTATGGCAATATACAGTTTAGCATTTTGTACATTAAGTAGAAACATAGGTGAAGACATTAAAGCAAAGTTATTTTCTAGCTAAAAATGAAGTTGGTTTGGATTTCATTTACAGTGTTTGTACGGTATTTGTCTTATAGTAGTCTACAGATTCTTCTGGTGCTGCCCATTGGGAACAGATTCCTGTTTATATTTTAAACTTTGTGTTGTTGTAAGATACTTACATGCTATTACAAGGTAATACCCACCTAGAATGAGTTAGCCTCAACCTAGTTGTCTTAGAGAACTTTATTCTTGATAAGTTGTAGAAAGTAGGTAATGATTCTTCCTTTGCTTTTATTGCTGTTGTTTGGTTGATTGGTTCTGATAGATTCTCACTATGTAGCCCTTGCTGGCCTTGAACTCATTATACTCAGAGATCTGCTTGCCTCTACCTCTAGAATACTAGGATTTAAAGGCGTGTACTGCCACACCAGGTCATGTTTAATCTTTAAACATACAGGTGCTAGTAAATAGTACTTTAAAGTATTATAGGATGAAATGGAACATTGAATTCAGGTAACCAATTGATATTTTTAGGGAACCTCATCAGAACTCTCATTTAAAGATTTTAAACTGTTAGCATTTGTGCTACAAAGTACAAAAAAAGTGTAAATTTTCGACATTTTTAGATTTTCAAAGATTCTTCCAGTATAAGAAACAGTATTGGGAAATGGGGCAGCGGTTTGGGAGGCAGAGGCAGGCAGATCTCTGTGAGTTCAAGGCCAGCCAGTCTACAAAGCTACACAGAGAAACCCTGTCTCAAAAAATCAAAAAAGAGCCGGGCGTTGGTGGCGTATGCCTTTAATCCCAGCACTGGGGAGGCAGAGGCTGGAGGATCTCTGTGAGTTCCAGGACAGCCTGATCTACAGAGGGAGTTCCAGGACAGCTTCCAAAACAATACAGAGAAACCTGTCTTGAAAAACCAAAAAAAAAAAAAAAAATCAAGAAAGAAAGAAAGAGAAATAGTATTGATAATGGAGAGATGGCCAATCGATTAAAAGCACTGGCTGCTCTTCGAGAGTACTTGGGTTCAAATTCCAGCACACACATGGCATCTTACAATTGTCTATAACTCCAGTTCTAGGGGATTCAACATCACATAGACAAGCATGCAAGCAAAACACCAATGTACATAAAATAAATATTTTTTAAAAAGAAGAAAGAAAGAAGCAGTGTTTGAGGGAGGGCCTGAAATTTCTTTTTTTTCTCCTTCTCTCCTACCTCCTCCCTCCCTCAGGGTCTTCCTGTGTGGCTCTGGCTGGTCTACAACTGCTTTGAAGAGTAGGCTGGTTTTGAACTCACAGTGCTGCAGACCAAACCTGGTACCTTGTGCCTGCACTAGATGGATGCATGTCCTACCATTTTGATAAATTTCTAGCCCACTAGTATTGCTTTTTCTCTGCTAAAATATGTTTATTATTTGTGTGTAAATGTGTATTTAGGTAAATATATGCCATGTGAGAACAGGAACCCACAGAGGCCAGAAAAGGGTGTCAGACCACATGGAGCTCATGGGTCCTCTGGGAAAGTACTCTCCCCAACCCCAGTATTGCTTTTTAAAATGTAACAGGAATTGTTTGAAGTTTTATAGTTTGTAACTCAGAGTAACTTTTTGCTGTGCTTGGCATTTGGTAAGGTGTGTGTTTAGTTTAAATGGACATTCAGGTGATCTGTAACAGAAACGGTCTTCTAGTAAATGAAGTGCTTGGTATCAAGGACCTCTGTGAATTCATATCGATTCTGCTTATTTTCATTGGGTATTTGTTTAAAAGAGAGGGGTAGATAGCTGTATTTCATGGCATGTGTCTGTGGTGATTTGTAGACACAGATTGGTGTAAGAAGCACATATTTTATCACTGTTATAAACTTACAATACAAGATCCTGGATTAAGTTTGAATGACTGAACAGCCACAGTTTGCACAGTTCTTGGTGCCTGCATAGACTGTTGACTTAGTCAAAGGATTGCAGGAAGCTTAAAAGCTGTTAAATTATTGATCTGCTACGGGCCTGAAGAGGATTTAAGATTTTGCTTAAGGGTGGCCAAATATGAGATTTACCATTATGTCAAGTAAAAGAAAAAACAATAGAAGCAAACCAGTCACCCAGTTTAGGTAAAGGCCAGTTTTGCTTGTATCTGGACTGCAGCATTTTCTGAAACTTGAGAAAAAACATTTGCTTAACACAGCTGTTAACTTCTTACAACTGACATGTTTTCCATTCCCTTTAAAATGAACCCTGCTGAAGCAGAATGTGTCACATGTATCATCCAGACTAAGAACATTTGCTGGGACTACTGCTGTCATTTGCCAGGGTCCGGAATCTTCACATTCCAGGCAGAACGCCAGCTGTTTCAATTTAGTTACCAGATGGAGATTGGCTGTTCCCCCTCCTCTTTGCTCCACCCCCAGCCTTCACTGGACGAATGTTTTAGAACTGGAGATGAAATGGAAGTGCTGTCCCCAGGCTTTCTGAGTGCCACGGGCACCATGGGTGCGGCCCAGAGCAACTTATGTTTGCTCTGAGCCCCCTGCCCGGCCTCCCCTTTCACCATGTTTCCTCTGGCAAGATTTTAAGTACAGCAATTCAAGAAGATTTTTCCTAAATCCCATTAATCTGAAGTGTGTTGCCTCTTGATTGCTGGAAAAGAACCTAAAATTTATTTCAAAGTAATCTATAAACAGATTTACTAAAAGTGATGAAAGGAGCATTGACATTTATTAGCACTGATTTTTTACTGCACCCAGTTGTGCAGTGTCTTTCAGAGGAAACTAGCAATCTGGTGAGTGTGCCATGCCAGTGGGGAGAATTGAATGTCCCTCATCTCCCTCTTTCCCTAGGGACAGTAGTCATGAGTGCCGAGTGTGCGGGGTCACAGAAGTGGGTCTCTCTGCATATGCAAAGCACATTTCTGGCCAGTTGCACAAAGATAATGTTGATGCCCAGGAAAGAAAAGATGGTGGAAAGGAAGACGAAGAAGAAGATTATTTTGACAAGGAACTTGTTCAGTTAATACAGGAAAGAAAAGAACAAAACCGGTAAGTCATCCTGTTTTTTTTGTTTTTTTTTTGGTTTTTTTTTTGAGATAGAGTCTTATGTAGACAGTTTATCCATCCTGGTGATGAACCTCTAGGGCTTGGTGTAGCTAAGAAAACTTTGTACTAACTGAGCTCAGTTTTAAAGAGCCTAAAGCTTAATCATACCCTAAATATAGAGTTTTGTTTGCCTTTTGCTATCTGGGGACCAAGAACTATGCAATGCTTTCCTGAACTGCTGTGTTATCTGTCCTGAAACTTAGTCTTATTTTAAATAAGCTAATAGAGCTACAAACCTGAAAACTATAGTCTTAGTCACTGTGTGTGGAACTGGTTTTATTAGAATCCAATTTTCTGCTAGAAAACTGGAGAGTATAATATATAAGCATCATTGAATAGACATTTCATCTATCATTCATTTGTATTATTATCCATTAAGTATTTTTATTGTCCAAATAATATTTCTTAGGGGAAAGGATTACCTCTTGTAAATTAGCCTGGCGCTTCTACCAAATTTGAATTTTACCTTTGTAGTTCTAGTGACTACACAGCGTCCAGTTCACACTGAGTATTTCTATAAAACTGTTTTAAATTTGACAATGTCAAAATTAATGTTTACATATTTGTGTGTTAGGCCTTAAGTTTTATTTGTTTTTAAATGAGCTGGGCAGTTATGTAGCCATGGCTAGTTTACAGCTTGTTCATAGCAAAAATGATTCTGAACTGTTGTCTCTGTCCCCTAAGGTGCTACAGTCACAGGTGTGTACTGCCACACCTGGTTTTGGCCTAAAGAACTTACTTAATGAGGCAGAAGATATGAGAGAACAATTAATGTAGTATTTGAAGTCCTAACATGAAGAGAAAATGTAAAACTCTAAAATAAAAATTTTAAAGATTCTTCTTGATTATTAATTAGACATACTTTCACCTTTTTATGTTAGAGACTTAAATACAGGTGGGAAATACGTAGTTTTATCCTATATGTTAGCTTTTCTTTAAGTCCTTGAAGAAGACTTTTTTAGTCTTAAAATGCCCATAGCAACATGATTGTTGAGCCCTTGTGTTGCTTGGTTCTCCTGGTGCCATTCTCATGACTGCAGTAACAGCTGTAGTCTCCACTTCTGTTTTAGGGATACTAATTCTTTTGGTTTGGTTTCAAGACAGGGTTTCTCTGTGTAGCCCTGACTGTCCTGGAACTCACTCTGTAGACCAGGCTGGCCTTTGAACTCAGAGAGATCCACCTGCATCTACCTCTCAAGTGCTGACACTAAGGCATGCACCACCACTGCCAGTATATAGGACACTGGTTTCTAACAGCTAACAACAAAATATTAAAGCTTAGCTGTGTAGATGATTAAACATTATCAGAGGCTAGGATTAGACACTGTTATCACAGTTACTGTTTTTTGAATCTTATGCCCTTATGGTGACACAGTTCTATAAGATCATGTACTTCTTTTACTTGCTGATGGATTGAAGCAGGGTCTTTTTATGTAGTCAACTCACACTCTTCTTAGCCCTGGCCTAAGTGCTAAGATTACAGGCAAGTGCTACTATGTCAGCCTACATAAAGTTTTAGTTTTATCTTGTGAAAAAGGAACTGATCTGTATCCAGCCCCATTAAAGGCCAGTTAGGGGCTGTCAAGACAGCCAGGCCATGGTGGCATAGGTCTTTAATCATAGCACCCAGAGGCAGAATCAGGAGGATCTGTGAGTTCCAGGACAGCTAGGGCTACACAGAGAAACCCTTCCTCAAGAAATGAACAAAAGAGCAGTGAAGATAGTTCTGTGGGTAGAGGAACTTGCATCCAAGCCTAACAACCTACATCCAATCCCCAAAACTCATATGACGAAAGAACTGACTGATCTCCACACAGGGACCATGCCATGTGCACGCACATACTCATCAATGTTTTGTTTTTTTCAAAAGGCCAGTTAAGGTCAGCTTTTAAGATGTAAGTCAATGTTTTTATGTTTTAGTTTTTTGTTTGTTGAGACGACATCTTGCTCCGTAGCCATGGCTAGTCTGGAGCTCACTACATAGACCAGTCTAGCCTCAGACTTACAGAGATCCACCTACTTCTGCCTCCCAGTGCTTTGATTAGAGGTGTATATCACCATGCCCAGACATTTTTATTGTATCAAGGCCCAAGTGGTCAATATAAAATCTGTAGTCAAGGTTCAGGGTTTGTTCTACCCTTTGCATTTGTATGACTCACCCAATCTAAACGTGAGCCTGTCCATTTAAAAAGACATAAACACTTGCCTCTGGATTATTAGGGTTCATTGAGGTAATCCAAATAAAGTACTTAGCATTAATGAGTTATTCTACATGAAGTACTTAGCAGAAACAAAGTGAATTTTAGCTTACTTTGTTAACCGGTGTTTTGAGCAACTATCACGTGCTGGGGAATACTCTGTCAAACATTCTGTAGAAAAAAGTTGTTTGACAGTGCTGCGATATGTAAGTGTTCTCCTTTTGTGGACTCCTTATATACATGAATAGCTTGAACAGCTGAAGGTTCTCTGTAAACTACATCTAGCTCATCAGTTCCTTTTAGCCTCTTATGGGAACTCTTATTTGACCTGTTCTGTTTTCTTCCTGTTTGTGACCCCTTTACTATTTCAGCTTGGTTCTAAGCCTATTCTAAACAGGAACTGTACATAAATGTTTTCTTACACTGCTAACAGCCATGATGGCCACTTGATAAAGTAGTTAATAATGAAGGTGTCCATGAAAAGTATGATGTTACCACTTAAGGTGGGTTTAAAAATCGATTTTTCAGTAAGAACATGGGCCTGGAAAAATCATGCATGGCCACTGACTGAACATTGAGTTAATGATAATGTAGCTGTTCTTATTTTGAAAAGAGCCACATAATGTAATATGCTAAGGTAATAGGAACAAAAAAACCAACAGAAGATAGTGTAAATGTATCTAATTTTTAGTATTTCTAGGATAAAGGGGAAGGTGGTCTAGTAGTTTGCAAGTATAAAAGCAACCACCAGAAATAAAAGTGGGTCCCATTCTGTAATCTAAGAAGAGGAGAGAGAGTTTGGGTGGGCTATGCCTTTAAAAAAAGAATATATAAGAATTTCATTAAATCCATAATGACAAACTTGTTTCTCTTTCAGACAAGATGAGCCTACCAATAACAGCCAAGAAATAAACTCAGATGACAGGCAACCCCAGTGGAGACGAGAAGACCGAATCCCTTACCAAGACAGAGAGAGCTATAATCAGCCAGCAAGGCATCATCGTGGACCTCCACCACGGGATTGGAAATGGGAAAAGGATGGCTTTAATAATACTAGGAAAAGTAACTTCCCACATTCTTTGAGGAATAGTGGTGGGCCAAGAGGGAGTTCTGGGTGGCATAAAGGTGCTACAAGAGGTTCTTCAACTTGGTTCCATAGTCATAGTAATTCTGGAGGAGGTTGGCATTCAAACAATGGAATGGTAGATTGGAATTATAATAGCACAGGAAGGAATTCCAGTTGGCATTCTGAAGGAACAGGTGGTTTTTCCAGCTGGCACATGAACAACAGTAACGGAAACTGGAAATCCAGTGTACGTGGTACAAATAGTTGGAATTACAATGGCCCTGGAGACAAATTTCAACAAGGAAGAAACAGAAATTCTAATTATCAAATGGAGGACATGACCAAGATGTGGAACAAGAAATCTAATAAGCCAAGCAAGTACAATCAAGAGAGATATAAATGGCAGTGGCAAGACAGTGACAAAGCTGGGAAATACAGAAGTTCTTCTGAGGGGTTTGCAAGTGATAAATTTCCTTCAGAAGGCTTGCTTGAGTTCAGTTTTGAGCAGCGAGAAAGTCAGACCACTAAACAGACAGACGCAGCCTCAAAAGTTAATGGAAAGAGTGGCAGTGTAGCAAGGGAAAAGTTCCGCCGCTGGACACCTTACCCTTCCCAGAAGACTCCAGACTTACAGTCAGCCCTGAAAGAAGTCATTGGCAACAAGTCAGAAATGACAGATAAGCCTCTCTTTAATTTTAGCTTAATAACTGCAGGAATGCAGGAGCCAGTTGGTAAAACAAGTAATCCCCCAGTGCTAAAAACACAAAAGGAAATGCTTCCTGGATCTCCCAGTCACAAAGCTGTTCCTGATGGCACTGCTTTCTGTGAGGTGGTGAGAGCTTGCCCCGTTACTGAACAGTCTGAACCACACCGTAAGTCAAATAAGATTCCATTATTGAAATCCCCACTCCTTCCAACTCCTAAGTCAGGTCCTCATAAGCATAATTTAAAGGGCCGCTCAAAAAACAGTGAAACACAATCCCTTTCCTCTGGAGATCGCTTACATCTTATGAAAAAGTCCACTTTGGAAGGCAGCCATGGTTCTCCCTACACATCCAAGTCACATGGTTTGTGTGCTCGTGTTTTAAAGGGAAATAAAACTGTGTCAAGCATGGAAAAAGAGCCTGATGAGAAATTAAATGACACATTACAGAAAGCCCAAGAGGCACTCCAGTGTCCCAGAACACTGCAAAAGCCACTCCTTAGCACATCCAAAAGGCCCGAGAACCATGCAAAAGAAAGTAGGAGTGTACAAGAGTCAGCACAAGACTCTGTGGACATTGAGTTTCAGGCCCATTCAGCTGAAAATGATGGCATAACATCTGATCCAGAAAACCATGCCATAAAAAGTGGAGCAGTGGTTTTGGCAACTCCAGAGGCCGAGTCCTGTGGCACTCACACTGTGGATAAGGAACAAGGGAATCAGATCCTGGAGACATCTGGGGCCCTTTCCACCTCCCCACATAATTCCACAGTTCACCAGAAAGAGGCTGAGTTACAGGGGACAGCAGCAGCTGGCCCACACTCTGGCTTACTGCTAGACTTGAAGAGCTCTCTAGAAGATGTACAGGATAATGGTCTTGTCAAACCCCATGCGCCTTTTGAAACAGAAAGCTTTGAGGGCACTAGTTTGGATGCAGAGCTTCAAAAAGGCGATATCAGTAATCAACCCCCAGGCACACTCCTGCCTGAACTAAGTAAACTTGGTTTTCCTGCCTCGCTCCAGAGAGATTTAACCCGGCACATTAGTTTGAAGAGCAAAACCGGGGCACATCTCCCAGAGCCAAACCTCAATAGTGCTCGACGTATTCGAAATATTAGTGGCCACCGAAAGAATGAGACTGAGAAGGAGTCTGGGCTTAAGCCAACCCTACGACAGATTCTAAATGCATCAAGGAGAAATGTCAACTGGGAACAGGTCATTCAACAAGTAACCAAGAAAAAGCAAGAGCTGGGCAAAGGTTTACCCAGGTGTGTGCCTCTTTCGGTATCTGTCCTTGCTTTCTTTTAAAGGTTACCACCCTTTGGCCTTGATTTAAAAGAGAGTTCTTGTTCTACTTAATTAAATGTTTGCTGAAAATATCAATTGTAGATGTCTGCTTTAATCCAGTATCAAACAGTGACTGATCCCATCTGATACATGTGACAGTTTTCCTGACTATGCAATTAAGAAGGGGGTATTTGAGAAACTATAGATAGACCTAGGAAAATGCTGTCAGAAATCTATCACTTAGGTTTAAATGGACTAGAATATGGTATCTTCCTTTGAATCTTAATATTTGGAACCAGTGGTAAAATTTTTAACTGTAACTGCTCTTACTACCTGTCACTCACTCGTGGATACCGTTCTATCTGCTGTGGGTATTGCCCTGGGGATCAGAGAATGCTTTCTGTCACATTTTGTCACATTTTGAGGTGCTGTTCTGAATGGTCAAGGAGTGTTCAACATAGGTTTGCTACTTGAAAAAATCATAATTTTGCAGTAATATGTGTAACCCTCCAGGCTTGGGGTCTTAACTGTTCTTGTTGATTTCTTTGCCTTGTTTTTCTTTCTTAAACCTTTTGAAAGGTGTGTGGTATAGTAAAGTGGGAAGCTTAGAGTCATGTGCAGTGGCTGTGAATGCTTGGTAAACTGGTTTCTTTGCTTTTAAAATGTTTATTATAGAAAAACAGCTCTGTTTGAAGGGTAAAAACCCCCAATTGTTACTAACTCGCTTGCCCTCTGGTAGCTGTATGCAGTTCTGATTTAGTGCCTGTGACATTGCAGTATTTGTTGACTTTTTCTGGATCCCTTGTCAGAAGTGTACTCCTTGATAGCAGGAGCTGTCCTCTGTAACCTCTGCATAATGGAACCTGGCGCATTAAACAGCGCTCACCCAACCCATCTGATTTGTTCCTTTTTTTTCCCTTTCCTTTTTAAAGGTTCGGCATAGAAATGGTGCCTTTGGTTCAGAATGAACAGGAAGTCTTGGATTTAGATGAGGAGCCTGATCTGTCCAGACTAGAAGGATTCCAGTGGGAAGGTGTTTCCATTTCTGCATCCCCTGGCTTGGCAAGAAAGCGAAGCCTTTCTGAAAGCAGTGTGATCGTGGACAGGGCTCCTGTGTATAGCTTATTTAGTGAGGAAGGTACCGGCAAAGAAAATGCACCCCAGCAGACTACTTCACCTAGTAACCCATTGAGTGCTGCTGCCCAGAGTCAAAAGGCAGCCATGTATCTTGAACAGGAAGTAGCACCTCTGACTCCCTCTGCCAGAACAGGTGAAAGGGTTGGGAACATTCCTACCCAAAGGCGACATAGTACACAGTTACCATCTGATCACGTAATACCTTTCATGCATTCGGCCAGAGACCTGCATAGCCAGGAGAGGTCTACACCATCATTGGAGCGCCGTGCCCAGGAGAGCAATGGAGAAGGAAACTCGCTCTCATCAAATGCATCTTCAGTTCATGCGGTCTCCAGCTTAGCAGATGCAGCCACTGACAGTAGCTGTACCTCTGGTGCTGAGCAAAACGATGGTCACAGTGTTAGAAAGAAGCGAAGAGCCACTGGGGTGAGTGTGAGTCCCCGTGCTTTTGTAAAGTATCTGGTGTGAAGACTCGATTATTGATAAGAAAGGCTCAGCTGATTTTTATTGGGCATCTGGGGTGTGGCTTCCTTTGCTCTGGAGCAGAATTGTGACTCTTTCATCCTTCTGGTTCCTCTGACCTGAGTAGCTCCACTAAAGTAGATGTAATATGACACGAATGTACAGTACCAGGAAAATATGAAGTCATCTCTAAAACTAGTCTCCCAGCAAGGGTTCACCTAAGAATAGGTCACATCTTCAGATGTAACTTAATCTGTTTTCATAGAGGCACTTGGTACTGCTGCATTTGTAGAACATGTGCAAATATTGGATTCATGGTTAAGCTGGAAGGTGTAACACTGAAGAGATTTGGTAGTATTGGAGTGCATATACATAAACATTGTGTAACAATTTTTTAGTCTTTGTAATTGTCTTTAGTTACCCCAGCTGATCCTGTAAGGCACTTTGCCTTCATTTAACCACCTGTGCTGCTCTGACTCCTTGATGAGGACGGTGGTGGTGGTGACATCCCTGTCCCAAGGTCCCTTTCTGAAAAGAAAGCTGCTGGTGGTCATACTGTCTGTAATCTGGCAGTATGTAAAGCTTCCCTTTAAAGCTGAAGCCATGAACGGATTTAGACCTGCTTCAAGCCCTGACTCTGCTTCCCTAAACCATAGAAGATACTGTTAGGTGGTGTTAAATGTTCTTGAATCTTGAGATTGCACCCTTCTGAAAAGCCATTGCCTTGAGGTTTGCCTTGTAGGTGGTTTAGCTTCTGATAGGAAAGGTTTTCTGTGGGAATTTAGAGTGGAGCTTGTGCCATGATGAGATGAATAAAATATCATTGGCTCTGCCTGTCCCATCTACATGTCATTTCACCTAGATGGAAGGCTGAGTACATGGGCTTTACCACATCTAATACCAGAAAGCACTTGATCTTAGACTTTTTAACTCCTGGTTGAGTTGTACACAAGGCCTCTATTGTCCCCTCAGAGATGATAGCAAAAGGTAACATAGGACTATCTTAAAACTCTTTTTTTTTTTTTTTTTTGTCCCTCTCCATAATGTCCTTTGTATGTTTCAATATTCAATTTTCTTTCTCTTTAGGATGGATCGTCCCCTGAACTACCAAGTCTGGAGAGAAAAAATAAAAGAAGGAAAATTAAAGGAAAGAAAGGTATGGCTACAAGATGTTATAGCAGAACACTATTGTTTTTATTTGGTTTAGTTGTTTTTTTTTTCAAGACAGGGTTTCTCTGTGTCCTGGCTCTGGCTGTCCTGGAACTCAAAGAGATTCACCTGCCTCTGCCTCCCAAGTGCTGGGGTTCCTTATTGTTTTGAGACAGGGTATTGCTATATAGTTCAGACTGGCCTCACACTTGGAGAGATCCTCTTGTCTCAGTCTTCCATGTGCTGGGTACAAGCTTGTAAGCATCATACCATAAGGCTTGCTGTGGTTTTTTTGGTTGTTGTTGAGAAAGGAACTGGTTTGTGGCTCAGTAGTAAAGTACTTGCCTAGAAGGCAGAGGGCCCATTTCAGTCCTCTGCTCTATCTATAGATCCAAGATTGCCTGGGCTACAATCCTGCTCTAGCCTCTGGGAAGCTAGGCTGCAAACTTATGCCAGTGCCACCATACCTCTCTTGTATGTGTTTTTTCTTACATTGTTCTCTTATTTATTTGTTCATTTATTTTGTTGGGGGAGAATTTTTTGTTTGTTTTTTCGAGACTGGGTTTCTCTGTAGCTTTGGAGCCTGTCCTGGAATTGCTCAGTAGACCAGGCTGGCCTCCATCTCATAGAGATCCACCTGCCTCTGCCTCCCGAGTGCTGAGATTAAAACCATATGCCGCCACCACCCAGCTCATTGTTCTCTTGTTTAAAAGCAGAGAAAAGTCTGATTGCTTGCTACATTAGCTGCTGCTGAAAAAATACTGAAAGCTAAGTTGTAGACCATATAGACAGGAAACTTCTTTTTGATTTTCCAGTTGGAATGAGAAGTAAGAGGCCATTAAAATGTCCCTCTCACTTTTTCTTTCTTTTTTCTAAGGTTTCTTAACCTGTGACTCAGACTAGCCTTGAACTGGGGTAGTTCTGCCTTCAAGTCCCAAGTGGTAGATTACAGCTGGGAGCCCACTCACCTTGGCTTCACTTTTTATTTTTGAGGTTCCTTTTTTGCTTTTGCTAATGTGTATTAAGGAGTTTGTAGCAGAAAGAACAGGTTCTGATTTCTGTATGTTTAGGTTCCTACTTGGTATCAAAACTAGATTTTCTATGGGAAAGCTTAATAAAGATAACTGTGACATCAGTCGCAGAACAAAAAAGTCCCTCAGCATATTGGGATTGCATCAAACTTAAGCTTTCATACATCAAGAGAAACATCTGGGATGTGTGGTAGTATGCTGGGGAGGTGGAAGCAAGAGGATCAATAAATAGTTCAAGGTTATCAGATACCTAGAAAGCAGCAACCACAGCAAAAAACAATAAATAGGTCAGTTGTCATTATTAATCCCAGCTTTCCACAGACAGAGGCAACTGGGTCTCTGAAAGTTCTACGTCAACCTGGACCATATAGTCCTATCTCAAAAACAATAGAAACAAACAGAAGAATTAACAAGCAAGAGTCTGACAAAAGGGAACTGTTTGAATCTCAGTAACAGTCTAGAAAACATGGTTTCAGAAGTCTGAGGCTCAGTCTTGGCCAAAGTCCTGAGTGAGGAGCTTGATAGAAGAAGAAAGGGGGATGGGACCAACACCATCTGTGTTCTAGGACAGAGATCTCCTCCTCTATAGGATGTGGTGGAGGGCAGTGGTCTCAAAAAACAGTAAGCTGGGGTGGGGAGCTATGAGAGCCCTGTGGTTCTTATTTTGATTTTTTAGCTTTGATGTCATCAGGTCTGGCCACATACTTTGTGAGATTCATGGGTCTCATTCACCTGTTGAGAGAAAAGACAAGTTTGTACTAAGTATTTCTTTCTTTGAAGAAGCTATTACTAAACTGGGCCTTCTGTTTTGTTCTGACAGAACGTTCTCAGGTTGACCAGCTATTGAATATTTCCTTAAGAGAGGAAGAACTGAGCAAGTCACTGCAGTGCATGGATAACAACCTCCTGCAGGCCCGGGCGGCCCTGCAGACAGCTTACGTGGAAGTCCAGAGGCTGCTCATGCTCAAGCAGCAGGTAACGGCTGGGGGTCTCTGAGAACACTGATGAGCTGCAGGGTTGGACTCTAGAATGCTCAGCAAAGTGTTTTACTTTCAGATAAGTATGGAGATGAGTGCGCTGCGGACTCACAGAATACAGATTCTGCAAGGACTACAAGGTATTACAGCATGTCTGATGGCAAGAAGCCATGGGAGTTTCACACAGTGTACATCTCAGAAAGGTTTGACAGGGTTGGGCTGAGTGGCCAGGCCTGTGATCTCTGCTGCTCAGGAGGCTGACACAGGAGTGTGAGTTCAAGATTTATCTGGCTACAGAGTGAATTCAAGGCCTGCATCTCAAAACGAGAGAGTAAAAAGAATTGGTGATGTGGATTAGTTGTTGAGGACTTGCTTAGTATGGGCAAAGCCCTAGGTTCAGCTTATAGTGTGGGATTACAGTGAGAGGAAGAGGAAAAGAATAATCATTAGCCTTGGTTAGGAATCAGAAGAACTGAGTTCAAATCTTGGCTTTCATTAGTAGCTGTATGACTTGGATAAGCATTTAAAGTTTGACTTTTTTATTTAATTTAAATTAGAAACAAGTTTGCTTTACATGTCAAACCCAGCTCCCTCCCCTCCTCTCCCACCCCCCTTCAACCCTCCCCGAAACCCTCCTCCAATCCCCATTTCACTCTCCAAGGAGGGTGAGGATCTCGAAAGTCTGTCATATGATCTGGGGCAGGGCTTAGGTCCTCTCTGATGTGTCCAGGCGGAGACCTCATCCCTCCACATGGAATGGGCTCCCAAAGTCCATCTGGATGACAGGGCTAAACGCTGATACATTGCCTGAGGCCCCAAAGGATGCTGAGACCTCCTCACTGACACCCATGTTCAGGGGGTCTGGATCAGTCCCACTCTGGCCTCTCAGCTATCAGTCTGGGGTATATGAGCTCCCCCTTCTTCAAGTCAGATGTTTCTGTGGGTTTCACCTGCCAAGTCATAACCCCTTTACTCATTACTCCTTCCTCTCTGCAGCTGGGTTCCAGGAGTTCAGTTCAGTGTTTAGCTGTGGGTGTCTGCCTCTGCTTCCTCCAGCCACTGGATGAAGGCTCTAGGATAGCATACAAGGAAGTTGCCAATCACGTTATCAGGGAAGGGCATTTAAGGTAGCCTTTCCAGTACTGGTTAGATTGCCAGCTGGTGTCATCCTTGTAGGCCTCTGGACATCTCACTAGTACCAGATCTCTCTTCAAACCTATAATGGTTCCTTCTATTTAAAGCTTGACTTTTTTTTCTTTCCTTTGTTTAATTTTTGTTCTTATTTTTTTAATAGGGTCTTACTCAGTAGCCCAGGCTATCCCAGGACTTATAAAGTCTAGGGTGACCTATAACTCCTAGCAATCTACCTTTCTCAAACTATTGAATGTTATATTTTAGGTGGAGCCACCCCCAACTTTGAGAAATTTAAGTGTTAAAGCTTGTTGTCTCTGTGCCCTTGATAGTTGTACAGGTTAGACATTTTGTTTGGACAAGTAAAAAGGGAGGATGCTAACATGTTATTAATTTAATTTTTGTTTTCAATTTATTATCTTTTTTTTCCAGACAGGGTCATTCAAGGTAGCTCTGATAGTCCTGAAATTGGCTCTATAGACCAGGCTGGCCTCAAACTCACAGATCTGCCTGCCTCTGCCTCCTGCGTGCTGGCATTAAAGGCATGAGCCACCATGTCTGCCTAAACTTAATAGGTAGCTGAGGGTGCTGCTGAACTCCTCATTCTCTAGTCAATAACTTCCGAGTGCTGTGATTTACAAGCATGTAACACCATGCCCAACTTAAAATTATTTCCTTTTTTTTAAAAATTTTTTTTATTATGTATGCATATAGTGTTCTATGCTTAGACACCAGAAGAGGGCACCATGTGGTTGCTGGGGATTGAACTCAGGTCCTCTGGAAGAGCAGGCAGTGCTCTTAACCTCTGAGCCATCTCTCCAGCCCCTATTTCCTAATTTTTTAAAATACATATTGGAAGCCAGGTATGGTGACATGTGTCTTTGATCCCAGCATTGATACAGGTGGATCTCTGTGGGTTCAAGGCCAGTCTGGTCTACTTAGTGAGTTCCAGGACAGCTAGCACTGCATAGTGAGACCATATTTCAGACAAAAAAACAACAACAACAAATAAAAATTGACTAAGAAATAAATGACTTTCCAAGTGACAGTCTTTCATTTGTATGTGTTTCTGTGTTACAGAAACATATGAACCTTCTGAGCACCCAGACCAGGCTCCCTGTAGCCTCACAGCACGAGAACAAAGGAACAGCCGATCCCAGACCTCTGTTGAGACCACACTGCTGCCTGCTCCCTTTTTCCCTGGGTTTCTGGAGCCACCTCCTTCCCTTGTGTCTCCATCATCCATTGGAACCCCTCTCCAGATAACCACATCTTCTTTCCAAGTCCATGGTACTGTTCCTGATTCGTCAGTTCAGATTAAACAAGAGCCCATGTCTCCTGAACAAGTGGGGAATATGAATGCCGTGCCTCAAGGCTCTGCTTCCAATGTGTCCAAGGAATTACTGCAAAGTAATAGTAAGTAAGCTTTTCTCCAAGTTCAGGGCCTTCCTGTAGGACAATTATGCATCATAGTATAAAACCTACTAAAGCAAAGTCACACATTGTGCTGTGTGCTGTTAATCCAGCACATGACAGTTCGATGCAGGTGAATCTCTGAGTTAGAGATTAGCCTGATCTACTGAGTAAGTTCCAGGCCAGCCCTGGCTATATAGTGAGACCTTGTCTCAAAAAATGGTTGCTATTTAGTTAGTTTTTTATTGACAGATACTTCATACAGGAAGGTTGTTTTCAAATACTTCAGAGAATGTGGGATAAGGGATATGGCTCAGTTGGTAAAGATACTTGTCACCAAGCCTCATGGCCTGAACTTAATCCCTAGAATCCACTTGGAGGAAGAGAGCCTGGACCACCACATGCACACCTGTGCTAACGCACACACATTAAAATAAATGTAAATTCTTAAAACACTAATAAAATGTTTCAGAGAATGTAACTTAAGTTTCATGGTTCCCTGATTTTGTTGGAGCTTGATGAATTGACATTTCTAAAAGGTTTCATTTGTCTTTTGATACTTGGGTTAAGATTGGTCAGCCTGTTTACTTGGTAAGGCATGTACTGTGAATTTCTGAGCACCTAACTGCCTTTATTACCTCAGATGTAAGTTAGGATGATTAAAAACCTGAGAGGCACGGGGTTCTGGTGTTTACAGGTGTTAACAGGAACATGTGTGGGTTGAGAAATAGCCAGGCTTAAAACTTGCCTGGCCTAACATTTGAAAATAACTTCTTAGCTGTTTTTATTACTACAAATCCTGTCATATTAAAAACTGAGTCAAAAAAAACCCAGACAGTCCAAATGAAATGGTTCAGCAGACATAAACTAGCCAAAGCAAGCCTGCCAACTTAAGTCCGATCCCTGGAACCCACGCAAAGAACTGCATTCCGTGGCACAAACCTGTAACCCCAGCACTTGTTGGTGTGGGAGGTCAAAACGAGAGAATTGCTTGGAAGCTTGCAGGCCAGCTAGCCTGGAGTATGAAGCACAGCAGCAGAAAACAAGAGAGCCTGCCTCAGTACACCCAAAACTTGTCCTCTGACCTGCATGCTTATGCCATGGTATGTACACACAAATACACACACCCTACAAAAAAAAGCCAAGTGGACATTGTGTGATCCCTTAAGCTAAAACAGATGTGAAAAATTCATTCAGTTTTTGCTACTTGTGCCCTGTTGCAGTGCTTATGCAGATACTAGTATCAAATGTCTGTGATATGTCATATTGAATTTTAAGTAACTTTTATGGGTTAGTATTTAAGTTTTTAAAACTATAATGCATTAGGGCTGGTGAGATGACTCAGTGAGTAAATGTACTTATCACCAAACCTGAAAATCTGAGTTTAATCCCCAGGATCCATACTGTAGAAAGAGAGGCTTGACTTCTGCAAATTGTCCTCTGACCTTCACATGTGCTCATATACACAAATAAAATATAGCAGAAAAAATTAATTTATACAGTGAATTATACTGGCTTTTGAAGAAATTAATTAACTATTATATGCATGTATATATATATTTATATATATAATTATACACTTCCTATCTTTTTTAGAGAGGAAGGCTGCTGGCGATTGCATGTTAGGCAAGCCCAGTACTACCACTGAAGTACAAATATCCTGAGCTGTATTTCAGTCTATCTTAAACTATAAGTATATGTTTGTTTACATATAGACTTTATAATGGAGAAATCATAGTTTACCGTAATCTGACCTTGGGATTAGGTTCAGTGGATGAGATTGAGATCACTTATTCTTTTTGTTTGTTTGTTTGTTTTTAAGAGATAGGGTTTCTCTGTGGCTTTTTGGAGCCTGTCCTGGAACTCACTCTCATAGACCAGGCTGGTCTCGAACTCACAGAGATCCACCTGCCTCTGCCTCCTGAGTGCTGGGATTAAAGGCATGCTCTGCCACCACCCGACGAGATCACTTACTCTTGTAAACATTGAAGGCTCTTGTTGTAATCCCAGCACCCTACAGTAAGATGGGACACTCAGATAGAATCACCAAGTCCATGCATCAGCAAGCCTGGAGTACACAGTGCATTGGTAGAAGCAGTAAAAGATTCTCTACCTCCATACAAAGTAGAAAGTAAGACTAGCTCCCAAGAGTTGTCCTCTGACCTTCACACAAGTTCCTGGCCACACGTACACTGGAACTTCTTGTATATGCAAGCACTGTGTGCATGTACACACACACACACACAGATCAAAACCTACATACTATTAAATATGTGAACATTCAAAGTAGAGGAAAGATCAGTATACATGATCCCTGCCCTCAGAAGTTGATTTTGTTTGATCTCCTGATTCAGGAATGGCCAGTGACAACCGTCCAGTTAACCCAGCCCTTCCTGCAGTGTTAACATCAGGGTCAACAGAAAGTTGCCAGGAGGCTAGCCAGGATCAGAATTGTTCCGTGGAGCAAGGAAGTTCAAGAGACAAAGAGAACTCTCCCTCCTCCCAGCCTTGTGATCTTCCTGACATAAACAAAGGTGAAGAGTCTGCCAAAGGCAGCAGTGGATCTGAAGCCTGCAGCAGTTCTTTTCTAAGGCTGCCTTTTACTCCTGAAACCCCTGTGGAGAAGGAAACTCACTCTCCGCCCGAGCAGCAGGCAGAGTCCACGCTGGCATCAGCTGAAACTAGAGGGAGCAAGAAGAAGAAGAAACTTCGGAAGAAGAGGTCGCTTCGGGCCACCCATGTTCCTGAGAACAGTGACACCGAACAGGATGTGTTTACTGCTAAGCCTGCAAGAAAGGTAAAGACTGGAAAGGTAGCTAAAGGGGGGAAAGTAACGACCTCCACCTGGGAAGACAGCAGAACTGGTCAGGAGCATGAAACTGTCAGAGATGAACCAGACAGTGAGTCCTCCCTGGAAGTCCTGGAAGTTCCAAATCCTCAGTTAGAAGTCGTTGCCATTGATTCTTCTGAATCTGGAGAAGAGAAACCAGACAGCCCATCGAAGAAGGATAGCTGGAGCTCTGCAGAACAAAACCCAGCAGAAGCTTCTCGTTCTGGGTGTGACGAAGTTAGCTCTACCAGTGAGATTGGCACCCGCTACAAGGATGGCATTCCCGTCAGGTAAGGGTGGTTATCTCTAGTCAGCAGCTTTCACTGCTCTTTCATTTAGTCTATTCTTGTTTTCTGGTTCTTAGAGATAAGGTTTCACAGTGTAGCCGTGTCTGTCCTAGAACTCCATCTGTAGACCAGGCTGACTGTGAACTCACATAGATCCACCTACCTTTGCCTCCTGAGTGCTGGGATTAAAGGCTTGTACCACTGTGCCCAGATTCATGTATTGTTTTAAGTAGAATTTTAGAATTTATTTATAAATCAAAATGTATGTGATGGGGCTGGAGAGATGGCTCAGAGGTTAAGAGCACTGACTGCTCTTCCAGAGGTCCTGAGTTCAATTCCCAGCAACCACACGATGGCTCACAACCATCTGTAATGAGACCTGGTACCCTCTTCTGACGTTCAGGCAGAACATTGTGTACATAATTAAAAAAAAGTATGTGAAGGAGGTTATTAATAGGAAAAAAAACAAATCTTGGGAGTTGGGTTTTTTGTTTTGTTTTTGCTTTCTCTTTTGACTGTGTTGTAAATTTCAAAGAAATTTCAGGTGGAAAATTTGATTCTTTGAGTTAGAAAAGTTTTTAGTTTTGACACCTGTCCTGGTCTCCTAGATGCTAAGAAATTTTTGCTATTATTTTTCAGTGTGGCAGAAACCCAGACAGTAATCTCCTCCATAAAAGCATCAAAGAACTCTTCAGGTAATTTTTGTGTTTTGTTTACATAGCCGCAGGGCAAGGGGTTTTTAGAATTTAGAAGTTAAGTCAGTTTAAGTCTATTTAAATATATTCATAGAACAGTAGACAAAATGAGAAGTTACACCAAAAAGGATTGCTTGGCTTGGTGCCAAGTCTGTAAATCCTGGATTTTGCATGATACACACTTATATTTGTCTTAGCTGGTCCCCTTTTTTGACCTTGTTAGTTTTATTTGTCTTAGCTGGTCCTCTTTTCTGACCTCGTTAATTTTAAGGTTGTCATTGTTTGTTTTGTTTTGTTTTCGCTGGGATCCTCCCTGTGAAGAACTTTGAAAGTTGTGACATTCTTCTTGGGTAACTAAGATTTAAGAGAGTCATGTGGTGATTTTTAATCCAAGTCCTCTGGGTGGTTGTGATGGCTTTGATTTAGGATCTCTTCAGACTGTAGCAGACATATCCCTGAAACCTGCTTCTGTTTTCCAGAACTGTCATCAGAGCCAGGAGATGATGACGAGCCTACAGAAGGAAGCTTTGAGGGACACCAAGCTGCTGTGAATGCGATTCAAATATTTGGAAACTTACTGTATACTTGTTCAGCTGACACAACTGTTCGAGTTTATAATTTGGTGGTAAGAAGCCTGTTTTGAGAAACCTTCGGTTGCCGTCTTTAAGCCTCACTTGCGTTGTCTTTAACATAGTGGCTTTCCAGGGCTGTAGGCCAATCTAGAGGCAGTGGTCATCCAGTCAGCAGGGACAGCTTTTCTCCAGTCACATTTTCCTAAAATGTAGTTCTGAGAGGTACCTCTCTGGTCTCTCTGGTATCGCTCTCTCTCCATTAGAAAAAGATATCCTGTGCTTTATTCTCTGAACCAACATCCATGGCCAAGGGAATAGGATCACACCAGTAGGTGAGGGCCAGTCAGTCCCCAACCTTGACATTAGTGATGGAGTTAGTTGCATGATGAGGTCAGATGCTGCTTAGTATTGAAGGATGAAATGAGTATTGCAGCATATTTGAGGAGGTGTTTTTATCTGGTGATTAATTATAGAATTCAAATTCTCACAGAAAGTAACACCTTTCCATGCTTCACCCTCAGTATAACTGAGCACTTTAAGGTTTGAATTTCTGTCACAGCTAGCTTTGCCCTCTGCAGTGATAACCAAGACACATTAGGAACACATGCTTGTCTTCTGAGTCAACACCATGAAGGTGATGAACCAAGACTTGTTTACTATAGGTAGCAGGTATGCAGTCTAGGGACATGAGAAGTATCAGAAATAACCCCAGGAAAAAAGCATTCCTAAACCACTAGGGCCAACGATAGCAACTGACAGTTTTAGATTGTTGATCATTCTCATAAACTGGTAATCAAATGCATAACTTCTCTGGGCAGTTAGCAGCAGTTTGGATTTGCTAGGTCCCTTGGTCCATATATTAGAAAAACTTTACCTAGGAATTAAGTGAAATTCTCTCTTGCCTCATTGTGAATCACCTAAGTATTTTGGGAGTATTGCTTAGTAAATATATAGGTACCTCACCATTGTGACTTTTGCTTGGTGTCCAGTGAACTAAGTGTACTAAGCAGCATATTTGAGGTGACTATAGCAATGGTCAGGGAGTTTTTGCATGTTTTTACTAACAAAAGGCATTGTCTAATTCCTCTAAATTAGTTACCTTTCTACTGCTGTGATAAAATACCATGACCAAGGTATCTTCCAGAAGGAAGGGTTTATTTGGATTTTATAATTCCATAAATACATAGGGTTGTATTCCATAATGGCAGAATTAGGAAACTCCCATCTTGAACCTCAGGGATGGAGCAGAGAGTGTGAACTGGAAATGCCTGCCCCCTGTGATATACCTTGTCCAGGAAGGCTACACCACCTTAACCTCCCCCAGCCAGCACCAACAACTCATGTTAGAATGTTCAGATATCTGAGACTGTGGTAAACATTTCTAATGCAAACTACCAGACCTTCTGAATCCTGTAATAATCTGACCTATGCTTGATTTTTAGAGTCGGAAGTGCATTGGTGTCTTTGAGGGCCATACTTCCAAAGTGAACTGCCTACTTGTCACTCACACCTCTGGGAAGAACTCTGTCCTTTACACTGGTTCCAGTGACCACACCATTCGCTGCTATAACGCCAAGGTTGGTGGCTCTAGAGAAAGCAAAGTGGTAATGTTGAACCTTTTACTGTATAGTCTGTCATTCTTCTCATTTGACTTTCTCATTTTGTTTCTGAGGGTATTTTAGCATGCTGGTACCATCTTAGGTAGATAGAAGATTCAGCATAAACCACATTTTCTATTTGTTCATTTCATCATTACATACAGTACATCTATTATGTACTGTAACAGTATAGCTCCCTTGGTCTTTCTCATAAATATTCTTATTTTCATATAATATACCAGAATAAATCCTAGCTGCAATATTTTAAAATTTCTTTATTTACTTACTTTGTGTATGTATGTATATATATATATATATACATATATATATATATATGCATGTTTCTATGCATGTGTGTCATGTTGGGTGTGTGGAGGTCAGAGAATGACTTACAGAGTTTTTTTTTTCTCTATTGTAGTTCAAGGGATCAAACTCATGTCATCAAGCCTGGCTTCCTTCAGGAACCTTTATCTCCTGAGCCATTTCACTGGCCCCTGTTAATTTAATTTCTTTAAAAGTTAAATTTTATGGGGCTTAGAGAAATAAGTCAGTTGGTAAAGTGCTTGCCTTGAAGACCTGAATTCTATCCTCAGAACTCGGTTTAAAAAGCCGATAGAGGGCCGGGCGTTGGTGACGCACGCCTTTAATCCCAGCACTTGGGAGGCAGAGGCAGGCGGATCTCTGTGAGTTCGAGGCCAGCCTGGTCTACAAGAGCTAGTTCCAGGACAGCCTCCAAAGCCACAGAGAAACCCTGTCTCGAAAAACCAAAAAAAAAAAAAAAAAAAAAAAGCCGATAGAGGGGCCTGCAAGATGGCTCAGTGGAGAAAGGAACTTCCTGACAAACTTGATGACCAACCTTTAGATCCATGGGGCCCACATGGTGGGAGGAAGGAGCCAGCTCTACAAGTTGTCCTCTGGCTTCCACACAGAGTCTCCCGTTCCAGGCTGGCTTCAGATTGGCATAGAACTTCTGGTGCTCCTACTTCTACCTCCCAAATACTGAGAAACAGACATGAGCTATCACACGCAGTATATGATGTGCTGAAGATTGAACCCAGGGCTCCCTGACTGCTAGACAAGGACTCAGCCACATCACCAGATGCAGCTTAATCATTTATTTATCATTGTCCCTTTAAGCTTAGCACTCAATTCAGCCCTCTTAATAATTTATACATTTTTAGCCGGCCATTGGTGGCGCACACCTTTAATCCCAGCACTCCGGAGGCAGAGGCAGGCGGATCTCTGTGAGTTTGAGACCAGCCTGGTCTACCGAGCGAGTTCTAGGACAGCCTCCAAAACAATACAGAGAAACCCTGCCTTGAAAAACCAAAAAAAAAAAAAAAAGGAGAAGAAGAAGAATTTATACATTCTTAATTAGAAATAGCAATATTATTAGGCTGTTTTTGATAGTATCCTCACACCCTGGGATCTTGACCATATATATGTATGTGTGTGTATTTTTTTTTTTTTTGGTTTTTCGAGACAGGGTTTCTCTGTATCGTTTTCAAGGCTGTCGGTCCAGCCTGGCCTCGAACTCACAGAGATCCACCTGCCTCTGCCTCCCGAGTGCTGGGATTAAAGGCGTGCGCCACCACTGCCCGGCCTGTGTGTATTTTTTTTTTTAAAGATTTATTTATTCATTATATATACAGCGTTCTGCCTGCATGTATGCCTGCAGGCTAGAAAAGGGCACCAGATCTCATTACAGGTGATTGTGAGCCACCAAAACTCAGGACTTCTGGAAGAGCAGTCAGTGCTTTTAAGCGCTGAGCCATCTCTCCAGCCACTGGATCTTATATTTTTAAAGAAGAAAAATACCTCAGATAGTCTACTATGCTTTTCACTCTCATTGTAAAGTGTTTTGAGGAGCAATTGTTCACACATTTGTCTCTATCCTCTGTTAGTAAGGGGTTGTTTTCGGTTTTTGGGTTTTGTTTTTTCAGACCCGAGAATGTATGGAACAGTTAAAGCTGGAAGACCGTGTTCTCTGCCTTCATAACAGATGGCGAATCCTCTATGCTGGACTGGCAAATGGCACTGTGGTCACCTTCAACATAAAGGTTAGTGGTTGGGATAGTGGGCTGAATTTCCCCGCCTTTTGTAAGTAGATTAAAGGCATATGGTGAGAAGTAGCAAGTAGCCATTTCTTCTGGTTTGGGGAAACAATAGAACTAGCCTTTGTTTAAAAGCAGTTAGTCTTCTAGTGCAAGTGAAATCAATCCTCCATTCTGTTTGCTCAGATTCAAAATGCCAGGACTACTAAATTAAACCAAGCCTGAATATTTGGGCCAAATAATGAGTCATAGGTTAAACCAGTGTATCTCATTTTAAGAATGACACCATGGAAAATGAATCTGAGTTCCCTGACTTTTGTCTCTGATGTGGTTGGAGACCAATTTAGGGTTCACGAGGATACCCTGTTCTGTGAGGGGAAGTAAATCAAAGGTTTTCTCTAACAGCCATGCAGCCTTATTCTTATCCCAAAGATAAATTCATTTGGTAAGCAAATTTCACCATCTTTCCTATGTTGAGCCCAGAGTATCCTAGTTTCTATTGCTGTGACAAAATACCCCAAACAAAAAGCAATTCAAAAAGAAAGGGTTTATTTGACTGACAGTTCCAGGTTAGACCATTACTGAGTAGAGTTCAAGGCAAGAACTTGAAGCCGCTAGCCATATCGGTAGCCAAGAGCAGAAGGAGGCGCACATGCAAGCTGTTGTGTGCCCAGCTCCCTCGCTCAACTTCTGTAGTCAGGCACCGGATCCAAGTTTGGGTATCTGTGTCTCCCCCGCCCCACTCAGTGCATTAAGACAGTCTCCCACAGACTTAGCCACAGGCCAGCCGACAACCTTCATTGAGACTCTTCCCAGATGATGCTAGGCTATTTCTAGTTGATAATTAAAGCTACCATTAAAGCTACCATTAAAGCACGGAATGGACTGTGTGTGCTTACACCTCGAGACTCACTCCCATTTCCGCTTTAGAAGGTAAGCATGCTTTGACAGGCTTGGAGAAGACTCCCAGTAGAGTCAGGGAGATCTTGTAGGAGGCTTCGTGGGCAGGTGACATGAAAGGACAAGCTAAGGATGAGGAAGAGGAAATGGGAGTGATATGTGATGGACACAGGGTTGTGAGTGCGGCTGGTGCAGCACTGGCTGGGACTGTATAACAAATGTGATGTAACATAGGTTTTGCCTTTTAGAAACTTTTTAAAATGAAATTTGAAGACTTGAGCATGTTTATAATCAAGGGTTCCTGATGTGAGTGATAAGTGCAGATTTTTTAATTGAAGACATCAGTGCCAGTTTCCTGATGATTGAATTAAGCAATAGGAATAGGACCTAAGAGTAAATTAAAGTCTTACCTATAAAGGACAAAAACTCCGTAGTTATAAAATAGTTGTTCTCTTTTGTACAATTAATGTCAGAGATCCACATTACAAAGGGAGCATTTAATGGTGTCAGATGGAAAAGAGTTTCAGATAGTTGGAAGTAGAGAGGTAGAGGGCAGATTTGAAATTTCATGTATGTGTGTACAGTAAGGGGGGTGAGAAACTTCAGAGCAAGATTGGCAAGCAGGATAGAAGAGATAAGGGAAACATGCATGGAGTGTGAAGTAGAACACATTTTAGAGTTTGTGGTGTAAACATGCCATTCTGCTATAAAGGCTGCTATTTTCTGTTAAATGACTTCATAAGACATAACAGACATCTTTGGGGGGCAGTATGAGGTGTAGGAAGATGAAAGTAACATAAATATGGAGAACTAAGTTTGTTTTAGATTTGCTTATTTTATGGATAAGAGTATTTTTATTTTGCCTTCCTATGTCTGTGTACCATGTGCCCACAGAGTCAGGTCCGTCTCCAAGAGTTTTAAATGTTTATTAAATCGGAGAGATGGTTCAGTGGTTAAGAGGACCTGAGTTCTGTTCCCAGCATGTACATCATGCTGCTCATGATACCAGTAACTCCAGATCCAGGAGAGCTATCGCCCTCTTGTGCCTTCCTGGGGACCTGAATACTCAATGGTGTACCACCACCACCACCCCCAGACATACATTCACATAAGTAAAATAAATCTAAAATTGTTTAGTAAGGTAGATAGCTCTCAGTAGAGATTTTTTGAAATGTCATGAGATATATAGCATATCTTTTTGGGGACAAAGCACAATGGGAAGATAGGCATAGTGGTTTATGCCTATATCTCAGCACTAGGAAGGCTGAGGCAGGAGAATGTCTATGACTTTAAGAGTAATCTGGGCTGGCTACATAGTCAGTTCAAGCCTTTACCAGGCTGCTTAGCAAGACCCTGTTTCAAAAAAGAAAGATAACTGAATAAGTCTACAGACACCACTGGCAGAAACTACACTGGAGGTGGTTTGTTATCAGGATCGGGCAGTTCAGGTTTTGGGGATAAAATAGTTTGTAATGTATGAGTTTGCTCTACTAGATTAGGGGAGAAAGGTCCCAAGCAGCAAAGAAGGTTGGAGCTGACATTCCAGGGGTTAGAACATTCGGGATTTAGGATAGACAGTAGATGTAAGTTTACAGTAGTTTTGGTTAGCTGTTTCTTAAGTTTCCTTGCTAAGTTGCTTTTATAGAATGTTGGTTTGTTTTTTAGAATAACAAGCAACAGGAGATCTTTGAATGCCACGGCCCTCGGGCAGTCAGTTGTCTTGCCACAGCTCAGGAAGGTGCCCGAAAACTGCTGGTTGTAGGATCTTATGACTGTACCATTAGTGTCCGTGATGCACGGAATGGACTGTTGCTCAGAACCCTGGAGGGCCACAGCAAGACCGTCCTTTGCATGAAGGTGAGTAAATAGATAGGTTTGAACAGCATTTCCACTACTGTGTGGTGCGTTGTTAGAATCTTGTAAAGAGCATAGTCAAGGGGATTGCAGTCTTCTGTGCTTGGGTCACAAAGTAGCCAATCATTTTTAATACCATCAGCAAGAACAAATATATTTTATTGTAGTGTGGGCACACTGTGATGCCCTTCTAGGACAGTTCATAGTCTCGCAATGTTCTGGCAAGTTCATCACCGTGCCTGGTGGTAAGACATGCATTTCCCGTTAGAAAGTTTGTCTGGGAAACATTATTTTATACATAGTTTGTATCTCAAAATAGGGTGGAAATTTATATTTGTTAGTGTGTGTTAAAATTACCTTGCACAAAAGCTAATTCTTTGACTTTTTCTTTAAGGTGGTGAACGACCTTGTGTTCAGTGGCTCTAGTGACCAGTCGGTCCATGCTCACAACATACATGTAAGCTATGTTGATAAAGTGGAAGGAAGTCCCGAAGGCTTCCTTGGCCCATTATCTAGTAAAAAGGAATAATAATAACCCCATATGCATGTGTGTGCTCTTAGGTAATTTCAGACCACCTGGAAATCCTAACCTCGTTAATCATAAAATGACTGTGTGGAAGGTTTCATTTGAAAGCCTCTTTTAAACTTAAGGGCCAAGGCTTTTGGTGTTTAAAGTAGAACAGGTAAAAATCACTGAGAAGCTGCTCTTAGATCTTAGACACAGCACAGAAGCTCAGTTTGCACTGCAGAGGTAGCCCAGTCCATCCTGACGTGTTCTTGGGACCAGTGGATGATAAAAGTGACAGTGTAGCTTGACTATCATTTCTTATTTCAAACTTACATATTTGTATATTGCACATGCATATATAAAATAGATGTCTAGTATATAAATATAAAATTTGTCTCATTTACACATAGCCTGAAGATAATTGTGTGTCTGTGTGTAACACAGTCTGAGTTTTGACTGTGACCTGACAAATCTGGTGAGTTATAGGGGTTTTCACTTGTGATTGATGTCTGTGTTCTGAAGTTGTGAATTTTGGAGCTTTATGACTTTTGGATCAGAGATACTCACACTTCAGAAATAGAGGGGCTGGTAAATGGCTCAGCAGGTTGATAAAGGTGCTTACCACAAACCCCCATAAATTAAGCTTCATTCCCTGAACGCATGGTAGTAGAGAACTGATCTCCAACATTTGTGCCATGGCGTGTGTGCTTACAAAATACACAGAGTCAACAAATTTAAAGTCGGAAGATATATGTAGTATTCTCTGTAGGTCGCAGTACTGTGGTAGTGAGAACTTGACCTGTTAGCATTAGAATAACTGTATTTGTTTACAGGAGCCTCCAAATTTTCCCTTAGAACTTTATAATCATAAAATGTAGGAGGAATCCTAAGGCAAGTCTAGCGACTGTCCCTCTTTTCTGGTGCAGACTGGTGAGCTTGTACGCATCTATAAAGGTCATAATCATGCAGTGACTGTTGTGAATATCCTGGGGAAAGTGATGGTGACTGCTTGCCTGGACAAGTTTGTTCGAGTCTACGAATTGCAGGTAGGATTGGGCCTGTGTGTTTTGCATGACTGCTTTGAGGAGATTGTCTGGCTGGAGTAAGGTCGGACCTTTGAATCTGCAATTTCAGAAGCCTTCTAAGATGATTAGGAAGCAACCAGGCCAAAGATTGTGCTCAGAAACCACTCTGAGATACTTGCTCAGGCTCCCATCTGCCAAAACTAGCATGATTTTTACTGCCTTGCTTCTCCTGTGGGTGGATAAGGTGGATAGATGGATAGGGATTGAGACAGGGCTGTGTAGCCCAATCTGGCTTCACACTTCCAGTGTAGCTGAGGATGTCTGAATTCCTGGCTCTGCTGCCTTCACCTTCCAAGTGCTGGCCTACACGTCACCATTGACAAAACTAAGATGCTTTCTGGAGAAACCTGTCCAGTTCTCCTCGCTGTGGCTTCGGGTTTGAAACATTGGTATCAAGTAGTCCCGTCCCGTCCCCCCCCGTTGACTTAATCCTCTATCTTTTTTTTTTCTTCCTCTTCCTAAGTCCCATGATCGACTGCAAGTTTATGGAGGACACAAGGACATGATCATGTGTATGACCATCCATAAAAGTGTGGTGGGTATTGCTTATTTTGTCAGATGTTTGCCTTTGAATGTGTTTACTTAAAACTCCACATGCTGATAGTAATGTGTCTACTTTTACTACTGCAGAGTGACATCTTACCAACTTGATTACTAAGTGCCTCACTTCTTGTAGTAGTGGGAAGGAACCCAGCAACATTGTTGAGCACTCTGTTTCTATGAATAACTAACATAAGTGCAGTAAAATCTATTACCACTGTTAATGGAAGATGCGATGCTTTTGTAGACATCCTCTGAACAGGACACTGGGAATTAAGTCAGAAGATTTGGCTAATGTGGCATTGTTAAAGCCAATTTATCTAACCCTGCTTAACTAACTTACTTCTTTCCTTTCTTATTTTTTAGACAGGGTCTCACTATGTGGTCCTGGCACTGGAACTCACTCTTTAGACCAGGCTCCCTCTGAACTAAGTGAGATCAGCCTGCCTCTGCCTCCCTAGTGTTAGATTAAAGGTGCCACCACAACTGGCTCCCTGTTTAACTTTGAGGGTTTTGTTTGTGAAGTTGAACTGGGGTAGGATGTTTCCAAGATCTTGAGTAGTAAAACTTTTTTTTGGCAATGAATACAGACTGCCATTTAGTTAACAGCACTGTCCCAGTACAAAGTTAAGTAGGAACCTTGGAGCCCTGTCATCACAGTTCAAGGGTGACTCTCTCTGAACACAATGTCAAGAAATTACTGCACAACTTTGGGGTCTCAACCCAGGTTTTACATGAGGTTTATATATTTCTTTATACTTCCATGAAGGGTATTTTTTGGGTTTTTTGTTTGGTTGGTTGGTTTTTCGAGACTGTCCTGGAACTCTCTTTGAAGACCAGGCTGGCCTTGAACTCACAGAGATCCACCTGCCTCTGCCTCCCAAGTGCTGAGATTAAAGGTGTGCACCGCTGCCACCACCACCTGGTGAAGGGTGTTTTTATATTTGTTTCTTCGTGTGTATTTAGTCTGGTACTCTAAACCTCTTTCTCCAGATTTACACTGGTTGTTATGATGGAAGCATCCAGGCTGTGCGGCTGAATCTGATGCAGAATTACCGCTGTTGGGTAAGCTATAAGACCCTTGTTACCAGACTTGATTGTTACTCGGTCCTGGACTGATTTATAGATCTTGGTGGTTGTAGTTCCACGATGCGCTTATGGCCTTGTACTGTATGTATGGCAGAGAGGCTTCATTTGGAAGAATACATAGAAAAATCTCTCACGTTCGATAAGAGATATGTAAATAGTGTCTTCTTACTTTGTCTCCTAGGTGTTGGTTTTGTGTAGTCATGTTTGCAGTACTAAGGGTCAAACCTCACACCTGATAGGCAGGTCCTTTGCCACTAAAGTCTGTTCCACCTTAGGTAGTTTCTTTTTTGTTATTAAGTCAGTACGTGAAGTAAATAGTGATACTTATTTTTGTAGCCTCTCCTCTCTGCAGTCCCCTTCTCAGGTGTTACGAGTATTTATTCTAGTTGGTTGTATTCTTTGGGGTCTTTACTCTTTGTTCTTTATTCCTTTGGTGGGGCCTACCACCCAGCTCCCAAATAAATCACACACGGAGACTTCTTTTTTTTTTTTTTTTTTTTTTTTTGGTTTTTCGAGGCAGAGTTTCTTTGTGGCTTTGGAGGCTGTCCTGGAACTAGCTCTTGTAGCCCAGCCCAGCCTCGAACTCACAGAGATCCGCCTGCCTCTGCCTCCCGAGTGCTGGGATTAAAAGCTCGCACCACCACGGCCCAGCTCTTGCCCCCTTTTCTTAACTTAAATTATCCCATCTACCTTTTGCCTCTGGGCTTTTACCTTTCTCTATTTCTGTATATCTTTTCTTTACCTCTTATTCTATGTCTGGCTGGGTGGCTGGCCCCTTCTTTTCTTGCTCTTTCATCTCTGTTTTAATTCTTCTCTTTATTCTCTCTGTATGCCAGCCCCTCCTATCCTTGCTCCTGACTTGATGTTGACCATTCAGCTCTTGATTAGATCAATCAGGTGTTTTAGACAGACAAAGTAACACAGCTTCACAGAGTTAAATGCAGCATAAAAGAATGCAACACATCTCTGCATCATTAAAACAAATGTTCCACAACATAAACAAATATAACACATCTTAAAATAATATTCTATAACAGTTTATGGCTTGACTTATTACCTTGGTGGCTTCTGCTGAATAGAAAAACTTAGAATAACAAATTTATAGTCTTAACTTAGTCCACTGAACTAAGTGTGTGTGGGGTGGGGTATGGAAGCTAATAATTAGCCCACAAAACTTCAGCATCATCCCTGTAGGCCTTGTTTTCAGTTGGTTCTAGGACTGGGAGTGTGACCAATGACAAGTTACTGGCACTAGGTTTCTCTTCCCTCAAACGCTGACCTCCTTATCAGAATTAATGGAATGTTGGATATTTTTTCAAATTTTATTCTAGGTTTGTCTGTGGCCTGATTATTTTTCATCTCTGGCATTTATCACTGTCTTTGCTTGTTAGTCTTCTCAGGGGAAGTAATCAAAATAGAGGAGTAGACCTATAACACAAAGGAAGTTGAAACAATCTGACTGGGGAAAAAAACCTCAGATTTTCATTGCTATTTAGTAATGAACACCCTAGAGGGAGAGGCTTTCAAGGTCCCACCCTTCTGTGAGGATCTAATGGAGTGACCGATTGTTAGGAGAAGAGATGCTTTCTTTGTAGCCACTGTTGAGGTGGCTCTACCTCATGGTTCTGCAAATAGCCTCTGGCCTGTACTGTAAGCGACCTCGGTGAAGCTCATTGGGTCAGTTTTGAAGAGGAGGGAGACTGAGAATCAGTAGGATTGGAGGACACAAGAGAGGGTGATGAGAGGATGATCCAGGTACATTGTATAAGTGTGTGAGAATAGCATAATAAACCCACTGTGCATGATTAATACACGCTAACTAGAACTTAAGCGAACATCCTGGAATTGGCAGTCATAACGTTCATTACAAGGCTGCAGGTTTGGAAGCAAGAGCAAAGTCTCTGCTTTACATGTAATGCGTGAGATGAGCCACATGTCTACAAAGTGAGTTCCAAGACAGCCAAAGCTGTTAAACAGAGAAACCAGTCTCAAAAAACCAGAAGAGAAGGATTACAAAATAAATGTAACAAATTTTATTTTATGATGCAAGATAAAGGACTTGCTTTATCTGGGCATAGTAGGACATCATTTGATCTCTGCACAGGCAACCAGAGTCTGAGAGTGCAAGATCATCCTGGTCTAGCCAGAGCTACATAGTAAGAGGGGAAGAAGGTGTTTGTGTGTGCACACATGTGTGTTTGTTTACTGTGCTTCTCTTCATGTACCCCTCATCCTTTCTTGCAGTGGCATGGCTGCACTCTGATATTTGGTGTTGTGGATCACTTAAAACAACATCTGCTGACTGACCACACTAATCCGAACTTTCAGACGCTGAAGTGTCGCTGGAAGAATTGTGATGCTTTTTTCACTGCTAGGAAAGGATCCAAGCAGGTATTTCTGTGGGATTGAATCAACCTGGGCTCAACAAATACCTTAGGCCAGTGCTTCCCAACCTTCCTCATACTATGACCCTTTAATACAGTTTCTCATGTTGTGGAGACCCCAATCAAAGTTATTTCTGTTGCTATTCATAACTGTAATTTTGCTACTGTTAGAAATCACAATGTTCTGGGCGTTAGTGGCACACGCCTTTAGTCCCAGCACTCGGGAGGCAGAGGCAGGCTGATCTCTGTGAGTTCGAGGCCAACCTGGTCTACAGAGCAAGTTTCAGGACAGTCTCCAAAACAATACAGAGAAACCCTGTCTTGAAAAACCGAAAAAAAAATCATAATGTAAATATCTGGTATGCAGGATATCTGATACGTGACCCTTTGGAAGGATTGTTCAACCCCCAAAGGGGTCTCTACCCACAGAATGAGAATCTTTGACTTAGCACAAAGACCAGCAACCCCTGTTTGCTTTGTAAGGTGTTCAGGATTGCAATAAATAGGGAGGGACCAGGAATTTTTCTTTTTATTACTTAGGAATTTGCGAATTAATTAAGATTAAAAAAAAACAATTGAGCTGTTTTTAATAAAGAGCTGAAGCAGTGTTTTTATGTGTGCTCTTGTGCTGAGGTGAGAGCTCCATCGTCTCTAAGTGGATAGTATCCTGTTGGTTAGCAGGAGGCTGGCACCCTCCGCCCTTAATGAATACATAATCCAGTTCCATGTTCCTCAGCTATAACTTTCTACTGCCCTGCCACCTGTTTGTTTCTAACAAGCCTCTTTTTTCACTAGGACGTTGCAGGACATGTTGAACGACATGCTGAAGATGACAGCAAAATGGATTCGTGAAGTTTTTTGCCTCCCATGTTGGGAAGTCATTCAAAAACTGTTTTCACATTGGCCCTTCACATAGGTCCCTCTGTCCTTCTCCAGTGAAGCTGGGAAGGAGAAAGTGGTTCACAGCAAAGTCTGGGCAGTCTGTGAGATGATAGGTTACATGCAATTGAAGTCTGCGCTGGAGCGTGTAAGGGTGACGTTTAAGCACATTCTAAGGAACCGTACACTTCTGGGAGAAATGACATACAGTTATTTATGCTACTAGACTATTGGTGTTTATTAAAGATTCAGATTTTAATTGATTACCCAGTTTAAACCTAATCATACACATATTTTATTGATTCAGTTTGCGATTTATGCTTTATGTTCTTATGATGGCTTATGGTAGATTTTTCAGGATCAGTTTTAATTCCTACTTTTGAAATAACTGGGTATTTAAATTTGAAGCAAATTGTTTTCTTTTTAAATAATTATGTGTAGTGTTTCGCTGTTACATGCTCTGTAGATGGACAAAGCTGGCTGTAGGTGCTAAAGGAAACACGGTCGAGTCCTGAGAAACAGCCGGGCTTGTCTGCTTTCTGTATTTTAGACATCAGACAAGTTCCAGGATGGGAAGTCCCTGAAGACAGCATTTCCCAGTAAACCACTCCAGAGTGCTCGATGTGGCGCCTCCCTTCGCTGGGCGTGAACAGCAGGGCTGCCTTTATCCCCTTTCCAGCTTCTGGCTCTCCAAGTCTCTTGGCGCCCGCCTTCTGGGTTGCTCCATTGCCTGCCCCTGTCTCTTATTGTCTTGCTGTGCCTAGAGCAGTGGCACAGGAGGCTCACAGGGCACTTTGAGACCACCTGCAGCACCTTAGATAGGAGAGCAGGAAAATGCATCTGGATTCAGTTGACAAGGCATCAGGCAGGCCTTAAGAGAGCCAGTGTCTGCCTTCACATTCATGTCAGCTGAGGAAGTGGAGTGTGGTGACAGGAAAGGCAACCATTGGGAGCACCTATGTCATATGCCTTAACAGGATTGCTTTGTGCTTGGATTTTCTCAAGACTTGTATGTAAAGCTAAACAAGTGCTCCTTTCTAATCTTTTGTTTCTGGATTCGCAAAACTCAAGTTCTTGAGAGAGAGAGAGAGTACCCTCATGCCACATCCTAATTTCAGGTTTGATGCTTTCTGGAACTAGGACTGCAGCCTCTGTTTTGTTTTGTTTTGTTTTTTACCTGGCCGGATCACACCCACACCGGCTCTAGGGCAGGGCAACTCCGCCAGGGATTGATGGATGGGCTGCAAGCTGGTCTATGAGTCCTCTGAAATTGCGTGGAAGACTAAGTATTTTTTCCCCAGGAATGGTTCCAGTAGTACTTGCTGGATCCAGAAAATGTTAAGAACAAATCTAGGGCTAATACTAGCTCATGAGTGACTCACAAGTAAGTTCACATGTGGCCTAGATGTGAAGAGAACCATGTGTGATGCTGAGATCTTATTGACAAAGCATATTTATGCTATTCCTGTATAATATTAAAGTCCTTTCCACCTCTCATCTCCACTTCCTGTAGGGCTTACCAGAGGAACCACACTTCTGTGAGTCTGGGAAGCAATTTCTTAGGGAAGTTCGCTTGGGTGTATTGCAAAACCTGCATCGTTCTCTGACTACAGCATCTCCCAGTTCCCATGTTGGCAGGGCAGTGTCCTGAGGAAGCTGTTTCCCTGTGGGAAGGGATGAGAGCAGCAGGGAGGAAGAATGCAAGGTGTTAACCAGTGGTGAGGATGCTTGAGGGTGTGAGGGCAGGCAGTCCAGCAGGATTAGCAGAACTGTGATCTGAGTTTCCCTTGGTAGCATTGTGTGCCCGTGTCTGCCTGCGCGGGCGTGCACCTGCACGGTGTTTCCTCATTCACAGTGTTTCTTTGAAGCAGTGTGATGATCTCAAGAATGGCTGGAGTAGTTTTCCAGCATCAGGTCACTGTTCTCCGGGTTGAGCCATCTCTGTTGTGCTGAGAATGAAGAACCCTGAGTTTCTTGGCTCCTCAACAGTGGCTGCTTATAGGAGACAGAACTGTGGAATCTTCTTAAGTTGTTCACTGTGTCTATCATTCATGATCAGCCTCCAGGTCCCCTCAGAAGGGGCAACTCGGGTATGTGCTGACTTTTGTTTGGAAATTTGATAAAGAAAGGAAAAATGACCTGCCAAATTTCTTATGAGTACTTGCAGGTTGTTTTTAATGGTTTTGGATTTTTTATGCCTAGTCCAGCAGCTCAAAGCAAAAAAAATTTTTTAAAGATCTTTTTGTGTTTACAGTGACAGTTTTAATAAAATGCCACACTTCCAGGTTTTTTTTTTTTTAAGTTTTCACGTAGGTTCAAAACACATTTTGGCATACACTGCTCAACTGTAAACAGTGCAAATTAAAAAAGCAAAAATTGTCATCCTGACATTACCTAAGTTTGAGAAGTCATTATTTAGCATTACACTTGTTGCTTTTATGAAGAAAATGTTTTGTTCAGGAGAGTTAGCAGTTGAAAATTTGAATTCATGAACTACATAGAATCCAAGCCAATACTTTCATGATTGAAGTGATTGTTGCCAACAAAGGTTTTGTCTTTTTATGGTAGATTTATCTATGGGACAATTTCAGTGCATGGCATGTTGCTGAGTTGCTGGGTGTAGGTGTAGACTTACAAGAATGACACAGTAATTTATGGAAGATAATTAATTGAAAAGGAAATTGAAGTATATTGTGAAGATTTGAACAACACCTACTTGTGGTTTGGTTAAATAGCTGCAATTTGCATATGCTTGCTTAGCAAATTTGTTCCTGTTGTTTCAAGGAGAGTTTTAGAATTACTATAAGGCTGTACTTGCTACACTTACAGGGTGGTTTCATTCCTGTGCTGTCATTGAGAACCTTGGGTTTGAGGGAGGTGGCCTATAGGTAGGAAAGAGGAAATTGTGGTGGGCCTGCATAGGGTTACACTCTTCATATGCAGATGTGTGTGAAACCCTGTGTAAATAACCCACCACTTACCACACAATAGCCTTGTCTTCTCCTCCAACCCCCAAGGACCCAGAAGTAGCCCGGTGCTGGCAGAGGGTGGAGAAGGAAAGGCTGTGGGGAGGGGAGTGGATGCCCAGAGCTGCCCAGCCCCTTGGTTTCTTACTGTATTTCAATATTAAATATGGATTAGAAGAAATGTCAGATGACATTTGACTGCAAAGATATTTCTAAACAGCCTTCTTACATTTTGGTATAAAAGCTGTGAACTTCATAACTTTGTAAGCAAGATATAAAGCAAATACAAGAAGAAAATAAAGTACTTTTACTAAGTGTTCATTTTGTTACTTTGTGTTTTCATGAGTAGCCTTTCCATCTTGATATAAAGAACAAGGCAGTGGGCAGGAAACATGGTGCTTCTGTATGTGCCACCGACCCACACAAGGTCCAGGTTAAAGTCATAGTCAGGGGTTGTTTTAATGTCAGACAGGCCAGTGAGCAAAGGAGCTAGATGAAAAAAGAAAATCACCTCTCCTGCATTGCCCTGTAGTAACTGACCCATCCTGTTACCCATGTTTTTCACTTAAAATGTGTTCATTTCATGATTTCATACATAAAATGTACTTTGATCACCCCCACCCCCGGTTCATCTCCTATTGCCCATACGTGTTCCACACCAGCAGTCTTGGAAAAGATCGGAATGGTCCTTGTTCAAACACTAGCAGCAGTGGGACAGGAGGGATGGCTTGTGGTAAGAGCATTGGCTACTCTTCCAGAGGACTTGAGTTCAGTTCCAGCACTCACGTGGCTCTCACAACCATCTCTAGTTCCCCGTTCTAGGGAATCTAATGTCCTCTTCTACCTTCCATGGGCATCAGGCATGCGTGAGGTACTCAGACATAAATGCAGGCAAAACACTGACACAAAAACAAGATTACGCCGGGCGTTGGTGGCACACGCCTTAAATCCCAGCACTCGGAGAAGAGTTCCAGGACAGCCTCCAAAACAATACAAAAAACCAAGATTACAAATAAAAGAAAGGGCAGTAGGCATGATTTTGATTTTATATGTATTTTATACTGAAACTAGAGCTTTTCCCCATTAGTATACTACCCAGACCCAGCCCTTCTAATAATACCTGACAGAATTGGGTACATCTGTAGACTAAACGGTTTTCTTTGTGTTGTGTACGGTCAGAATGACTTTGGATATTTTCTTCTAGCTCCCTTTGGTTTTGTTGTTGTTTTCTCTATCTTCCTTTGTGTGTGTATGGTGTGTGCATACTTGTGGAGGTCCGGTTAATACTATCTTCCCTGATCACTCTCCACCATTGACATTGAAGCCCAGGTCTCTCACTTTAACCCACAGCTAATCTAGCTAATCAGTTTGTGCCAAGGATCCCTTTTTTTGTCTCCCTTGGGATGGAATTACAGGTGGGTGATCACTCCAACAGGCTTTTTTTACATTTATGTGGTTGCTTGAGATCCAAACTCAGGGCATTTTTACCCAGTGAGCCATTGCCCCAATCCTTCCCCGCTATTTTTTGAAAACAGGCGTTCAGCAAACATTGTCTCTTTGGCTAGACTGGCTGGCCAGCAAGCCTGTAGAGTTCCTTCCTTTGTCTTTGCTCTCCAGTTCTAGAGTTACAGGTGTGAGCTGCTGGGCTTGGCTTTTAGAGATCCACACTGGGGGTCCTCATGCTTTTGTAGCCCTGTTCCTACTGAAAAATCTCCCTAGCCCCAAACTAGGTCTTTCTGGAAGTGATATATGAACGTATGACTGGAAGACAGTTCTGCTGTGGCTGAGAAATGTTAATAAAGAAAACAGTGGAACCAGCCATATATGTGCCTTTATTTAGATTGCTTTTTTCAGAATGCAGCCAATTTTTTTTTTTAATCAGATATCCGAAAGTATCATCCCTGTTTACCCCAGAGCAAGCCCATCCTGAAACTGGAAGAACTGAGTGCAGACTTGGTGACTGGGCTCCTGTGTGAGTACCACTGGCAGGTACTGTGGACAGCCCAGTGCAAACTAAGTGGGCAGTTCAGAGTCAGCAGCCCTCCCAATGAGGCTGCAGCTGGCTTGGGCAGATACTAGCCTTCAGGTGGCAGAGTTCTCCCAAGCATCAGGCTAGGCATCAAGGCTTGGAGCAGTGTGGAGAAGGAACGAGAACAGAAGCCCCTAGGCTTGGTGGAGGTGGAGCTGCTGGGGTCTTCGTGGTCGATGGTTGGAGTCCTGGTGGGTTTTGCACGAGTCTTCTTTAGGCATACATGGTAAGCTGCAGCCACTGAAAGAGGAAGCCCCAGGTCAGTACAAAAGCAAGCAAAGAGGCCCATCAGCCCTCGGGGATAGGAAGGTTCTTAAAAGAAGCCTGCTCATTTTCCTGTGTCTTCTAGGAAAGTACTTCCTGGCAGTGCAACTTGGAGGGTGGGGGAGCAAAGCTCTGGTGTACACACACCACAGGAACCACAATCTTCATCAGGCTTCAAGTTCCTGTCCTGGGAGTGATGGATGCACTGGGGCCAGTCTGCCCCACTGACTCCACCTTGGGTTCTATTTGTTATGCTTACCTCGAGAACATTCAGTTTGATGATGCCATCTCCATCCTTGTCGAATGCATTAAAGGCTCCTGTGTGAAAGAAAGCATAGGCCAAAAGCCAGTCACTACTCCTCCACGATCGTTTTCACTCTTAATTTCCCCACCGCCACCCTTTAGGGATTTGGCTTAGTCTCCTTGTGTTTGCGTTTTACAGAACTCGTTGTGTGTGCATGTGAGCACATATGACACAACACATGTGGAGGCTGGAGGGCAACTCTGAGGTTGGTTCTTAACTTCACCTCATAGGTTTCAGCGCTGAGCTCAGGTCACCAGGCACATGCATCTGAGTTCATCTTGCCTGCCTTTGTTGTGATACTGAACCAAGGTCTATCCATGGAGCCTTGAAGTCATAATCCTACCACGACTGCCTGCTGGACTACAGATGTAATTTAAGAAGCCCCTGGGCTGAGTGCTGTCCTTCCACACAAATCCCTGCAGAACCTAACCAGCATCACTGCCCTTGCCATCCTTCTCTTGGCCTCTTGATTGATATGAGTTATGACTGATAGGCAGCTTCTGGAGGCGATTGGGCAGTTGTCAGTTACTTACTGCCATAGCTGTACCATGGGGGAAGAGAGAGCTGAAGGTAGCCCCTCACTCTCTGTGGTGATTTGGATTGAAATGCCCCCCAAAGGTCCAAAGGGAGTGTGTGACCTTGTTGGCAAAAGGATATCACTGGGGGTGGGCTTTAAGATTTCAGATGTTCAAGCCAGGTCCATTGTCCCTCTCTCTCTTGTTACCTACTGATCCTGACACAGAACTTCCATCCACGTCTGCATGCACGCCACCATGCTTCCTGCCATGATGGTAATAGACTAAACCTTTGAACTGAGTCCCAATTAAATGTTTCCTTAAAATAGTTGTCATGATCATGGTGTCTCTTCACAGCAATAGAGACCCTGACTGAGACACTTACTGAACATCCCTTCCAGCCTGACGAAGCAGCAAATGAAACTGTCGAAGTCGATGTTCATGTGTTTGTCTGCATAGCGCATGGTGATGATGTCATAGAGTTGGCTGTTGAGGTGGAAGCCTTGGAAGGGCAGGGAGAGGAAAGGGGAGTGAAGTTGTCAGGCTTGCAGTCTCCTTTCCCTGCTTCTTGGCCACGCTGGCCTGAGAAAGGAGAAGCCCCCCCCCTTCTCTAACAGTCATCTAGTCTCCCAGCCCTTCTTGCTCTCCCCAGCTCTCAGGTTTTATTACTACACTTATCCCCCCAGCACCTGCATCATTGACTGCATTCCGCATCTCATAGCTATTGATGGTGCCAGAATGATCTGAGTCATAGTGTTTGAAGATTTTCTGAAAATAGAAAATTCAAAGACAGCAGCTACACACTTAATCCCAAATTAACCCTGTCTGTCACTCACACATTAGACTCCCATCTTACCTGCCAGGCCTTGATCTTTTTCCAGAGGTGATGGAACTCTTGCAGATTCAGCCGTCCAGAGCCATCTGTCTGGAGGATGGATGTCAGGGCCACAGGCACATAGTAAGATCTCCCTGAACTGGGATGGGTATCTAGGATACTAGGCAGGGAAGGCGGAGCAACCAGCATCCTCTACCGAGGCTCCTGATCCCAGGTTCTATCCTTCCTCTCCACTCTTAACCAATCAGAGTTCCTGCCATCTCTATAGCCCACAGAGCCTGTCCCCCAAGACTAATCCTTGTTTGGGCAGCATCCCAAGCAGGATTTCAAGCCTGTGTGTAAGACAGGAGATGATAGTCAGCCAAAACAGAGTGTCCTTCCAAAGCAACCCCTGCCTTTCCCCTTAAGCCTTTCCCTGGGCATGGACACCCCTAGTTGTTCCCCTGGCTCTATGGGCAGATGTAAGAGGACTGGGGATGGTGGCAGGAAGGATACATCCATGAGAGCTATCATGCTGCGGCAAGACTCCAGCGTGAACCCCTGTGTCTTCAGGTCCTTGTCTGGGGGGATGGAGAAGGGTGAGGAGCTGCTTTCAGACAGCCGTGGCCCCTGCCCATCCCCCGCATCTGGCGTGAGTCGCTCACGTTTGTTCACCACTGTGTTAAGGACGTTCTTGAGTTCATCTGCACAGATCTCCATGTCCTGAGGAAGAGGAGAACTGTGAAGGACTTAGCAGCCAATGGACAAGTGCCAGCTGCCCAAGCTTGTCAGAGCCCCCTTTTTTCTGCCATGGGAAGCTGGGGCTTCTCTGAGCAAGACAGGCCAGTTTCTGCACCCTCAGCCGTCCAACATAATCAGAAGGCTGTGAACCACCCAGCGGTCGTTAGTCTAGAACCCAAAGGTTTCTGTGATGTGACACGCATCCTCTGGTTCTCCCAAACAAAAATGACCTCTGCTAGACAGTCTCTTGAGTGGGAGCCCTGGGCTAGGAGGGAAACGCGTACATCGCCTGCGATCTGCCTGAAGATGTTCCGGAACTGTTGCTGTTCCTCAGTCTCCTGGTCCGTGTGGCCAGGCCGTGCCTGTGGGGACACAAGGGAGACTGGTTCGTGGGAACCCAAGCCGCAACCCCAAACTGCCCCACAAAGCGACAGTAGCTGGCCCAGGCTCATGCTCTGTCTACTCGCTGAGCCTGAGGGGGATCCTCTCCACTCTCTGCCTCTAGCTCTGGTGCCTCAGGTCACAGGGACACAGGCGCCATGCCCTCCCCCCACTCACCTCCAGACAACTTTCTCTACTGTTTTGAGCCTGACTCTTCCAACCAGGTCCTCTAAGCCACCTCTGTCTTCGTGGCCAAGTCCTTAAAGCACCTCTCCCCAGCCCACTACGTGGGTACTCCTAGGTAGAGTTCCGCAGGCCTCCTTGGCTGCTGCCAGACACCCCATTCCAGCTACCATCCTTCTTCCTGCCTTGTCAACAACTCTGAACTGAAGACAGGGCAGCCTCGCTCTCTCCAGCAGGCTTGTCTCAGCCGTCGTCTCCCTGAGCTCTGTTGTCCTGCCCAGAGAAACTCCTGTAGGCTGTCCTGTCATTTCCGTCCCAGGACTAGTTTGGGGTGGCAGCCCACCCTAAGAGTACCCTAAAGTTCAAAGGAACTTGTAGAGAGGAAAGGTCAGTGGGATGATTCCAAACCCCTCGATGTTTAAGAGACCCTCCCGTGGGAGTCGCCATAACTCCAGTGGACCCCTAGAGCATAGCAGAGCCCCACTGCGAGCTACACTCCCCATGCGTGCGCATGCTCAGAAACCTGTGGGGTCTCCCCTTGCTTTTCAGGCCCTGCTTTGTCTTTGCCCTCCTCTGCCTCCTGGTCCACACCCAGCTCCTTGTTGCTGTTTGCTCTGTCTGAAACGAAGATGATGGGCTGGGGGAGGGGAGGGGAGGGAAATGGGGAGGGCAGGAAGGAAGCAAGGATTACCGGCTGATAGGCACAAAAGGCAGCCTCCCTCCTGGAGCGGCTTTGTCCAGGGAGGAGGAAATGGTCACACCCAGGAGCTCTCAGTTCAAGTTCATCCCTGCATTGACAAGCTGTGTGACTGGGGGGGGGGGGGGGGATCCCGTCTTTTGTGTGTGTGTGTGTGTGTGTGTGTGTGTGTGTGCCTTAATGTCACTATGTAGCCCAGGCTAGCCTTGAGTGCACCATGCCTGCTTGAACCTCAGTTTTTTCTCACATTGATTCATATTTTTAAAGATTACTGATGTGTTGTATAAAGTTAAGGGGTCCAATATTTTATCACACCAACCACATTTCTCACGATAGTACAAAGTAGTGCATATAAAAATTCTAAGAATGCTGAAAGTATATGATGTACATTAGTGAGTTTTCAAATATTTTTGGAATTTTTCAAATGGAAAAACATTGAGTTCCCCCCAGAAACTCAGTGTAAAACCCATTAAAAAGGAGGTTTTCAGGTCCCTCAGGTGGCACAGAGCCGCAATCCCAGCAGAGGGAATAACCACAAGTTCAGGGCACTCTAGCGGAGAGCAGAGCTCCAGCCCCTCAGTACCCGGGGACCGCTCACAATCTGTTGTTTGGTGGCTTGCCAGCACCCAACCAGCCCTCCCGTGTAAGAAACACCCTCACTGACCATTTATTTACCCATCCTTTACTGGCGCTGGTAAATCCGCCTTTTCTTCTGATTGGGCTTTTGTAAGGACCAGATGAGTTAGTGAATGTAAAAACTACTGTGCAAACACTGCCGGCTACAGCAACAGGAGTGCGAGTGCAGAGGTTGTGGAAGGGATAGGGAGTGGCCACCATGTCATGCCCGTGTTGGTATGGCGGAAGGCAGCAGGGATTGGAGTGCAGCGAATGACAATGGAGTAAGCAGTCTCAACCACGAAAGCAGCCTGACCAGGGAGGTCCCACTGTCCTCCTCCCATGATGTCACCTAGGGGGACACACCGGAAAACAGCTCTGCCAGCTTTGGCTCCAGGAGGCTCCCTAAACCCCAGCTTGTTTTGCTAAACAACAGCTCTTGCCCAAGCAAATGAAGCTTGTGGGATCTCTGAACAAAAGGAAGTGATAAGCCTTTGGGGACCAGTGGGCAGGGTACAGCATGGGGCATCTCCACCAGCCAAGTAGAGATGCACAGCAGACCTCGATATCGCAGGAGTGTAAGGGGCTCTGGGGAGGTAAGGACAAGAGACTGGTCTCAGAGCAGACAAATATGGTACTGGTCCCAGGGTACCCACCTGCTAGACGTGTGCCATTGGCATATCACTTTACATCTCTGAATGTGAACCCTACTTTTAAAAGGCATAAACAGTACTTACTGTGTTGATGCTATTATGAGGGGGTGTTCAGGGTTGCTACAAGTACTGCACATAGTATATGTTCCCTCAGGTCTAGACCAGCACCCATGCTAGAACCTCCAGGGCCACCATAAACACCTGCACCAAACCTTGTCTGATGGCTGTGGTGTTTCAGAGCACAGACTCTGGAGGACCACCTGGCTCCAGTGTTGGCTATGTCTCTTTCTGGCTGTGTGCCCTCAGACAGAATCATTTGTCTGTATTTTTTCTCACTCTGAAAACAACTGACCACTGTGAGATTGAAGTTACACATGACAATCACCTGGAAGAGTGCCCACCTAGCAGAGGCTCCAAGGAGAGAAGGAAGAGGCATATCATACATGTCCACACATGCACACATGTTGCACATGTGTATATACACATGCATGCATGTACACACACATGCACAGTGCCTTGCTCACTCACCCTGTTATACCTACCTTATGTTTTTTCTTTTTCTGCATGGAAAGGGAAACAGTAAATGGGGAATAGGTGAAAATCAGGTTTCTAGGATAGCCAGTGCTCAAGGCTCTGGGGTCCAGATACTGTGATCAACTGGAGCTTAAAAGGGTATGAAGGCAGAGACAGGCGGATCTCTGTGAATTCGAGGCCAGCCTGGTCTACAGAGCGAGTTTCAGGACAGCCTCCAAAGCCACAGAGAAACCCTGTCTCGAAAAAAAAACCAAAAAAAAAAAAAAAAAGAAAGGGTACAAAGGCCAGTGAGATGGCTCCCTGGGTAACGGCACTGCCACCAAGCTTGATCACCCAAGTGTGACCCCTGGGAACTACATGGTAACCTCCATGTGTGTGCCTGTGCGCGCACATACACAGATAAATAAAAATACAGTTTCTAAAGGTCCTCAAGGGCAAAGGGAGAAGAACATTCTCGCTCCACATCAAGAGACTGACAGTTTGCCAGGTGTCTTTAAAAATAAGATTGGTTACCAAAATGTGGCTCACTCACACCTGTGTGAAAATGAGTTTGCTTTAAGAGATCTTGTTTTACTATTTAGGCAAACATTTAACAGTGAGATTTAGTATGGGTTTCCAGGATTTGGGCTTCCTTTACAAACCAAAAGTTTTGTCAATTGCACTGGGCCTGCTATTTCCTGTGGCAACAGTCAGCTGATCCCTGTTGTCCCTCCAATACTGAAGCCAAGTGTCATTTGAATGCTGTTGGCAAAGACAGTCTGTAGGGACACTAGAATCCCTACGTTGGCCTGCTACACTCATGTGACATGCCAGCTTCTCGACCCTTTCTAAGCAGTGCTAGAGTTGAATGGAGGGCCTTGTGGATGGCATGGCCCTAGTCTTGAGTGTCCTGATATATAGTCTACACTGATCCAGCATCCACAGGATGAGAAAGAGTAAGATACAGCTAACACTCAAATGAGATGTGCAGTGGCTAGGATGGTGCCTGGCTCCCACACACTACCACCGAGTCAGCACTGTGACCATGGAAGTCACTGCATGACAGGCAGTCAGTGGGACTTTTATCCTGGCTCAAGTCACACTCGGTGAGAACAGCTCAAAGCTCCAAAGCAGACCCAAGAATCCTCAATCCACATACACATATACACACACTATATACACATACATGCCACATATATATACATACATATATACACACACATACCACACACATGTACACCAAATACATATGTATACATACCACACACACATGCACACTACACACATACATACTACACTCACACATCCACACAATACCCACATATACACACAACACACACACACACACACACTGTGCTTCTATAGGCCAGGAGGTAGGTGAATCTGAGTTTGAGTTCTTTTTTTTTTTTTTTTTTTGGTTTTTCAAGACAGGGTTTCTCTGTGGCTTTGGAGGCTGTCCTGGAACTCGCTTGGTAGTCCAGGCTGGTCTCGAACTCACAGAGATCCGCCTGCCTCTGCCTCCCGAGTGCTGGGATTAAAGGCGTGTGCCACCAACGCCCGGTCTGTATTTGAGTTCTTAGCCTCCCTGCCTGCCACTTCCTGCCTCTGGAAATGCAAGGAAGCCATTTAACCCTACCAAGCCCCCACCTACTCTTGTGAAAAACTGAGATGACAGCCTCATCCGCCTCTCAGAGTGTTGGAAAAAGTGATGCAAACCACACATGTGAAAAGTGGTGCACATGCTGCACCAGGCATTCCACATGTGGGAGCTTATTGATCTAAACTCTGCAAGCATGGCCAGGCATTATTATTATCCCCATTTTGCGGCGTAGACAACTGAGTCAGAGGGGTTCTGTAGCTTGTCCAGGTCACCAAGGTGGAAGGTGAATGATCCAGGTTCCTACCCTGGGGTCCTGAGCCCAGTACACTTCCTTTTCTCTGTGTGAGAAACCAGATGTGATCCGACCTCATAATCCAATGTTAGCTGCCCTTGTCATCACGTCCTAAGTCCAGCTGCCTTCCTCTAGTTGATAAAATGGTTCCCCCTCTTCCACACTGCCCGGCCTCTGACTGATCAAATGGTTCTACAATAAAAGAATCCTTTTCCTTCTGCCCTGCACATCAGACTGCCTTTGCCCATACCCACTCTCCCACCACCACCTGCCCCTGCCTAGACTGGGAGTGTGAACCCGGAGATCATCTCATATCTAAGAGCCTAGTCACTTACCACTGGCCGGTCCACGGAGATTGTGTTTTCAGCTTCCCTGTGAAAAAACACAAACATAGAGTGTCTCGGTACCCCCACCCCGGACCAAGTAGGAAGTACTCCACCAATAATTTGTTCAGGTCAAAAGGCTTTTTGATGGTCAAGGTGAGACTAAATCTTTTTTTTTTTTTTTTTTAGTTTTACAAGACAGGGTTTCCCCGTGGCTTTGGAGGCTGTCCTGGAACTCACTACGGAGACCAGGTTGGCCTCGAACTCGTGGAGGTCCACCTGCCTCTGCCTCCCGGGAGCTGGGACTAAAGGCGTGCGCCACCACTGCCCGGCAAAAAGATTTATTTATTTGTTTATTTATTATGTATGCAGTGTTCTGCCTACATGTATGCCTGCTGGCCAGAAGAAGGCACCAGGTCTCATTACAGATGGTTGTGAGCCACCATGTGGTTGCTGGGAATTGAACTCAGGACCTTTAGAAGAGCAGTCAGTACTCTTAACCTCTGAGCCATCTCTTCAGCCCTGAGACTAAATCTAAAAAAAGTCCCTGGGACTGCACGTTCACCCAGGATGGCTCCATGTAAGTGCCATTCCCAGAGAAGCGCATGTGCACTGCTGGCTACGTTGCTGTCGTCCCACAGCATGACCCAGTTACCTCCTCCCTGCATCTTTTCCAGGGACAGAACTCAGAGAGTCAGAGTCTACCAGTGCGTCTGTGGCCAGAGGGAGAGATGTAGCCTTGCTGGCTTCCCTTGCATTTCACCCACCCTCAATGTCTAATATACCTACTCTGTACGTTATTTTTGCTGCTTATCCTTTCTATAAATCTAAATTATCACAATGTTTCCTTGTCCATCGTCCTTAGCGTGTTAAGCTCCATGAAGGCAGCAAGTTTCTGTTTAATTCACTTCACTAAACCCAGTGCCTTAGAAGAGTACATAGGCAGAATGGGTGCTCAAGAAATACCTGCAGGATGAAAGGAGCGAATATTTTTTGTGGGCTGTTCTGGTGCTACAGGGCTATAACTGCAACTTCTTAGGAGGCTGAGACCAGAACATCAAAGGTTTGAGGCCAATCAGAATGAGTTCAAGGCCAGCCTGTGACACTCAGTTAAACTGTCTTTCAAAAAAGTAAGATAAAAGTCATGACACAGTGCTTGCCTGGCATGCACAAGGCCCTGGGTTTAACTGCCAGTGCTGCAGAAAGTAATCCAACCAGGGAAGGAAACGGAGCAATGGCTCAGGAGTGGAGAATGGAAAGGTCAGTGGGTAAGTTCCAAGAGCCCAAAGGAAACTGAAAGCTGCCTCTGGGCTATAGGATAGGCCAGATGAGCGTGACCTCTTAGGGGCAGGCTGAGAAAGGCTGGTACTCACTCAGAGAGATTCCTCTTTTCAGAGAAGACCCGGAGGATGAACTCCCCCTCCTGATGGGGCTCATAGGTAGAAGGGACAATGACATACTCGCTGGGGGGCAGGCGGAAGCGCTGGGACACCTCCCGCATGTTGATGTAGGTTTTGCTTCTGGCCTTGGAGGCGTTATACAAGAAGAAGTCCTTCTGCAGGTGTTGCTTATTCCCGTGCATCTGAGGACAAGAATCCAAGACACCTGAGCCCCTTGGGAGGGTTGCCTGGACCTCCTCACAGGTCCCCTCCTAGGGCTCCTTCCTAACTCTTTGGTCATTCATTTCAGTCTCCATCTACTTCCAATCCCTAAGGCCTCTGATTGCTCAACATCATGAACATTCTGGATCTCACTTCCCCTTCCTTTCTTGTGATTCGGAAATGAAGGTCAGGTCTATACTCTTTCCCTAGATAGGACCACTCACCAGAACTGATGATCCTCAACTCCAAATCCCTCTGGTTGGCAAGTGCCCCAAAGATGGGGAAGGACCTTGGCTGGGTTCTGAGGGAGGTGATTCTCCTGTCCTAGAAAGCAGCCACCTTTAGAATGTGTCTCTGTGAGTGGATACTTGCACGAGTGTGGAAAAATGAGTGTGTGGATGTTTGTGTGTTTGATGGGCAGGGTATCCTGGTGGAAGGGAGAAAATGCACATCTTGGGGTCTGGTACCCTCCTATCAACCTTGCTCATCAACCCTACCAGGAAGCTTCTCAGGGAGCCATAGACAGATTTAGGACCCCCAATGAATGCTGAACACCACTGCCGGCCGCTGCCACTGCTATACCTCTTTGGGAACCTGAAAGCAAAATAGAAAAACAACACTTTTGATGTGAATGAGGGTGCAGAGTTGACAGAAAGGAATGCCACCAGCAACCACAGAGTGACTGTAGACTATAATTCCTGCTGCCACCCGGCCAGCCCCAGTCCTACCCACCGCATCCATGGCATTTATGTTGGTAACAAACATATGTGGACCCGAGAGCAGGAGCCCTGGTGGTCACTGAAGACAAGAAAAGCCAGAGGACCAAGCTGAAAGCTCCAAATTCTCCTCAGTGGAAAGGTGTGCTTCCGGTGCTGGGGCCGGAGGAGCCTTTATACCTCGTAGATCGCGAAGCCGATGGTGAAGAGGTTGGCTCCCAGCTTCCGGTCCTTGCGCCGGTTCTTCTGCATTAGGGCCACCAGGAAGCTGCAGATCACCTCAGAGTCATCGGGGTCGTCGTCCTCCTCCAGGAGCTTTAGACGGTACTGCGGGTTGGTCCAGAAGGTGTCTGTGCCCCCCACCAGAGGAAATGCATGCTCAGATATGAGAAACGGCGGGAAGGAGAAGGAGACAGGGAACCTGTCTAGGTTCCTTTGTGAGGGGTCACTCTAAGATTTCTATGTATATGTGTTTGCCTGCGTGTATGTCTGAGTTCCACATGGGTGCCTGGTGCCCATGGAGGTCAGAAGAGGGCATCATGTGAGTACTCCTGCAAGAGCAGTAAGTGCTCTTTACCACTGAGCCACTCTTCCAGTCCCCATTAGATAGATTTTGACTTAGAATTAAGACAAAACTCCTAGGCATTTCTGAAATTGCCCCAAGGTCACTGTTGCCATTTTGTGTTACTTGTTTGTATAAATGGAATTCTCAAGATTGACAAGCATAACATCAAAATATCTATCAATTCCAAAACCAAGTTGGTCATGGCATTTCACCACAGCAATACTAACCCTAAAAAAGCCAACCCTTCTGCAGGTAGAATTTCCTGGACTGGATGTGCCCCCTCCTTTCTGAATTTTCATTGTCTTTGCTGACAGCTTTACTTTTTTTTAACCTTCGTGTTAACAGTCATTGGCCTCTGGGATCTGACTTTATGCTTCTCTAGTTCCACCTCTCCACTGTATGTGTGTGTGTGTGTGTGTGAGAGAGAGAGAGAGAGAGAGAGAGAGAGAGAGAGAGAGAGAGAGAGAGGGGAGAGAGAGAGAGAGAGAGTTCTGTTTCCTCCTCCTCTTCCTTCTTCTTCATTAACAAGACACGGTTTCTCTGTGTAGCCCTGGCTGTCCTAGAACTCACTCTGTAGACCAGGCTAGCCTCAAACTCAGAGATCCACCTGCCCCTTCCTCCTGAGTTCTGGGATCAAAGGCATGTGCCACCATTGCCAGGCACGATTTCTACTTTCTAACTGACCCCTACATTCCAATGACACCTGAGCCACACATCTTAGGTCAGTTTCTTGTTTAACTTCCCTCTCTTTACAGTCCATTTCCTCTCATTGATTTACTTTTTATTTTCATCATAGAAACACAAGTGTTCTGTGTGTGTGATGTATGTGTGTTTGTGCAGGGAAGCAAGCGTACGCATGCCATGGCATGGGCATGGAGGTCAAAGGGCATCCTTGAGCATCAGCCCTCTCCTTCCACCTTGTTTGAGGGTCTGAGCTTCTGGGAATTCTCTGGTCTCCATTTCCCATCTTACGGTAGATCGCTGGGGGTATGGACACACTACTTACTGTGCCTGTTTGTTTGTTTGTTTTGTTTTTATTTTGAGACATTGTTTCTCTGTGTGGCTCTATAGACCAGGCTGGCATGAACTCACAGAGATCCACCTGATTGAAGGTGTGTGCCACCATCACCCAGCCACTGGGGATCCAGACTCAGTTTATCAGGCAAGTTCTTCATATGCTGAACCATCTCTCTATCCTGCTAATTGAGTTTTTTATCATATGACCTGTGGGAACACCAGACCTTGAGCAGAGACCCACTTCCCCTTCTGCCTGGGAGTAGGCAGCTGTAAGACAATGTTTACTAAAAACATGTTTACTAAAAACAATACAATGCCTGGGGGCATTAAGTTCCTGGAAAAGGCCTGCCCGCAGAAACCACCCTGACCTCGACCTTGTCCAAAGACTAACCACCTCTTCTGCCACGCCCAGATCAGTTTCTGGGGTCAGAGGAGAACCAGCCAGGGTAGAGAGGAGAGCAGAAGCTTCTCTGGTGGGAGCCTTTCCTAGGAAGTTTTCTTGAACCTTTTTGGAGCCTGCTTAAAGTTTTCTTTACATCGTTGAACGAGTCTCTGTGTTGTCAATCCCCGACACCCTCCGCACGTGTTCTCGGACACAGGCCTCGCAGCAGACGCGACAATGACCAAGTCTACTCTACAATGTAGATGACTTCAGTTCTCTATTACAAATCTTTACCTTGGTGTTCAACGGGTACTTCAAACTTTCATGTCATAAAATTGAAGTCCTTGTCCTATATCTTCACAACCAATTGCATTAAAAAAAAAACTAACACACCAACTTTTGTTCTGTGACTAATCCACTCAGGTCATTGTTCTGAGACCCTTGGTATCACTCATTAGTTCTTCCCTAAATCTGAATTCTCCTCTGTCTCTGGAGCCACTGACTTGGTCAGGATTTCTTGGGCTACTGTAGTAGCTCCCAGGTCCTCGAGGATACATTCAACAGGATTGTCACGTTGCTCTGACAGTTTCCTGCTTCAACCTTTGTTATCAGCAAATGTACAGGAAGTTACTACCAGCTAGGTCCTTCTTGGGGAGTTCCCAGCATGGCTGTTTCCTTCCTTAAATGAGGGGGATTTAGTGAGACAGTGCATACTTAAAGCTTAGTACAGACTCTAAGTGACAGTATTATTCTACCTGGAATGAGAAGTGCCCAGGCCCTTCTCCCATCCCAGTGTCTTCCTACCTGGGAAGTTGCGGCAGCCTCCTGCAGAACAGCCCCTCACCCAGCGGCCCTCATTTACAGACACGGTCCAGGTCTGCAGCTTGTCAGACTCCAGGGCATCAGCTGTGAGGTTACAGATCTCCAACTTTGTGAAGTGGTAGACAAAGTCATCATATGACATCCTGAGAGGGTGAAAGAGGAGAGACTCACACAGGCCGGGCAAGGGAAGATTCTAGGGCTAATACAGCTCAATAAAGACCCAGAAGACCCTGACATTGTGTGTTTGCTCATTTGCTTTGGAGAGACAGAATTTCATGGTGTAGTCTAGGTTGACCTTGAACTTTGAATCTTCCTGCCTGTCTACCAAGTGATGGACTTACAGGTATGTTCCTGGCACTGCCACTTCTGACATATTGACCCCAAACTATCACCATGTCTTTTTTTTTTTTTTTTTTTTTTTTTTTGGTTTTTCGAGACAGGGTTTCTCTGGCTTTGGAGGCTGTCCTGGAACTAGCTCTTGTAGACCAGGCTGGCCTTGAACTCACAGAGATCCACCTGCCTCTGCCTCCCAAGTGCTGGGATTAAAGGCGTGCGCCACCAACGCCCGGCCTCACCATGTCTTATAGTAATGACTCCTCATTTGTCTTTGATGAGAGAGGGCTGGATGGAAACCATTTTCCAAAATGTTACTGTGGGTCTCACCATTGCCAGGCATATTTTAGGCACGGGGAAAAGAGGACATTTTTTAAGGCCAATGGCATCAAAAATAAATGCATCTGGATTCTGAGGGTACCATAGGAGTTGGTCAGCTGGGATTCAGAAGGCTGACCTTACCAGAATAAGGTGGCACCTGGCATCCGGCGAGAAAAGCTCTTGGCTCAGAAGAGAGCTGTGTCAGAGCCAGTGCACAAGGGTAGCTGCAACAAGAGCTGCCGAATGCTGGCGTGAGCTCAGTCATTGCTACGACCTGGCCATCTCTTCAGAAGTTCATCTTTGCTTGGCCTTAAGTTCAAGTGGGAAAACAGGGTCCATGTGGAACCTGGTGGCTTCTGCCTGGGTCATGAACTTACCAGAATTCTCCATCCTCAGTGACCTGGTGTTGTAGACGGGCCTTCTCATCTTTGTCCACAAAGCTCCAGTCCTTCCAACTGGTAGGAAAATGGAGGGATTAAGGGAGGAAGAGGAAGAAGGGGAGGCCTAATGTGGGATGGGACAGAGGATCAGAGAAATGCTAAGTTGAAGCCTGCCATCTAGACCACAGCCAATGTGAGCACAGCTCCAACCTGCTACCCTCAGTGGGGAGGCCTGTAATCATTTCTTGCCACCTTCAATACTAAGACCAAACTCCTCGAATGGATTCACAAGGGCATCACTGTCTCTGACGGAATCTTGTAGCTTCATCATTAAGAACTCAATTCTGCAAATAGGCAAACTGGGATTCTTCTCTGATAACAGACAGCTGTGCATCTTAGACATGTCACTTGATCTGTCAGCTTCAGCTTCCTCGGCTACAAGAGGGAAATATTACATCATCTACACAGGAACTATGATGAGTTCATGAAATAACATCAAAACTGTTAGCTTGGCTCCCCACTGAGTTGCTAAGAAAAGACTCAGCATGTAATTAAGTGGCTCTTCTTTCCAGTCAGGAAACAGCAGGGCCCTGTTTCTAAGACTGGGTGCTTTCACACCCAGAGCAAGGAAGTAAACACATTTCTGTCCCAGGCTTCCTGAGTTAGAAGTAAGCTAAACGGGGTTCAGGATGTGCGTGGAGTTAGGGTGCCCTGGAACTGAAGTGGAGATTGCTGGGAGACGTGGCCTCCATTCAGCAACTGCAAGAGAGGAATCAGCAGGAAGTGTGTTAGGGTACCAAGTTAGTCTGGAAAACATAGCAAGGTCGTTGTGGGTGACTTGGACGAGTGGAGGAAACAATGATGGCTCACAGAGGTCCTCCCACAGCACAGAGCGCTGTTCATACAGCACTACCTCCAAGTAACCCATCCCACCTAAAGTATGAAGGGCGGTATCTTTGCAATCCAGTTGCTGAACCTTAAACCACAGGAACAAGTCTGTGTGCTTCTGCATCCTCCTCTACTTCCCCAGGAGCATAAGCTCCAAGAAGAGACTTGCCACTTGGATGAGTGAAGGGATAGGAATGGTATGAATGGAGGAGGCAGCAAGCTCACAATCAGCATCTTGAGGGTCTACTGAGAGGAGACCTGTTCACAGACTAGCCTCAGAGCCTAGCCCTATGCCTCCTAGTCAGCAGGTGGTCAATAAACACTTGCCAAGTGAATGAGTATGTGACTGAAAGGACCTGGAGTGACCAGGTACTGCTATGGTGTGTGCAGAAGTCTGTAAGAACAGCTACACAGGTGTGTGGCCTGTCCACTGTCATACTGTTCAGGCACAAGGGGCTGCCTGACATTTAGATGGGACAGCCTGGCTTCTGTGACTGAGAGAACCCTCAAGGAGCTTGTTCTGGAGCCTTTGATGACTCCTCTGTGGTGGTTGTCTTCTTGTCCTCAGTCTGTTCTTTTCAGAGATAAACAGCAAAATTCCTTCACAGGACTTTGTATGTGGACATCAAAGGAGAGGACATCGTAGTCTCAATTAGCTGTTACACAGACTCCTCATAAGAGCCACCTGGAAAGAGCTGGTACTGCTTCCATTTTACGCAAAGAAGCACTAAGAGGGAAATTGCCTGTTTACGCCAGAACCCTACACTGAGACCCTTCCACACATTCCTTTCCTGGGAGGTGGTGGCACACATCTTTGATCCCAGCACTCAGGAGGCAGAGGTAGGTGGATCTTTGAGTTCAGGCCAGCTTGGTCTACAGAGTAAGTTCCAGGACAGTCAGGACTACACAGGGAAACCCTGCCCTGAAAACCCAAAAAGAAAAAGAAAAATCATTCAAGTCTGTAGCCATCATTATGCTCACTGAGTCCCTGGCTCTCGTTTCCACCTCCAACCCTTTTGGGGAGCCCGCACCTGAACCCTTCTCTGCAGGGCACTGGTTTGAGGGTGATGTTGTACCAGTATCAACAGTACTCTCACAGTTTGGTACCCAGTGTGGCCCCAGGATCTACTGCTCTGTGGTCTGCCTCACCTACCCATCACTCCAAGAGCCGTTCCACTCCACCTGGCCCCAGGGGTTCCGCAGCCGCACCAGCTTCACCTTCTCACCTTTGAACAGGGCCTGGGGCAAAGAGACAATGCTCTGCAGCCCTGGAGCAAGTTCGGAAAGATGGGGTGTCTTACTTGCTCTGAGGGCTGGGGTAGAAGTTGAAAGAATCTGGTGTAAGAACTGCCTGCCTGGCATTGGTCAGGTGGACAAACCGGGTAAGAAGACCAGGTAAGGAGTCTGGCCATATTATGTGTTGGTGGAGGGGATAAGCATTTATGATAAGGCTCTAGAAATACATTAAGTATTTCTGTTTGAGTTTTCCTTTATTTCTCTTTTATTTTTCTTTTTCTTTATGTGGATGTATGAGTTATATGCACCACGTGCCTGCAGGTGCCTGAGCAGGCCAGAGGTTGTCAGGTCCCCTGGAACTAGAGTTACAGGTGGTTGTGAGCTACCTGATGGTGCTGGGAACCAAACCTAGGACATCTGGAAGAGCAATATGTACTCTTTACTGCTACACCTCTCCAGCTCCTACTTTTATTATACGAGTGTTCACACATGTGTGTGCATGTTTGTGTATGACGTGAGGGGAGAGTGCATGTGCCTCAGTGCACACGTGGACATCAGAGGACAACTCTGGAGTCAGTCCTCTCATTCTATCATGGGTTCCAGGTTTGAACTCAAGTCTTCAGACTTGCACAATAAGTGCTCTTACCGACCGAGTCACCTCACCAGCTCTCTGCGTGGGGTTTTAAAAAGGCTCTTGCTGGCTAAACCTCAGATGCCTGCTCTAGATGGACCAATTCCAGTCACATGCAGCGGGGGTTGCAGACATAACCATTCTCAGTCCATCCCTTTCTTCAGGGCATAACATATCCAACTGCCTGTTATAGCCTTACAATGTTCCTGCCTGGGAAATGACCCAGGAAACTTCAGAAACCCCACAGGTAGCAAAATATTGAAAATGGGAGAATAGGAAACATGGCAATCCACAAATCCAGCATTGTAAGACATTTATAATTGCTTCTTGGAAATATTAGAAAGATTCCCATCTTTGGCATTAAAACCAAAGAAAGGGGCCAGGGAAATGGGTCAGCTGGTGACTATCTGCTGGGCAAGAACAGAGACCCAAGTTTGGATCCCAAGCATCCATGTAAAAAAAAAAAGAAAAGGCTCAGCCAAGCATGTCTATAACCCCAGATAGAGGGCAGGGTGGATGCCTAGAGTCTAACCAATTGACAAGGTCCCAACTCAGTGAAAAACACTGCCTCAAAATAAGGTGAACCACTGAGGACTTCCCTCCACCCCAGGAAGCCAGTTTGGACCTGACTGGCAAGTTCTTTGAGTAGGGAAGGAGGCACAGAAAGTTAAGTCCTGACTTTAGGGGATCAACTCAGCTGTGTTTCCATGTCCACCAGACTCCATAAGACTCACCTCCTCCAGCCCAGTGACTGAATAGGCGTGACCTTTCACCAGCCCACAGGCCATTCTTGTCTCATACTGCACAGGAACAATCGTCTGCAGAGCAACAACCAGGTATCCAGTCAGGAGTTAGGGGGCAGTGGCTCTGCTTCTCTGAGACAAGGGTTCATGTTGGTTCAGTTCTGCTTTATCACAGACTACGGATGGCTCCCTTCCCTGACAGTACACCTTATGGCCAAGATCACACCCTCACTGTTTTTTCAAAAGCAACAGGAAGATGCAGCTCCAGACCTCTAGCTCATCACGTGGCCCTGATGGCCAGGGTACAAGGTGGGTACTGGATAGGAGGTGAGTGAAAGGATTTGTTCCCTCCTTTCTAGACCCCCTCAGAGGAGCAGAGGGGCCATCTGGGGTCCATCTGCCGAGCTGACCGTTCCCAAAGGAAGGGGTTGAGAAAGGGAGTCCAATAAAACCTATAGGTCCAAACTCTTCTCTTGAATTACCTCACCTCCCTCACATTTTCCTAGGACATGAAAGTCAAGAAAACTCTGCCCCATCGCCCAGTATTGGGAATACTACATGGTTCCCTGCTGTGACCTGACTACACTGAGCACAGCAAGAGCTGTCCCTGTTCAAGTTGTAGTCTCGAGGGTTCTTTGGCAGAGGGGTAGATCAGTAAGGCCCATGGAGCACTCCACAGGCTCCCAGCACCAGGCGCCTGGTTACAACAGCTTTGGGGAGCTTCTGAGTGTCACATGAGTTTGATTCTTCAGGGGGACAGGTGTAGGCAAGCCTGGAAGTTTGTATCTTTGTCTCTTAGATCTCATTCCTCATTTGACCCAGACTAGGGCAGGACACTCACTGGTGTTCTTGGAGGCTACCCCAGATGGAAGCCACTGTAGGTATATACAAAGATGTCTCTATTGAAATGCTTATTATTATTATTGAAATGCTTATAACACTTATGAAAACAGACTTAAAAACCCTCTAACTTTTCAATAACAGTGTACTAGTAAGTAAATTATAACATTTGCACATTAGAATATTGTGCATCTACTAAAATGATATAAAAGAATACTTAGTTGCATTTTAAAAGTTCAAATCTGACAAAAAAGAAAAAATAGGCTGCAAAGATGTAACTTATAATAAGATATGATTTTAAAGACAAAAATATGGTTTAAATATGTTCCCAGAAAGATCATATACCAAATGCTGGGCAGTTATCTTTTTTTTCTTTGTTTTTGTTTTTGTTTTTCAAGACAGGGTTTCTCTGTATTGTTTTGGAGGCTGTCCTGGAACTCGCCCTGTAGACAAGGCTGGCTTTGAACTCACAGAGATCCGCCTGCCTCTGCCTCCCAAGTGCTGGGATTAAAGGCGTGCGCCACCAACGCCAGGCTTCTGGGCAGTTATCTTTAGATGGGAAAATATAGGCTATTAATTTTCCTCTGTGGGTTTTTTGTTTTGTTTTTTGTATGACTCAGTCCTTGGATAAGCATGTGTGCTTTCCAGGCAGGAGGATGTAAGCCCTGCGTTCCTTATGAGAGAGTGATCAAAGGGGAGGGAATTTGTTCTGTGCACTGCCTGCTCTGGGGAGTTGACTTCAAGATGGGACATGTAGGTCAGGGAGTGCTAGTCACTTTTGACAGCTGGAGATGTACACACCCTTGATGGTCTGTCATCTGAGCCCCTGGGGTCGAGGTCTGAGTCTCTGAGCAGCGAGTTATCCATATTTCTCACCATCCGCGCAATCAACTCCCCCATGTTCAGACCAGAAGGAGAGGTTCCGTAAGTCATGTTTGTGCCATCCTGAGGCCCGATGGGAAGGTGGAGAACCCAGGAAAGGGAAAGAGAACAAACAAGGGAGGAAGGGAAGGGAAGGAGACAGGAGAAGGGAGAGACAGACAGCAAAACAGGAGATGTCAACAGGGGACAAACGCAGAAAAGATGCAGGAGAGTGATAGCGAAGAGCTCCTGTGTGTCTTGCTTATGCTGACTGACAGCCAAGCCTTCCTATCCAAGGGAGCGCTGGGAGAGCAGGGTGGGCGTTAGCTTGCCCCACCCTTTCCTCGGGATGGCTAGTCCCAAAGCAGCCCTAGGAGAGGCCAGGCCATGGTGGGTCCTTCTACTCATTCCTGTCTCAGTTGCTGTCACAGTGATGCGCTGAGAGAGGGACTCAGAGATCATCTAGACAGCAGCACAAAGCTCAAGGACTGATGTCAAAGTTCAGTGGCTAGGGAGCGACTAGCCGATTTTAAGGGAAACAATGGGACTAAGTACACAGTCAGCCATATGGTTGGCTAGGGGGCATGCTTGCGCTGAGCTGTCGGACAGAAGAGGCCTGCCAGCCGGGTCTCTAGACCTATTTTTACCTGAATTCTAGGGCTTGCAATATCATTGCTGTCTTTTTATTGAGAACTACCTCTCACCCCCAGGAATACATTTCCGCTGAAAACCTGCCAATTTTAAAGTCAAGAATCCCCCCCCCTTTTTTTAAGCAGGATCTCATTATTCATCCCAGATCAGCCCATAAATAACTATCTTCCTGTCTCAACTTCTAAATTGCTGGAATTATTTATTGGTAGTTCCTTTTTTTTTTTTTTAAACATTTATTTAGTGTGTGGTGGGGATACCTGCAGAATCAAATGACAAGTTGTGGGAGTCCATTTTCTTTCTACCAGGGGATCCCAAGGATCAGACTTAGATCCCCAGGTTTAGAAGTACATGTCCTTACCAATGAGTCATCATACCATCTGGCTCTCGCATCCTAAAACGAAACATTCACTCCATCCCAGAAGGAGGCTGTGTGTTTAAAAGTAGAAGGCTTCCTAGGAGCCAGACTTACATCAATGGAGCATCCCATAAGGGAACCTCTCTCGATGGCTTTCCTCATGATCTTGTACATGTCACTGGGAGCATCTTTGATCTCAAAAAATTCTGTCACCCCTCCTGTGAAGTCCTCCATGGCCTCTGTGGTGTTCCCACCTTTTAGAGCTTCGTAGGAACCATGGAGCCTTGGAGAGAGGACAAAAGCCAATCTGGAGTCTGGGAGTCCCAGGAAGGATGGCCAGCTAAGTAACGCAAGGCCACAGAGAGCCAGAAGCATTGTTACCCACTGTACTGTCCCTACTCCCCCAAGGCACTCTTCCACTGTCTGCTAAGCCTAGCAGTGGGGTTGGGGGTGAGGGATGGGAGGGTGGGGTGGAGGTGGGGGTGGGCCGTGGGGATGGGAGGAGGGCCTGGGGGTGGGGGTGGGGTCAAGGGTAAGAGACATCTTGGCTGAACTCCAGAGATGCAGTGAGCTGATCAAGACTGGAAGCATCACAGGAAGGCAGGACCAAAGAGCCAGCTTCAGGAAGCTGCGGCTTTATGACACACAACTTTATTTCTTCTGTTAACGCTATGCTTTTTAGATAGGCCTCCTGCCGCGTGGACCTGTTCTCAGGCTGACTCGGGGTCTTAGCTGAACTCCCACACTGCCCATGATCATGTACACACACGCCTAGCCCAATGTGAGTGAGTCTTTGAATTCTCAAATCTGCATCCCCACGTGAAGTCCTGTCTCCCATCCTGACCTCCCACACCTTACTTAGCGTAAGCTTTCTCCAGCAGAGCACTCCAGAATTCATTGCGGTGGTTGGATTTGGTGAAAACCAGCTGATTGTTGTATGTTGGCAGACAGTCATCAATGACCACATCTACCCAGTCTCCATAGCGCCAGAACTGCAAGAAGCAAGTCACACAGTCACATCCAGGGAATGCTTTGACCCTCGCTCACATACCGCAGGGCTCTCAGCCTTGGCTACCGTTTCCCAGGCTTCGTACCTGAAGCTGGCTTTGGAGTCCCTGAATCTATCTCTATGTACACTGTGTGCTTCTGGGGGACAGAAACTACATATCACTCAGTGTCTGCGGAAAGCCCGCCCGGTTCTGGGCACTCTGTGAATATCTTAGGACCTGAGGCTTTCCCCCCCCTTGCCTAGAGGTCTGGGACAGACCTGCTGTAAGTACTTTCATGTATCCCAAGTGGTTGCTCTGTGTGCCCAGGATTGAGATCCCATGATGTGAAGTAAAGCTGTTGGACTAACTTAGGTATTTCTCCTTTCTCCCCCTTTCCTTCCTCCCTCTCTCTTCCTCTCCTTTCTTCTTTTCTGTTGTTTTTGAGACACTCAGGCCAGCAGACAGGATTCCCTCCCCCTCCTCTCCTTTCTGGGCTACAGTGGTACATGTGTGAGGTCAGAGGGCACAGATAAACAACTTATTTTTACTAGCACCCAGGCTGGCTTTGCACTCATGGTGATCCTCCTGCCTCAGCCTCCTGAGCCCAGCTGATTTATACATTTCTTACTGAAGGGCTGAAATGGAAAAGGACAACCCAGGAGTATGCTGAGGGACGAAACTAGTGAGATGTCAAGAGAGGATGTCTGAGCCACTCTGGACATTAGGGGTCATCAGGGCTGGAGGCAGACTGCTCAGAACCCCAGAAAGTTCAAGTACCCCCACATTCGGGTTTCTGGTCTGCTCTGGTCCAGCCCAGAATTTGTCTCCACACCAAATGATTGGTACCCAGAAAACTTCTAGTGGATAAATTAGTTTAGAACCAATAATTTCAGTTCTGGATCAAACTGGCAACTAAACGCCCAAACGACTAGAATTTTCCCGAAGGGCCTAGGAAGGTAAATGATAGAGTTGGTGTAGACTCTGCTGCCAAGGGTGCAGAGTACAGGGGCTGCAGTTCATGAACCAGGGATCCCAGTAAAAACCCAAAGGAAGCCACCACCCTCAGAGTGGACATCTTAAGAACCTGTCTGAGGGGGCTGCAGGCAGTAACAGCAGCCAGTCAGCTGGAGGGCAAAAATAGACACACAGGTCAGAAGACAGGATGCCTTCCTCCCGTCCTTTCTGGGGGCACGGTGGAAAGTATGTAAAGTCATGGCACAGATAAACAGCTGCTTCCTCACAAGCTTGCAGAGTAAAGGAGTCACTGCCCATGGGTAGGTGTACTGACCCTTTCCTGAGTAAAGGAGTCACTGCCCATGGGTAGGTGTACTGACCCTTTCCTGGACCCACTGGGAGGACAAGGCTGGGAGACCAGTGGTGGGTAGATGAGCTGGGTGGTGAGATAACTTTCTGAAAATATATCTTCACTCCAAAGAGACCGAACTTTTTCTGGACCTTGCAGCCAAGTTAATAACATGACTTGAGATCATTTAGAACTATGTACCTATTAGAACTATGTAACTAACCTGCTGTCCTGCTCTGTTCTCAGCCTGTTTAACTGGCCTTTAAGAGAACATTGTAACCAACCTCATTATGCTTTGGATTTCCCATGCCTTCAGCCTTTACAGCCTAAGCTAATGTGTAGTTTTAATCTTAAATTATGTTCTCTCCCATGTCCTGACCCAAGATTATAATGTTACGGCAATCATTTACCAAAAATAGCCAACAGGTTGGGACAACCTTAAGTGACAAATATTCCATAAATGTTGGAAGCAACCTGTGGATATAGGATGGTATGTTTGTGGTTTTGAGTACTATTCTGGGTGATTTGGCGTCAGTAAAATAACCTCTTTCCAGTAAAAAGTAATCTCTCATTCCTTTCCCAAGCCATGTTTTCTGTGCTATTCAATAAATACACACACACACACACACACACACACACACACACACACACACACGTAACAGACATATACAAAACAGGCACAGTAGGGCTCGGAAGTGGTGGCGCAGGCCTTTAATCCCAGGACTCAGAAGGCAGAGGCAGAGGCAGGTGGATCTCTGTGAGTTCGAGACCACCCTGATCTACTGAGTGAGTTCTATGACAGGCTCCAAAGTTACACCTGGGGGTGGAGGGGTGAGGGGGTTGGGGGAGGCAGGCACAGATAAGAACAGACACATACATACATCAGATACCACACACAGGCAACAAGGACAGGCAAATCAAACACATACAACAGACAGAATACACTGGCCGGTGGTGGTATACACTTTTAATCCCAGCTCTAGGGAGGCAGAGGAAGGCAGATCTATGTGAGTTGGAGGCCAGCCTGGTCTACAGAGCCAGTTCCAGGACACACTCCAAAACTACACAGAGAAAACCTGTCTCAAAAAACCAATCAATCAACCAACCAACCAACCAACCAAACCAAAACCAAAAAGAAAATAAATAGTCTACAGACAGGTCAGTGACCACAGACTGGAAACACACAAGAAGAAGTGGGCTGGCTCTTTGTTAAACTAGCCCCAGAGAAGGTTATTTGTTTTCATTCCTTATTGCAACATGGAGCATTTTGGTGCCTTGTCTGAGGTTATCTTTGATGCATCAACCCAGGTCTGGCTGCTGTCTCACCCACATCCCCATTTCCTCACCTGGAAGTGGAAAATCCCAGCATAGTTTTCAGTGAAACTTTGATCATGGGGTATAACTCTGAAAAGCAGCCTCTCGTTCAGGGTCAGGCAGGCGATGGCTGCAAGAAACCAGCAGTCCCCTGCAGTCAGACACAGACTCTGTTAGTCAGGTGGGGGCTGCCCCTCTGGGAAGAGAAGGCCCAACCCCTGGCAGGAGTTCTGGATGCTCATGCTGCCCACGGCCCTTCTTCCTGTCTGCCTCACCAGGTGTGAGCCCAGGCAAGGACAGTGGCAGGAATTCTTCCATAGCCTGAGGAACAGGGTAACTCATTCTCTCAGGATTGGATGTTTCCCTAAGGTCAACTAATTCCTCCTTTTACAAAGGAGACTCACTTCCTTCTTGGAGACAGAGCAGTGGTGATCATGGCTGCCCTCTCTGTCTTTGCCCGGTGAGCTCTTTTCCCTTTTGGCATGGAGGAAAACTGTGTGTCAGAGAACCATCAACTAAGCAGATGTGTATCAGCCAGCTGTTCAGGACCAGTCTACAAAAGGCACCGAAGCTGCCAAAGGGCACGCCCAGTGCCCCGACAGTCCTGCATCTGTCTACTAAGGGCACAGACTAGCCGCCACCCTGCTGGTAAGGAGAGTCAGACAACTGCCCAAGCTACCCTCCTTTGAATCAGCCAGTCTGTCCTGCGGAAGTAGCCTGTTGGTTTGAAGGGCTCAGATCTTAGTTTGTCCACACACCCCAGGCAGTGTCCCTCAGGTGCTGGGAGCCCCAACATCCATGGTGTCCTCGACCTCTCTTTCTGGAATAAACTAAGCTTGTACTTTTCAGCTGTCCTTGAATTTTTTGGTCAAGTTTTAAATTATCTTTTAATGATTTCTCTTCACAGAGCTTGCCCACAGTCTGCCCCAGGGAGGATGCTTCCGGAACTAAAGGTGGAAGAAGAAGGCCTGTGTAACAGCCAAGCTGACAGGCCAACAGAACCTGGGCCCCTCCTCCTCTGGGTAAATGCCACCTCTGTCAAAGGACTCCTTTAGTGTGGAGATGCCTAGCATGAGGACCTGAGTTTGACCTCCAGATCCTACACAGGAGAAGGAAAAAACAGTCCCCCCTCAAGTTGTTCTCTGACCTTCTAGGTGTGTGGGTGTATACACACACACACACACACACACACACACACACACACACACACTTAAATAAATAATTAAAAAGATTCTGAGATACATTAAAAGAAAAAGCAGAATTTTGTTCCTTCACATCCCGAATAGAGATCACACCTGCTAACTAGCCCTGGATGGCCTGGCAGGGCATGGTGGAGGGAGTTTCCTACCTAGGTCTCCTTGGCAGATGTCAGTCCTGTTGGCTCCACCAATGATAAATCTGGGATTCTCACAAATTTCCTGCAGAACAAAAAGGAGACAACCAGGTAATACCGACAATTGTAGGATTTCCCAACTGACCTAATGGCATACTGCCCTGGTACCATGGGCTTTATACTCACTGACCCTTACGCCTCCACAGCTAGCCGTTCCCTCCAAGAGTGTGGAATACCATCACTTCTCTTTTTCAAACCAGAGAGCTGAAGCTCAGAAGTTGGGTGTATTGGTGCACATCTATAATCCCAGCACTGGAAGGGCTGAGGCAGGAGGATGGCTGGTTCAAGGTCAGCCTGGGCTACATAAGCAATCCCTGTCTTAGAGGAAAAATAAACAACTGAGGATCAGAGAAGGTAAGGAAACCACTCCAAGGCTATGCCCTCTTCTCTCCCACACTATACACAGAGTAGCATGTACCTTGAGTACACAATGGCATGTACCTTGAGGGTGGGGCAGAGTGGCTGCAGAACTCATGGCTTTTGTTTTTGAAAGCCAGGGGAAAGGATGCTAGAAGAAGAAGAAAAAAGTCTTCCTTTCTAAGATGTGGGACATAAATATTTAGAGGCAGCATATGTGCCAGCATCTGCAGGTCTTGGCAGTCTGGAAAGAAGACAGTAAATCTGGTGTGAGCCTCACCTGCCCCCTCCCTGTTTGTTCGAAGGGGCAAATCTGCTCAGAGCAGCAGCAGTGGCCCCTGCAGTTTCCAAAACTAGGTCTCGCACAGCCTAGTGGCAGCCAACAGAGGGTGCTCTTGATTTCATTCATTGCTTTAATTAAGTAATTCATTTTATTTTTTTTACTTTTAGGCTAATTAAAGATTTGGTGTTTTGATTTTAACGTTGTTCTTCACAGCTTCAAGAGATCTTGTTATTCCTGTGAAGTGTTCCGTGCTGGCGAGTTTTATGACAACACGACACAGGCTAGAGTCATCTGAAAGGAGGGAACCTCGATTGAGAAATGCCTCCGTAAGATCTGGCTATAGGGCATTTTTCTTAGTGATTGATGAGGAGGGCCCAGCCCATTGTGGGTGGTGATGCCCCGGAGCTGGTGGCTCTGGGTTCTATAAGAAAGCTGACTCCCAGCCAGGCGGTGGTGGCGCACACCTTTAATCCCAGCACTTGGGAAGCAGAGGCAGGCAGATCTCTGTGAGTTTGAGACCAGCCTGGTCTACAAAGAGCTAGTTCCAGGACAGTCTCCAAAGTCACAGAGAAACCCTGTCTTGGAAAATAAAACAAAACAAAACAAAAAGCTGACTCCCATAAATTGTGCTCTGAGCTCTGACTTCCACACATGTGCCATGAAATACATACATTTCCCTGCGCACATAGATACTTACACAATAGATTAAATAAATAAATGTAACTTTAAAAAATGAAATTCTATCTGGGTTCACAGATTTGGAAAACTCACTGATTAGTTGTCAGAACAGTTTGGTAGATTCCCTGGGATTTTCAAAGTCATACTGTCTGCAAACAAAGACAGCTTTGTTTTATCATTTCATCCACACGCCTTTAGCCTCCAGTGTCAGTCTGAATGTGAGTGGTGAGAATTGAAGCCCTTGGTTTTTCCTAGGTCAGAGGGACAAACGTTTAGTGCCTTGTTAGCTGTGATACTGGTGAAGGTTTTTTGTAGCTGCTCTTTATTGTCTTAGAGAAGTTGCCATCTGGCCTGTTGTGATGGTGCATACCTACAATCCCAGTACCTGGGGCATGGAGAATGAAGATTTGGTACAAATTTATGAGTAGCCTGGGCACTGTAAAAAGACCCTATCTCAAAACAAGAAACACAACAACAAGCAGCAACCATCTCAAGCCCCCAAAGCCCAAATAAAATGAAACAAGTAAGGAGACTTGCACTGCTCTGGGGACTGTTTTATTGTTCATGGGTGCCCTGCCAGGAGTCTATGTAGTTGTTTGCAGAACCCAGCATTTTATTTTGTTATTAACCTTTCAATGTAGTGAATTACATGTTTTTGCTTCAGTCATTTTCCTTGGGGTAAATCAAGCGTGATGTAAGTAAATTATTTTGGTGCATTCCTGGATTTCTGGCTGATATTTTGTCATGGAGCTTTGCATCTAATTTCATAAAGGATGTTGGCGTATGGTTTCTCTGATTTGTACTGTTTTTTACCTGACTTTGGTATCAAGACAATGCTGTTCTCATAGAATGAATTAGGAAATGCTTCCTCTTGCATTTTCTGAATGAAACTTTGTAGAATTTATATAATTTCTTCTTTATATATGCCTCCTGGATACAGACAAGTAGTTGCAGATGGCCATTGGACTGCACAGCAGTGACAGCTATTGTTGAAAAGTCAAACTTGGCAAAGCTGACTCACCAGGCACTATTGGGTACCATGACATGACAAAACCAGGGCTTTGGTGACTGAGTGGTTATTCCTGTAACTTTCTAAGGTACTATTGCCGTGCCTCCCTAACAAGAACAGTTCTTTCCACAAAAGAAAGAAAGAAAGAAATTCTATGGGAGTGTCAATAGGCCATGAAGTACTAGTAATTGACAAAGGCTTTTCAAAGAAAAAAGAAAGAAATATATGAAACAATATATTTTAAAAAGATGAGGATACTAACATTATTTCAGAACTTTGGCACATTATATAGGTGATAAAACAAATAAGAATTTTGATTATTATCATTAAGAACTAAGGTGCACTCCCCTGCCCTGAGACAGGGGTTCTTTGTGTAATAGCTCTGGTTGTCCTGGAACTTGCTTTATAGACCAGGCTGGTCTTGAACTCACAGAGATCTGCCTGCCTCTGCCTCCTGAGTGCAGGAATTAAAGGTGTGTACCATCTGGTAAATTGTTTTAGTATAAAAGAAAATATATAAAATTATAAGGTAGGGGGTGCAGAGGTAGTTTAGTGATTACAAGCACTTGCTGCTCTTGCAGAATAATGAAGTTCAGTTCCTAACATATGTATCTGGTGGCTCACATCCACCTGTAAAACTCAGTAGCACCCTCATGCTACACACACACAATTTCTTTTAAAAAATCAGTGAAGTAATAATCTTGCAATGTTGAATTTATTAATAGCTTTTTTTTGTCTTCTTAAAAACAATTTCCTATTCTTATGCACTAATAATGAACAAGGAATGGAGATGTGTTCTGCATTAGAGCACTTACCTAGTATGTGCAAAGCCCTGGGTTTAATCCCAGTACCACCAGAGTACCAAAAGCCCAGAAGCAATAGCAGTAGTCAGATAGCAGTGGTTTCTGGAGAAGTTGAGCAAAGAAAAGGAACAGAACCACAAATACTGAAACAGGCTTGACACTGAGTGCTGAGAGGGCTAGCAGGATAAGAATGGCAAGCCAGCACCGCCGACAGGAAAACAGATTCTAGATCATTGCTGGACTTCACATCAAAGAAATACATTTCTTTGGATGTGCAGGAAAAAGCTAAGTGACTCCTGCAGGGGTAGGGGCATGCTGATTATCATGCCTATTATCATTACAGTTTTTCCCCAGTCCAATCACAGTTTCTCCCTCCCTCCCTCCCTCCCTCCCTCCCTCCCTCCCTCCCTCCCTCCCTCCCTCCCTCCCTCCCTCCTTCCCTCCTCCCTTCTTCCTCTTTCTGCATCCACTCCTCCTTTCTCTTCAGAAAAGAGCAAGCCTCCCAAGTATATCAGCCAGGCATGGCATATCAAGTTGCAGTACAAGTAGGCACCGCCTCTCCTAATAAGGCTGGACCAGGCAACCCAGCAGGAGGGTTCCAAAAGAGTCAGAGACAGCCCCTGCTCCTACCGTTAGGAGCCCCACAAGAAGACTATAGTGATTTTAAAAAAGAAAGACGAAGTGGGTACCTTTCAGCAGACGCTGCCAAGGTTTGCCACTGTGCAAACACACAACTTCCCAGAGTTAGAGTAAGAGGGCTATTGTGGGATGGTGGGGCGGGGAGTGAAAGAGAGAAAGGCCCTGTCAGTGTGGGGACAGGAGAGAGGCAGGCAGGAAGACAGACATAGAGAACAGGAAGAGGAGAGACAAAGACAAGAAGACACTATGACTGCTGGGCACTCCTTTAAAAGGTGCACCTGCCACGTGGCTGACGGTGCAGATGAGGCAGGCTGCCCCCTCCCACCCCCATGACAACGAAGACCAAGAGGCACAGCTGTCACATATGTGTAGAGGGCCTAGGTCAGTCCCATGCAAGCTCTCTGGTAGGCAGTTCAGTCTCTGAGCCCCTGTGATCCCAAGTTAGTTGATTCCGTGGGTTTTCTTGTGGTGTCCTTGGCCCCTCTGGCTCCCATTATATAACAGCGCTTTATGCCAGAAGACTGGAGAATACAGGTAAGACACAGAAGGAAACAAAGTGTTCGGTTGGAACCTCCAGCTCACCCCAGCATGACCTGGGAATGCCCATTCCTGTCTCTCTCTCCAAACCCCGCCTGCTCAGAGAGCCTCTGAATGAGAGAAAGGCGTCCAAAAGCCCAGTTCTGCATTCTTGGAACTCACCGCAGCTTCCTTCCCTGAAGTTGCCAGCTGCCCAAGTCCTTGCCTAAAGCCCTGAAAGACTCAGCTTTGACCATACTTGACACAACCCCAGCTGTGGCAGACAGGTCATCTCGCCTACAATGTATAAAGTCTCCCTGCTTTCATTTGTGGGTGCAGCTTCTCTGGCTCCCACCTCTGGAACTGGAGAACTTGCCTGGGAGTTGCTTTGCTCAAATACACCTGTTAAACTTTTTCAATTCAGCTTGATCTGGCTTACTGTGTCAGGGGACAGAAAACCTATTACAAAGGTGAACCAAGGATTTAAAATGAAACAAAACCTTCCAAAAGCACAGGAATAAGTAAATAAATAATAAATACATGTAATAACAAAAATTTAAAGCCCACTAACACTAAGCAACCAAATGGAAACCCTAGCCGATGGTTAGAAGGGAGAAAGTACAGCATGTAATTTATTGCCTGCCATGCTCAACACCCACTTAAAATCACTTTACAGGCAGGCTGAGTATGCAACTCCATTGGTAGAGAGCTTATTTAGCCTGCAGGAAGCCCTGGATTTG